AAGTGTCTAGAATTATTCAACGCCAATGACGTCTCTGCAAATATTAACATTTCAGAGTCAAAAGTGTGATATACACGATTGTACTTTATATACATCAAGTTCCAAAAATCTATCTCTTCGTTCGGCCCAGCAAATACCGGTTGCGATTTCTCATACAAAAATTCTTGAAACAGTCTCTATAATATACAGATTCACACATTAGAATAAATTTAGTTTTCAAAATATTGTAAAATTATATTTTTATTATTGTCGTATATTGCAAATTATAACAACACTGCGAACACAGCACATTTACCGTTTGTAAACAAGTATTCCAATTTTCAATCATTTGTTCTGAATGTATAACTGTGTCTTTATTGGTCAATAGTTTTTTAATGTCAGTTACTTTTTTAACTGGCATAGCTCTCAAATTACTTTGGTATACATTTAAATAAGTTTCTTCCCCGACGATATTTCTTAACGTTTCTGGAAAACGATTTGATATTAATTAGCAATTGTTTTTGTTGAAATTATAATTTTTAATAGTCACTTTTCACATTCCTGTTAGATATATTGATGAACTATGTATGGTATACCTATAGAGTTATCAACATAACGTAAGACACTTATTGTCCCGGGAAATATTAACTTTTTAAGAATTTGTTTTTAAAACAAGTGACATTACAATTTTATTTTACGGTTATTTTTGTTCTCTCTTATTTCAAGAAGTTATTGAGAGTTATTGAGACCTACTTTTGATATTCAAATAGCAACTTATATTAAACATTTCATAAATGAATGTGGTAATAGATTAAATCATTTTTTGGTGTTGACGTTTTTAATTTCCGTCAACCCGTTAACGAAACTTTTGAATTTCGGTGGGGAGAGTGAGGTACTTTCACCGCTATTGTAGCGGTGCCTCGTGTGTGTAGCGTCACGGCGCGCAGCGTTTTAATTACGTTCCATCATTATCATAAAAAGTAGAGTTTATTGTTTCGCTGCATGGACATCCAAATGAATAATCAAGTTCCGCTATGTACAGCCGCCTAGTAGTACCAATTTCACGTAATGTTAATAGTAATAATAGTGTAATTACGGTGTACCAAAGTGGAGAAACCGCGATTTCATTAAGCGAAATGGGTATAGACGTTGTCTATTTCACTAAACAGTCAGTAACGCAGTATAGGTACAACATATACGAGGTGATTTTTTTTATCTTGAACCAGCAATTATCTTAGAGGATTTTAAGTGAATTTGATTTGTGTTGAAGTGAAACGGTCAACTATAGCAACACGATATCGTGTTATATCGATATATATATATCGTACATTTATCGGTTTTTCCTACGTTTTTCCCATTTATTGTGAAAACAGGTGGGAAAATCAAAAAAAAATCTTCCTTAAGTACCCCCCCCCCTGGTAAAATTTCCTTTCACAATAAGCGCTACACTTGAAAATCGGAACAAAATTGTAATCGGAACATCATTGTAAAACCAATACATTCCTCGCTCCGCTCAAAATCTGAAGTAGTGTATTCGTTATTTTATTTCATTATCACATTTGTTGGCAAAATTAATATTGTGATAGAAAAGTATAAAAATGGTTTTTTTAAAATATTTTTTCAGTGGTGGTAGTGTATTACTTAAACATGTAGCAATAATACCCGGCGATAATCTTTCATAAGAATAATTCTCGTAATAAATGTTTTTGATATAGGGTAGGCATGTGACACAGAATAGGTATAATAGTTGTACATTTGATTATATTTGAGATGTTGAAATAATATTTGAAACAACAGTTAAATCCCAGGTACTAATTTTAAATTACACCGTGTACAAGTGCAACTAGGGGGGCTTGGGATGGAGGAGCTAAGCCCTTTCAGTTTTCCAAATAGCCCCCCCTAAGTTACGACGAATATAGTTAGATATATTAATATTTTTAATAATTATGTTTTTTGATTTAATGACTATAATACTATGTTTTCAAATTTAAGCAAATATAAATAAAGGCTATAGCCCCCCCCCCCCAGAATTGTCACATTAGCTGCGCCTTCGCCGCCGTGTAAAAAAGAATAATAACAGGTTTCAGACACTTACTTAGAAGCGATTGTATTCCTTTTAATAAAATCGCGTGTTCCGATTTCGCAAAAGAAGAACACGGAACAAGTTTTGATAAAAACTCCAATCTTATGCATAGTTCTTCAATTTTCTTCTGTGGCGTTAACATTGTGATAGGTAGACTCGCAGATTGTATTTAAAATTATTTAACTTTTTTTCTTTCAATTTGAATATCATATATAAAACTAAAATGTTTAAAACTGTAAATAATATTCGTAACTATTCGTAACTATGGCGTCAGGGTTTATTTTGTGTTTTCGGTTTATTTTAATTGGGCGTGTATAATTGTAATAGTATAATATAATATTGTGATATATTGTAATATTGTACTAGTGTAGAGAAAAAAAAATAGAAAAAAATAGTGCACCCAACTGTTTTTAATGCCTAAAACGCTGATAACGTTCAAGAATATTTTGTTTTCAAGAACGGTGCGCAACAATGCATTACATATAGTGTCTTTTTATCTTAATTGCGATAACACGCATTTTAATTTACCAATTTAATTTACGGATCCACCTCGTGGCCAACACGCCGGTCATTCCGCGACGCGCCGACCACGACCACGTTGAGTCTCCGGCGTCCATCAAACTCAACTGGCACCGCGTAAGCGACAAAAACCTAATAATTTTCCCGACGTGCTGTCCGGCTTTCGCGTTCCTTTCGCCGATTGTCCGACTCCGCGGACCAACACTTAAAATCCGGTTCTCGTCTGATTCACCATAATACTCATACAATCGATATGTTATTTTGTAATTGTTTTTGAAACCCCCGCATTATTGTGAAATCCCCGATTCCCACTTATACATTGTATACAATATACATTGATAGCACTTTAATTGTAAACCGATAAACGGCAAGTAAATAAATACTAGGTGATACTTTTATCTCGGAGTCGTAGCTGATCAAACCACTTTGTTGTATACGGTAACATTAGGTAAAATACCTACACTTTAGAGTGTGCACAAAGTAAATTCAAACACCAAAATTAAACGTGAAATAAAAAAATTCAAAACAAAATAACGTTCTCTCTGATGTCGCCGACCGGACTTTATATTTTCAGTATCAATAACTTAATTTGTTCTTAAATGTTATACATAAACACTATTACTTATTGAAATGAAACTTCTTTACGTGCGCTGGGAGTAAAATTTCAAGATCGAACATGACGAAAATTGTTACTCACGCGAATGCGGATAATAACGAATCCTGAACAAATTAAATTACAAAATCAAATAAATAGATTAAAACCACGTCATCAGCCGTAAAAACACACTCACACACACACACACACACACACACGTACACTAGTAACACCGCGAGTGAATACAATCATAAATCCATTCTGAGAAACTTTTAATATATGGTGCCGGTCGAACCTCTCTTCGGAATACAACGCTTTTATATCTATGAATCTATGAAAAAACATACATTAATTATGTGAATACAAATAATAACGTAAACGAGCAAATTTAATCTGTCAGGATTAAAATCCAAGAATTTAGATTTTCGAACTATTCCCACCACTAAGACACACGCATATACAATGTAAATTAAAGTGTCATGGTTAATTCAGTTATCATAAGCTCATTATATTTTTCGTGACGTTAGAATCGGAAAATTAATAATAACAATAATAAATTAAATTAATTTCAATTGGATTTTCCTGCATTCCAATACACACATAATATTCTATCAGTCGAACGACTCTGAAAGAAGTTCATAATGTTCATATCCAAACAGTATGGAATTCCATAAACATTTCACTTCAATCCTTACCAAAACTATTAAATTTAATCTAGCTGTTTAAGCGTTAGTGGTTTCGCTTGAAATATTCGCACACTGGTTATTATTTCCTAATGCTAACTGTCAATATTAACACTATAACTTTTGCACGATGTTTGTTGTTCCATTATATTATAACAGAACATAAAACAATGCATTGATACTTACTGGTCCAATTTATGTGATAGATTATTCTATCGCAAGTGTAATAATATTTCCACTATTCACCACACGACTAATTGATAATAGACAGATATTTCTTTTTTTTTTTTAGAGTGAAGAAAATATACGTATACATGTGTATATATTTTTAATTAACGTGTATTGAGTTAACATTTGTTTTTAAATTTATTTTCAGCCGCTCGCGGCATTACCGTTTTTATTGATTTTATTATGTTAACACGATGTGTTACCAGAAATATCAACTTTTAATGTCAAATATGTACGTGTATCGAAAGAAAATTGACTAGTGATGTTTTAAAACTAAGAATATAAAAATTATTTTGAACTACATTAGATATTCAAGAAAAAAAAAAACAAGGAACGGGAACCAGTTCCTTTTTTGTAATAGGGAACGGGAAAGATTTCCCTTTAAAAAAAAACTTTCCCGACATTGGTATACATACAGCAGCAGCGATAATCACCAAATTGACATTATATAGGTATCCACCAATTGGATTTCCGTTGTATGTTTAAAGATAATAATAATAATCTATAAAATTGTAGAGATTTAAATAATTATAAACTTAAAAATTAGTATAGCGATTTCGATGGGACTTATTCAAGAAGAAGAAAGAAAACAATCCTCGGCTTCCTTACTCGGATTAGTTTCAAAAGATAGTATATTACAACTGATAAGACCTCATACCCAGTGCTGTAATATATCTAGATACAGTGTTTGTACACTTTTTTTGTATTTTATATCTGTACCTAGATAAATTTTGAAAAAGTTTATCCGTTATCTTATATACAAAATATTGTGTGTCTTAATGAAATTATCTAAGATACTTTTAAAAATTACAATTCTTATTTTTTTGGTTCAACAAAATAAATATAAATTATGTACCCATTAATTGTTTTGTTATAATTTTGTAATTCTGAATGTTTAATTAATTAAATATTTATGAACAAAATTATCTGTTTTCTTAAATCCAACTTATAATATATCTTAAGATACTATTGTATCTGTATCTATAGATACTTTCAAATAAAATTTATCTATGTATCTAGATACTTTTTTTAAGTACCTACTGGATTTGACGGTACAGTACAATATTGTTCTTTGACGGAAGGCACCTACTGTTAACGACTCTTCAGTGATGGTATTGCGATCGAATTTTAAGAATAGCACATACCCAACAATTCTCTCAATTCCTATCCGAGGTTTGGTTAAAAACCAAAAAAAAAAAAAAAATACTTACTTAAATGACTGCGTTTATAATGATTGTTGAAGTATAAAATGTAGTGATTGATATGCTTGGTATTAATACTTCATAGTTCTAAAATATTTATCAATAAATTTTGCGCCATTGGCATATTTGTATTATTATTGTTTTAGATCTTGTGAAGCATGGTAAAAATGCATGGTCAAGACCCACTGTCCTTTGGAGCTACAGATTTAACAATTTAACAGTAGCAAAAATACTGTAAATAATGGAGGAATTTGTAAGGATTTGAGCCGAAATCTCGCAGTATTTACGAAGCAGGTATCACTACCGTAGTATTTTCTTTGTTTCAGACGGTTAACAGTATTGATAATATATTCCGTTTACAGAAAAGAAATGGTTGTGACAGTAGTGTGCTCACTTTGAGCATTGTAAAAACTACGAGATTTTGAGCATGAACAATTTCATATACATAATTCCATTACTAAACGTGCTACTGCTAAATCTGGCGATTCAGGAGATCGGTGGTTTTTACGAATTTTTCACCCTACTCCGCATACTTACCTTTAAGTATACATCTACCAAAACACGATAAAATTTCAACGTACAATAATGTATCTACTTATTGATAAATATTACAGAACAAATTATGAAAAATAAAAAAGGTTCACGATCTTATCGTGTGAGGTAAACTGATTGCTCGAATGATTATATTATATTTCATGTATTTTTAAATATTGACTGAAATCAAACCACGTCAATAGAACGCCCAAATCCAAACAAGTCACTTTTTTTAAAAAAAAAGTATAACATTTATTATTGTACGTAATCATACACCTATTACGTACTATTTATTACAAGTCACGGTTTGTGTGATCTTTATAATTTGATTTTGGAAACTATGCAACAATATTACGCTATTATTATTATTATTAATAATATATATTTATTTTGTTTTCTTCCGTCAATACTTGTTCGCTTATTCTGTCACCCTATTTTTGTTTAAAATGTTTAAACAATGTTTATATTTAAATTGTTGAAAAACTGTTCTATTTTATAATTATAACTGAGTACTTTGAACTTGGTTCTTTAAACATTGTTCTTATCCATTTCCCTATTTATTTTTATTTTTACTTTTTTTTTATAATCATTGAAACCCGTTCATTTCAAAATTGCAAGTTATGTAACAGGGTATATTTCTATAATAATTATGTAATGTATGTATTTAAATTTTTTCACACGGGTTCTAGTATCTATAATACTTATCAATTTTATTTATTTAAGGGTAATAATTAGGGAACTGAAAATCGTCTAAATACATCTATCGTTGGATAATTTGTTAAGTCTCACAAATCATATACAATAGGCACTATAAGCCAGTTGTTAACCCAATTTCAATTATGTAAATTGGTTTATATTCTTTAAACACGTTTTCTATAATACGAGTATATTCAAGTGAATAAGTGACTTAAATGGGTGTGTATACCGATATATCAAGCAATTAGGCATTGCATAGAAAACACTAACTGCAATTGGTGTTTTGACTAGAGGATTCTGTTGTTATTAAAATAATGCTGATCTAAATATCTGTATTTTAATTTTGAAATATTTGAAATATTTTTAACTATTCAGTTATGAATAGTTAATAATTTCAAATTTGATGACAAGGAAACTTGTACATTTGTTAAAATTTCTAATTTTGTTAATTAAACAAACGTTTACGTTTTTTAACGAAGCATTTTATGAATCGTGTTTAATTGCTCAATAGCAATTAAATAGTATATCAATGTATACTATGGAAACACTTACATCTGTTTTTTTTGTGTCTATAATTGAACAGTTTTCCGATCGGAAATCGTATTCAAATCATCAACATTTGAAGGGTGGTTTCTGGTTGAAAATATTGCCCAATCGGTGTTATATCAGTACCATCTATCGCATTATCTTCTACTATACAGCGTCAAAACATGAAAAACCTCCAGTATTCAATCAAATTTGTAAATTTTTTTTAAAGAGAAGGCGATAAGAACACACCCACCCGTAAAATTCGTGTTTGGCCGACAAAAAGAAGGAACAAAAAAAAAAAAAAAATAATCGATTCATGTACTAAATGTACTAAAATTCTAAAATATTTAACAAATCGTGTAGATATATAATAGGGAATTCCTTATTTTCGGATAAGTTTCTAAGTTAAAAACGAATTAAAATAGTTTTTTTGATTTTTATTTCGACGCTAGATAAATTTAAAAATAAGTAAAAACGAAAGCAATATGTACAATTCCGTCAAATTTAGTATTTATTCCTCCCCCCTCCAAGAAGGATAGAATAGTTGGTCATTTTCTACCATTTTATGATTTTTTTACGTTCATACACGTATGATACACGGGTAAATTATCGTTTTAACCATTGTAAAAACACGTGTATTTTAAATCGGAAAATTCAACTCTCCGTAGGGTGAAATCTAGCGTCAAAATAAAAATTTGAAAATATTACGTGGATTTTTCAAAATTATTTTGAACTATGTAGTTTTTTCTCCTTTAGGAACTTTGAACTCCAAAAACACAAATAAGAAACGTATTGATATACAGGTGTCCCGGAAAATCAAGGCCAACTCTACGGAGTGTTACTTTATAATAATAGAGTAAACAAAGTAACCAGGGAGCACCAAATGGCGGCCCGCGGGTCACATACAGGCCGCGGACGAAATTTATACAGCCCACAGGCAAGTAGGCAAAAAGCGATATTAAAGATATTTTAGTATCGTATTTTTTTTATTACCGAACAAGATTTATCATTTTCTTTTTATCCCACTAAGCAATTTTCTATTTTTATTACATTTGGGTATAATTAATTTTTATTTTACATTGTTCCAAATATGTATAACATTCATTATGTTCTTAATGTTAATAAATAATTAGTAAATAAATAATAAAAAAAAAAAAATAATGTTCTCATTACTTTAAATTGTATAATAATACAATATAAGTCATTACTCATTATGTTAAAAATATGTACCGTGAATTTTGATGATCCGCGAAAAATATCTAGATTCCTAACATGGCCATTGGAAAATATTAATCGGTGATCCCTGCCCTATATTATGGGGCTCTAAGAATAGGATTATTGAAATTTTTTTTTTGTTTTATGCCAAAACTTCGGTTTTCCGGGTTTATTTGGAAAACATCCGTACACAGCGAAAGTAAACCATACCGGAGAATGTTTTGCGAAGTTCTCATACAAAATAAGGGGTGTTTCCATTTGTTCACTATGATTGTGGCTTATCGTGTATACGCTGTGATCAATATACCGTGAAACACTCGTTATCTCGGAAAGCATAAACTTTTTTCGGAATAAAATTTTCAGAACATTTAGGAAACAAGGTGTTCTACAATTTTGTATGTATGCCATTTTTTGTCACCCTTATTTTTGGGGGTCAAACCACTACCTACATTCGATTTTCAAATGGAAACCTATATTAAAAATTCCATAAATAGATGAAATATTAGTTGAAATAAATTTTGGTGTTGACATTTTTGGTTTATTTAAAAAATAAGGACGACAAATAATTACATACATACGAAATTGTAGAGCAGCTTGTATCCTAAATGTTCTGAACAATATATTCCGGAAAAAAGTCATTACTCTCCGAGATAACGAGTGTCTTGTGATAGATTGATCACCCCGCCACAAACGGATTTTCAAAATGAATAAATAAGTAATCATATTCACAATCCGTTATCAGATAGGTATATTATATTATCATGTAATATTATAAACAATTATTATTATAACAAAATAGAAACATTCATTAGAATCGTCGTTGAAAACCGTAGCAGTGTAGTAATAATAAAAACATTTTTGTAGGTATACAATATTTTTTTTTCGTCACATTTCGTTTGAATTAAATGTTTGGTCAATATAGTGAATCATACAATACAATAGGAATATTTTGTTGCAGTACGACTCGTGAGCAAGCTGGGCAATAATAATTCGGCCGTAATATGGGCGTAGACGTTTTTCTTAAACACTATAGTATAAATAAATAATATACACATCACAAAAAAAAAAGTTTAAAAAAATACGCGTACGAAATATTGTTTTTTTTTTTTAAAAATCGATTGTTTATTGTTCGATGCGGACGACACGGGAGGTTTCGTTTAGAATATTCGAGTCGATTAGAATAGAAAAAAAAATATAATAATAACACAAATTAAACGTTAATCGTTTGGGGGAGGGGGGCAGGGGGGCGGTTAGATGCAGGGTGATCGTATAACACCGGCCACTGCAGTTCGATCTTGCGTTGTCCAAAGATAATATCCGCAGTCGTCAAATTTGTTTCGATAGCATCGAAAACGACTTCGGATCGCGACGCATCGAAATACGAAAATACTTTTGATAATAAAAAAAAAAAAAAAAAAAAAAAAAAACAACAAAAAACAAAAATAATAATTACAATAAAATTATCAACGATATATTATTACATATTATAATAACCTGTATATATAACTGTATTATATTAATTATAGGTATCTTCAAAAAAAAAAATGTCCGTTTTCTCGTGCGCAATTCGGACCCGTAGATTTGCAATTGTGTATTATAATAATATCATATTGTAATAAAGACTAGATGCACGACAACGGATCTCATATCGTAACAGAACGTGTGCACGGCACAATAAACACGAGTACATAACGTAATATGTAAGATCTCGATAATTTTTTTTTTCCGGAAATCAAAAATAAAAGCCGTACCGGAAAATGATAAATATAATAATATGTACACGGTCCAATAACAATAATATTATACAGCGCGCACGGAAAACGGTCGCGCGATAAATAAATAAATGTACGAGTATGTTTAAAAATAAAAATGAAAACCGCAAGGCTGCGCGGCGGCAGTAGCGGCGGCGGTCAGAGGGCCGTTTCCAGAGCGGAACGCGTAGCCGACGCGGCCGCGGCGGCGGTCTGCAGGCCTTTGAGCGTGCGGTTGACGAGGGTCGCGGATTTGGGAACGCCGTCGCCGCCGCCGCCGCCGTCGCCGCCACCGCCGCCGCCGCCGCCGTCTCCGTCGTCGCCGGGTCCGAAATCGTAGTCCTCGTCTTCGCGACAATCTTCCTGTATTGTCGAAGAGAGAACGTTCGACTTCCACGACAATAGCGACGACGACGGCGACGATAAAATATGATGCCCTCTCCTCCCGGACGGCGAGTGATGGGCGACGGCCCGGACGGGCGGACCGGCCCTCGGGGGCGGTTGCTGCTGCAGCCTGGCGACGGCCGACTGTTGAGCTCGCCTCCCGCCGGCCATGTTGGTCTGCAAAAGGAGCCGTTTGAAGTCGTACCGCGCGGACCGGTCGTCGCGCGTCCGCGACCCGGTCGACGACGGCGCGAGCCGCTGCTGCTGCTGCTGCTGGTGCGGTTGGTGCCGCGGCGGCGACGTCGGTGCCGCGGCGGCGTTGTTGCGGGCGACGGCCGCCGCCGGCTGTTGGCCGAGCAACCGTTTTTTCGACTCGTGTATGGCCGCGTACAGGTCCATGGCCGACCGCCCGGACGCCGGCCTCGCGTCGCGTTCGGTCGCCGGACTGCGGTCCGAGACGACGCCGGCGGTCGGTGCCGCCGCCGTCGACGACCGATCTCGGTCGTTTGGCCGCGACGGCGACGACGTCGGCAACCGGACGTGTTGGCGGTCGGCGGCCGGCGGCGTCGGACTGCCGTACGCCGCCGCCGCCGCCGGCGTCCCGCGTCCCGGACGAAAACCGTGTATCGGCGATATGTTGTTGGCGCTCATGTCTATACGGCCGGCGCTCCGGTCGTTCTTCACCGGCGTCGACGCGGACACGTTTTGTTTGTCGTCGACGTTCGCGTGGCCGCCGACCTCGTGTTTGCGGGGTGACGTTGACGGCGGCGTACCTAATGGAAAAATCGTACGTTATTATAATATTACGCGTATGCGAACGTAACGCCGACATTAACATTAATGATGACAATACGCGGGGTTGCGAACGAAGAAAGAAAAAAAAACCAGTTTTCAGTTTGTTTTTTTAACAATTTTTTTTTGTTTATTTTCCGTATTTTATTGTATAGTGTCTGTAGGGACCGGATTGATATGTTCTTAAAACCCGCAAAAATGCAATCGAAAACGTCAAAAGGCCTCGAATAAAATTATGTAAAAACGCAAAAATAATAGAGGGATTTAATAGTCCCTCGCACCGTCTAACGGATTTAATTTATAAATAAAATTTTCCATTACCACAAAAACGAATAATAAAATGTAATTTTTTTTCTTTTTATAATACGTACGATTTTATTTTGTAATGTTGGAAAATTCAATTTTATAAGTTAGAGTCATTAGTGGGGGATGGGGGACATATGAATTCCTCTATCGTTTTTGCCATTCTTAAATGTTTGTAAATACTTTTTGCAGAGATTTGTTGATGTTTTAAAGCGCCTTTTTGTGGATTACAGGAGAGTATAAATCCGATCTACAATAATAACAGTTAATTGTAAATGGAATTTTATCATTAATATGGTTCGAGAACAAAACGACGATTAAAAAAACAAAAAAAAAAAAACGCTACTTTTTTTTTTATCCAAAAGTGAGTAAAGGAGTTGTGTTTATTTTCATTTATATTTTAAGAACTTATAGGGTCTGTGTAAAAAATATTTTATTGTCTTCCCTTAACCGGAACTTAGGTATTAGTTATTTCAATTTAACTTTTGAACGTTATTATAAACGCGTTTTAAACAATCTATAACAGCAAAACGTTTGATACGTCTAAAACGTTTTGAACACAGAGAATCGATTGAAACATTTCGCAACCCTGTTGAGATATGTACCCGCGAACAAAATATGTTCTTTTCGGGGGTATAATAACTTTATGTCGTGCGCCTGGGACGTTGATGGCCGATTTTTTTTTTATCGAAAATTGCGATCAGTTTCGTGTCGCCGTTTCAACGACAGCGGATTTATTGTCGGGAGGACGCTACACGTGCATTCGTCCGTTTCGTCTTGCGAACGCGTGGGCCAAAGTAGATTCGCGCCCGGCGGACACACGGAGCGCGAATAACATTACCGTTCGAAAACGCTAATGTCTCGTTGGAAAACTATTAAAGTGCCGAGAGAGAAAAATCCGGCGCGCGAACGCGGGTAACGATCTGTTCGCGTCGCGTTCGATGACAGTCGGCCGATTCGCTCCGCTATGAAAACCGTCGGCACAATATTGCGGCGGTGCTGCGAAAACCAGCGACGTTGCCGACGGAAAACGAAACGAAAACCGGGCGCACAATGCGATCGAAACCGGAGACGGGCGTTTATTAATAGGGCGTATGGTGTGGGGGCGGCCGTTCCGCACGCCGGTACGCGTTTCGGTGGTCCGGTGTCCGTCCCGGCACCGGGTCGATTCTGGCCGACCGATACGAATTCACGTTGTTTGATCGCGCGCCCGCGGAACGGTAATTATTTTATTGCGCGGCAAGAAGCGGATTTTTCAAAACGCCCGGTTCGGTGGACTCCGGCCACCACCGTTCGCTCGTTCACGCGGGAACGCAATCGGAAGCGCCGCGGAAATATCGAGAAAAATATTACTCCGCGACCGCCGGTGTCGAACCCGACAGGAACCGACGATTCGGAAAAAAATGCGGGTATAGACATTTGCGCCGGATTAACGAGGCTCGCTGAAGACTACCGGAGAGAGGAGAGAAATGGCGAATGAAGTTAAACGTTGCGAACCGATCCGATTACGGTTGAGAAAAAAAAAAAATGAAAAAAACAAATTTAAATAAAAAAAAACGTATTCTGAACATCCTGTTTGTTACGATAATACCCATATCGCTTTAGGAGCTAGGCGCGGGTTTGCATTATACACCGGCGCAGTTTATCGAATACGGGCGAGCGGCGGCGTACAGGTTCGCGAGGCGATCGCTATCAGGTTTGGTCCGACAAATTAGAAAGTGGATTTCGGTGGAATCAGTGATTATTTCGGAAAGTATTAGCTTTTTTTCAAAACCGTGCAAACAATCAACTCCAAAATGATATACACAACCGTTATTTTTGTCATCTGTTTTTTTCGGGGACAGCGGGAGGTGGAACGATTATACCGGTTTTTAATTTCCAATTGGCAACGTACAATTCCGTGACTACACGGAGTGTTAGACGGCATGCGGCGTTTCAATAACGTTCCACTACACTCTCCCATCACCCGAACTTAAAAATTGGATTACCTCGACGGCGGTTTGACGGTAATCAAAAGTGCCGACAGCGAAAATGCATTTAAATTTGTATTCCATCTCATATTTATGGAATTTTCAATAGAAGTTGACGTTTTAAAATAGAAATCGGATAGTGATCGTTTACTCGTTTCACCCTTAAAAATATAATGGTAATGTAATATTACAGAGCGGTTCGTTTTTCAAATAATTGTTAACAAAAAAAAAAAATGTCAAATAAAAAGTTAAAACTATCCGGGATAACAAGTTTATCTGTTTGGACGGATCACAATGAATAACCACCTTGCATGTATAGGAGCACGGCCGTGAAATACGTGTAATACGTAATTTAGACGCAAAACGAACGAATGTACCGATAATCGTACTGAAACGCAGAAACGTTCGTTATTCGCAATCACAATGTAAATATCATTTTTTTTTTTTTTTTTATCAATTTCTAAACCATCAGCATCCCAGTGTTATAATATTGTAATAATTATTAGTGTTAGTAGATATTGTAATGTAAATGTAATAATAATACGTGACTATGTCTTACCTGGTTTCGTTAGACTATATAATTTGTTAATAATCTTCAAATACCACTATCTAAGCTACCAATCAAAAGTGAAAATCAAAACTTTTGGTAACAAACATCGGCATAGATAAGATGACTAGTTTGTTTACGTAAACCCAAGCGATGTGTGATGAGTAATTTAAGCTAAAATAAGTGATACGGGCTAAACATTAAATGTATTAAAATGTGTGTGTGTGTGTGTGTGTGTGTGTGTGCGTGTATGTGTGTGTGTGCGTGTGTGTGTGTATGGATAAAAATTCACAATACACCGTATAGCTGTGAGAGACCCACAAGAGCATAAAAAGTCAACTCAACACGGTATACAATGTTTACAAGGTGAACAATAAATATTATAAAATTGCTAATTAAAAAAATAATAATAATAATAATAAATAATTAGCTCAAATATAACATAAATAAAATCCGTTTAATTAGTATAAAAAGTCCATGCAATTCTAAAAATAATAATATTAAAATATTTACAATTATTATTCTATACAGTCTATTCACAATGGGTGGTATTGCACTTGAGGTATCGTTCATATTCATAATTTATCATATTATTGTATAGCAAAATTAAATAAACAACTATTTAAACGTAATTAATAATTTCCACATAATATTCAAAACGTATCTACAATATATTATAATATTATTAAATTATTATTCTATACTTTCGTACGCGAACATTGGTATAAAAACCTGTCGCGTTCACAACGAGTACACGAAACGGTTGTTTTTTTTTAAATATTATAGTTCACTGTTGACGGTTAAAAAAAAAAAAATTATTGTTTTGCCAGAAATTCACGATTATCACATTGTTAGATTAGGCGGTACACGGGCGCCTATTATTATTGACAAACATACAGGATGCCTTGTTCGTCCATATTGTCCTTGACGAAACGATTTTTACAATTATTGGGCGTATCGCTATGGTACGGCTGCTGTTTGAATGATATTTTTCGGAAGGTTATCCACCGACATATAGATTTTGAAATGCAAGTTTCGGGACGTGTTGTGAAACACGAAGCAAAAAAAAAAAAAAATTCACAGAATTCGTCTGAAAAATACTCGCCAATCGACAGAAGGATTCGATACAATTCTCTAGGCGAGTCCATAATATGTGTACCGTGCCCGTCAAAAATGTACCGCTCTTTTTTCCGCCGAATGATAAAAAAATATTAATCCAATATATTAACGGAACGATTGTATCATAAATTATTATTATTATTATTATTATTGTATTGTTCATTCATTTATTTACCGTTAACAACGAGCCTAGAGAGCCCAGAGAACGGAATGGAAAGAAAAAAAAAAAAAAAATGATACAAACGAAAGTATTTTAATATTAGTTTTAATCGGCTAGCAGCGATTGAGTTAGGTCGGAGAGAGCGTTGGCTAGACGCGTCAAGAGGACGATTGCGGCAATAATTCGCGGTACGGTCGGGTATTGCACAGAGGGCGCGGGAACGAGTGGAGCGCTGGGGAACCCGGAAACGAATACAGGAAAGGACGGAGGGCGCATCAAATGGGCCGTTTAAAAGTTTAGCTGAAAAAACGTAGATTGACATCTGTACGTTTATCGGCGGCTAGGCCTGTACAAGCCCGACTCCGGGGGGGGGGACAGGGGGAGTATAGTCGTGAACGGGGCGGGGAACGTTCAAAGCAAGACCAGCGGAGGACGGAAAGCGTCTTTGAAGTCTCTCCGGAGCAGACGAGTCGGTGGCAGTGCACGGATCCCGGAGAACGGAACTGTACTTGATTATAAACTATAGAAAATATATTTCGCTGTTGACAACGCGGCTGTTCGGTTCAAACGTGTCGACTGGTGTAACAAGCAAGATTGGCAACATAATCCATAGCGTTGGGAAAACACGATAATCGGCGATGAATTTATCGTTGGGCGGAATTACGGTACGCTACACGGATATCTGACGACGGAAAAATAATTCTGAACTAAATGAAAAAAAAAAAAAAGCTATTATGTTTTCGATGGTTTTTGAGTAAAAAATTGCGATAAGAACAGTCGTTATGTGAGCACCGACAACAAATTTTCACCTGTTGTATTCAATAAATGATAAACGTCTATTTTTAGCATACACGATTGGGCAAAACTTACTAACGTTTAATTAATGATTATTGTAATGAGTACAATTATCGTCCATTAATATTCGAATATTAGATTAAATTTTTTCATTTGGCGGAAAAATGAATTGTCGGAACAGGAAAAGGTACATTTTTTTTTTTTTTTTTTTTTGGCGGAAATCGGTCATGCCCGTCTCTATATGGTGTTCGTTTTATTTGCCATTTTTTAACAAAACGATTTGAACCGACTAAACACTTTCGTTTTCAATCTAATTGCGCACAGCATTACATTGAAATATAAATAATAATTTAGCGAGTGATGTCACCGTTATTTTGTTCGTTCGAGACGCGAGCAAACGGGATACGGGGATACAACGGTTTAATATCGCGTATTTTATCGAGATTGGCAATAATGATACAATAATGTGCTTAACAAATGAATTGTATTTTTTTAAATCTCATCGAGTGAACTACAATACTTAAAATATTTTTTTAAAAATCATCTTCAGAAAAAAAATAAAAAAAAAAAATAGGATAATATTTTATTATAGACTTAAGCCTAAATCAGTAACGTGTTTAACAAAATAACAACAAGCATCAACCAAACGACAATAAATTAATGATTTCTGAAATAAAATGTTAACTTTAACGTTGCTCGAATAAATAATAATAATAATAGTATTCCCGGGCCGTCGACCACCACCACCGACCACGGGGTTAAAGGCATTATACGGGTTGGACGACGGGTACGGTGATGGTTGCTCCATTCGTGATCGACGAAACTGAATCGCCAAATCGGCTACTGTGGAACTGTAATCTCTGGCGCTCTCGGTGTGCATTTTATGAACTATTGTTATCAATCTATTTAGATCGTTATTATCTATCGCGATTTGGGACGTACGCGTGCAAGATAAATCGTGTTATCCACGGTTTGTGTACCAATTATACGCAGGCCGCTTTAGTATATATAATTTTCTCACACGGAGCTCCCCGCGACCACGATTCAGACAAACGGATTCAGTTTGACGGTCGCCTCATCGCATTTCGTCGTCCGACCGGTATAACGTCTTAAACCTCGAGCCACTGACCGAACGCGTTCGTGTTACCGTCCGCTAACCAGGTTAGATAACCACAACGGCGACACTTGGCTTTACGCACCGAACGTCCGGTCCTCCCGTCTTTTTCTCTTCCGTTCCCGATCCCGCATGACCGTAGCGTCCCCAGTGCCCCGCTCTTTGCGAACACGACCGTTATCCCTTCGGCGATCACCGATCACATTTTTTTTTTTCTCATCGGTCTTGAACCGATGCCAATATTTGTCCACGGGCATTAGAAGTTCAAGTTACGCCACTGCGTCGAGTCCTATAACACGATCATCGGAGTGGCGGCAGTCGTGTTCGCAGTCGTCCGCATGCGGTGGGATTTTAAGGGGGAAAATAGCGACGGGACGGGCCGTCGACTGTGTTCGAAACGAAAATTTCGGATCAACGGCAATGTGTCGCGCCAATTGCCCGCGTCTCGCCGTCGTAGTCGGCGAGCCTGTTTATCGAATTACGTGTACTTAAAAATGCGTTTTGGACAACGGCCGACGGAAATAGTTATTTCGACCCGAGCGAATACCACGGATAACGCGGAGAGTGAAATATTGAAATTTCTCATGCAATTTTTCATTTATAATAATAATAATAACCGTCGTAATAAGTTACTTAGATGATGGACGATATGACTTATTGTACGTCGTAGCCGAACACGATAACACGTAGTCGAGCATCGGGCGTTTTGGACATTGAGCGAAGGTATCGGGCAAACGGAGCGTGTATATGTGGCGAATCGTAAATCATATCGAGGCCGGAATGAAAACTATACTGGCGTTGGAAAGCGATTCGTTTTTTGTTTATTTTACTATTTTTTTTTTTTTTTTTTTTCCCATACATTTAGACCAACAATCTAGGGGTGAAACATATTTCCGGTAGTGTGAGCCTTTCTATTCCCGGTTTTAGAAACGAATCGACTTCTTTCCTGTACGTTTCGAAGTGGAAATATTTTCATTTTTTTTCCCAAACTAAATTAATCAAATAAAAACGAACAAACGTTTCCAACAACGTGCGCACAAGAAATCGGAGAATTCAAACGTAGTGTTTTCAAAATTAGAATTGGGGGGAACTGCAGTGGGCGTATTTTTTTGCTCCGGCTTATCGGTCTCAAACTCCATCCCCCCCCCGCCGAGTATTATCCCTGTTGTCTCCGTTTCATCTCTGTTTCGTGTCCCTTTCCTCTCGATCGGACTATAATAGACTAGCGGCCATGTCTATTCTCCATTAGGCAAACGAGTAACAATTTTCAATTTGCACGCGAACGGGGGGAAATTCGGACGACCGTTTCCGACCGCCGTAATCAGTAAATAAATTATGTCCGACTGTAGGGAAATTGACGCGATCTGGTCTGCTCGACACGGTTCGTTTCGCGCCGGCGGGGCCGAGACGTTTTCCGGCTGTTCCGCGCGTTCCCTGCCGATTCCCGGGCCGTCGGAAACCCGCAGCGAATCCGGCTCCGGAAAACGTTTCGGCGTCCGTTTTCACGCGGCCTGGTAAAACGTACAATAAGTCGCAGCGTCGCCGCGGAAACCGACGTTTCCGTCGTTGTCTTGCGTCCACATTCGTTCAGAAACCATCGCGCGCGGCCGAAAAACCGACCGCAACAACGCCGTAGCGCAGTCGGCTATTCGGCCGTGCCCGTTACGATAGGTGCGCGCGTACGCGCGTCGTGCTCATTGTAAACGTTTAACAAACATCAAATATTCTTATACACACATCGAAAACTTAAACTCTACGTGCAATATTATAGGTACATAAAAAAACAGAAAAAAAAACCCGAAACGTCATGCAATTCACACCAAAAAAAAAAAAAAAAAAAAAAAAGNGTTTTTTTAGGTTTTTTTTTTTTTTTTTTTTTTTTTTATATAAATATGTATAAACAATATCATAAACGATACGTTAAATTAGGAACATAATTCGTGGCTTTTCCGTTAGTTTTGGATGGATATTAATTCGGAACGTTTTGTCGTGATCCGTCCGTTGTTAATAATATGATATTAATTACGCCGGAGCCGAAGAAGAGAGAGAGAAAAATTATAAAAAAAAAAAAAAAACTGTACAAATAAACGAACGGGGACAAATAAACGAAATGGGGGAAAAAAAAAAAAATGATAATAATAATAATAATAAAAAAAAAAACTCGTCGTTTTCGTAACGGCGACCGATTTTGCGGGTGTGCGAAACGAAATGCTCGACTATACATTTAATAATAACTAGTAGTGTAAATGCACGGGGTGTCCCGCGAAGACGTACCAACCCGTTGCGTTTATTATTGTTTCCCGCGATAACGAAATTGCGTTTTTTTTTTTTTTTGGGATGGGGGGTCAAATTACGCGGGTAACGGCGCAGGTTCGTTATTCACGGGGGGGGGGGGTTGGGGGGTCGGCGGCAAAATGTCGAACCGTTCGCGTGTCCGTTATCACGGGAGAGACATTATCGCGACGCGGGTACGGCGGGCGCGTCTTCGCGGGACACGCCGCTGTTTTATACAGGCGCACAATTATATTATCTACAAAATACAATAGCCGTGACGGCGCCGAGCGACTACTGTCTAACATAGTATGTACACAGAAGGCTATACATTGTTATCAAATACGGTGCGGGACAGTACGTACATTCGTAACTATACACTAAACAATATGCGTGCGTTGCGCGCGCGGGCGCCTACCAAATATCCGTTCTGTCTGTAAAATGAACGTTACCTTGGGTGTTTTCGGTGCGGGCTTTTTGCAACGCCACTAACATGTTCGGCGACTTGGCGGTCAGCCGGGGGCTGGTGGCGTTCGCCTGCCTGTAGCTGTCGCTGCGCTTCACGACCGACTTGACGTCGTCGTCCAGGCTCGTTTCCAGGCACTCGGTGGGGTCTTGCATCCGGACGTACGCGCCCTTCACGACCTCCTTGGGCGACAGGCTGCGCCGGGTGGGCGATATCAACGGGGAAACGGGTTTCCCGGTGTTGGCGGGTGTCCGGCTGTTGTCCGGCAACACCACCCGGACGGGCTGCGGCCGGTTCAGCACCGTGCCGCTGCTCACGGCCACCGTCAACGGGAACGCGGTCTTGGCCCGCCTCTGGCCCGGCGAGCACGCCAGCGGTATGGGCACCAGCGGTTTCAGCGGCGGGCCGGCCGCGTTTTGTCGCACCGGGCCGAGTTTCCTGGCGGCGGCGGCGGCGGCGGCGGCGGATAACGGGGTCTGCTGTTTGGTGACCGGCCGGACGATCAGCGGAGAACGGGGTATGATCTGAAAAAAAAAAAAAAACAGAGTAATGATATCGTACCACTCTGACGCGCGCTCATCCGCGGCCGCGCGTTATAAACATTTCGACGCCTACTTGAGACAAAACGTTGGCCTTGTTGGCCACCACCTGGACGTTGGCGTTTACGCACGGGCCGGGCTCGAACGTGTTGGTCGTGTGGATTTTCTTCCTCCGTTTCAGACTGTCCGAAGTGTATATCACCCTGCCCTCGGCGTTCAACGTGACCCTGGCCCCGGTGACCTTTTTGCGCTCCAGCGACCCGGCCGGCAATTCGGTCAGGTGCACGTATCCTTTGGGCTCCGCGGGTTCCGCGACCGCCAGTTCGGGCATTATGTGCGCCAACGTCACGTACTCGCCGTAGTCTTCCGTCTCCATCGCGGGCGCTATCAGCGCCTTGAGGCTCACCTCGTCGTCACTGATCGGCGGCGTAATAACGCACATCGACGGTATGCGACTGGTGTTTATGGTCGTCTTCACTCTCAATCTCTCCACCCGGTCGATTCCCTCCAGATCGGAACACTCCGACATCTCCATGTCGACCGACGGATTCGTGATGGAGTCCACCGGAGAACTGCACGTGTTGTGCCCGCTGTCCGGCGAGTCCCCGCAGTGTTCCAGAGTCGGTCTGGGTTTGACGTCGATCATCAGCCCCTCTTCCTTATACCTCGTGACGTTCTCCTTGGTCAGTCTGGACGGGGCGGTTTTCGATTTGTCGTACATCGAGTCCTTCGGACTGCCGTGGTGCGCGGCGTTTCTGTCGGGCAGCGAGCCGCCGTATATGTCTGTTTTTTCGGAAAGTTTGCTACCGCTTCTTTCTGGCACGTTCGGCGGCGATACCATTAACGATGTGCACACCGTGCCCGCTGAGCTCGCAGTAGTCGAAGTGCTGCCCCTGCCGAAAATATCGTACTCGCTTTCGGCCGACGACGATTGGAAGCTCGGGGTTAGCGCCGAAGTCGAATGTAGGGCGGACATCGGTTGGAGGGGCTCTTCTTCCCGGAGCGTTTTCAAACCGCTATCGACGTGGAACGAAGTGTAATAACCCTCGGTGTCGCAAGAATACGTGGAACCGGTTTCACCTTCGTCGCTAGTGACAGAACTGCCTCCGTGATAAGTGGGCTTTGTACTCGTACTCCCACTACAACTACTAACGCTAGACCTGCAAAACACAGATAATGAGCGTCGTATTTTCATACCGTTCTTCAAAACTATTTCGCAATATATTGTCCAAAACGATCGGTTTTAAACCGCAACACGCTCGCTGACTATACTAACCCAACTCCCGAGTATCCTATGGGCAAATAATACAATCGTTTTAAAATTCTATAGACGATCGCCGTTGAGACTCCGAATTCACAGATTAAACGCGATATTAGTATTTAGTAGTTACGCACCTAGGAGTGGATGAGAAAACGCGGCTGTACATTGTTAGAGGATATACGAGGGCACGCGCAGGAGTAGAAATGGATGAAGAAACGGTGATCCGTCGGGAGATGTGGAAGGCGAGAATAAGTGCGGATATCTGCACGTGTGACGAAAGCGAATGAGTTACCCGACGTATTTGTTGTTTGCGTAATAGATTGGTAATTTATTACTCACTAATACAATCTAAGATTACATTTAACTGTACTAGCATTGTTATAATAATTAATTTGTCTACAATCATATTATAGTTCATAATTGCGGAGAGAATTCGAATTTTTTTCCAGATTAAAAACGCTGTGTCTATATTGTGTGTAAATAATCAAATATAACACATGCGATATTCGCGAGTCCCTTATTCCCCCCCCCCCCCGGTTAAACAAAAACCCCTTTAATATGTTATTTAGTTTAATTACTAATTTTACGGTGTATTTGTATTGCGTTTATAGACTTACAATTATTTTAGTTATAAAATTGTTACAGACTTGTTCTGTGAAATATACACAATTATTACTATAGGTAGGTACCTAGTTATAATTATTGGGTAATCGGGTAAATACATTCGAAACTCAAACGAATATTTCGTTATTTAATGATTTACTTATGATTCTCAACGTTTTTGTGTGTCGCGATGTTTTCTTTCTACATAGGTATGGATTTAAATTTTGTGTACTAAACATAATGAACGAAATAGGGTGTCTTATCTCCGTAGTGTGCATAATGTATACAGTATACATTAAACAAAAATGTCATTTTTAAGTATAATGATTTAATATGAACGTGGTTATGTTGGGTTGTTTATACATTTTAATCGGACATGTTTGATTTTCGTTTTATTTAAACGCGTACGCATAAATAACGAAACGTATTTCTTTTTTTAATTTTATTTGAACAATAATTGAAAAACAAATGTACGTACCTATATTTCTATTTAATATTCTAAATAATCCTGTAAGAATAAAAAAAAAAAAAAAAAAATCTAGTTTCTGAATTATTTTTAATGGTTTGAAAAGTATATTGAATTGGTTTATGGATTGGTATTTTTGACATAAAATCGTTTAGTTCCGAAAATACGTAAATTTAATCGCGCTAATTTGCGAACTTTATAGATGACACATAAATACAAAGAAATTAGACATAGTATTTAGTAAATAATTCGTTGGTCACCTTGGTATGTGACTAGTCGAAGTTGATTGCCCACTCTCTGAACTAGCTGACCAATTGCCAGACGAAGAATGCACGGGTTCGTCCTTATCCCATTTTCTTCTTGCCAACCCGACTTTTCCTTTTTCTCTCAGTTTAACGGCTGCCGCCGTGGACGATTCTATGTTTTTCAACTGTTTCAATCTCATCCGTCCCCAATCTCTCAACAAATCGAGATTAGATTTTTTCTCAGTTACCACTACGGTCGTGCTGCTGGACACAACGTCGTCAGAATCTTTATTACTATCTGACAAAGAGCTACGAAAAAATAAAATAAAAATACATATTAAACACACTGTTTGAATGATTAAAAATATAAAATGTGTTCGGCTTATAGCATACCCAATAACAGCTTCTAATTCTTTTTGATCGGTGCCAGCGATGGTGTTCCTTCTCATGCCTCTTGGCCTTCTGCTCTTTCGTCGTCTAACAGACGTTTCATATTCAACGTTCTGCAGAGATCTCCTAAGGGCGCTCATACGGTTGAAACTCCTGCCAGATACGTCAACTTCGACTATTTGTGGCGGGAATCTAAATCAAACAGTGGATTTAATAAAATGAAACCAAATATTTGACCGAAAATCTATTTGTGTTGCGATAAAAATATTATGACTTACTTCAGTGCGATCACCTGCTGCTGTTCTTCGGGCGACGGCAACTTGTGGTCAATTTGGTCTTCAGATATAGGACTTGGGTCTCTAGGTATTCTCGATGAACAATCAGGAGCCACGGTAATATCCCCAAGAACTTCTTCTGACGTCCAAGGACGGAGTTTGGTGATTGCTGCAGGCTGTAATAATTAAACATCAAAATTTAATAATATCCATTGTGATTATACCAAATGGGAATGGGTGTTTTCTCTACGATTCATAATAAATAGAACCTAGGGCTATTTGATTATTTTTTTTTTTTTTATTTATGATCCATTATTCTGACGGACATTAAATCGATACACCACAATAGGTTACAATGGTAATGAACAAAACAAAGAATAACCAACGGAAGTACAGACAGATTATAAACTTTGTTACTTGAACGCGTAGATAAGCTGTTGTACTGCAAGTTATTAAAATGACCATGTTTTTGTTTTTGTTTTTTTTTTCTAAAGATAAAAAACGGATTTCCATTTAATTGTTTTGACTATAATATAAATGTTATCGTTAATTATCATTTTAAAACAGTTAATGTAATCGATTAAACCGATTACTCGAGGCCAATGTCGATAATAATCGAAATAACTGTTAGGTACTTATGGAATATTGATGATATCTGTATATTATAGCTGAATTTTATCGTAGCGACATTTCGTGCACGTTTCAATGAAAATTGTGAGTCCGAAATCATCCGAGATATGGCAATTTAAATTTATTCGATATCCAATAATAATAAGTTAGACAAGTCGATTTCATAATATTTTTCACGACACCTATTAAAATATTGTAATAGAAACGTAAACAACTGGGGTATAATTATTCTCTGTCGCGTTTTAAAATCACCGTTATTAACGTCAATCAATCGTCGTCTTCTTCGTATCTGAAAAAAAAATATCAAAACCCAACTTTAAATTGCCGTATATCGGCTAATTTTGGACTTGGAACAGCGGGTTTGACCATTGAAATTCACGAAAAAGTCCGTGAAAAAATAATAAGCGGTCAAAACGGGGGGGAGGTGAGGGGTGAGGGCGGAGTTGCCGTTTAAGTTACGCACATTTGATAGGCGGTAAAAAATGTCGATTGCGTGTAAACGTCTAAGTACCGATATAGATGTAATAATTGATTAGAAAAAAAAACAAATTATAATCGCACGGCTCCGTACAAAGCATATAGAGCGTTTTAAATTAGCATTTTCACACGGTATACGAGGTCTGACCAATAAGTAATGAGACTGTTTTTTTTCCACGCTTGTGGTAATACTGCGAATCTGAAACTTCGTTCGGTTAATCTCTCATCCCTCCTCTATCGATACATGTGCTCGCGGTTTTCGTACAATAATTAGTTTTCCAGTTGTGTTATGTTTTCGACAACGTGTTTGTAAGGCGTGTCACAAATATGGAACAACGTAATATAAATTTTGCGTTAAACTCGGCGATTCCGNAAAGTGTTCGGTGATGAAGCCCTGAGTCGTGCTCAGGTGTTTCGATGGCATAAAAATTTTAAAAATGGTCGTGAAAGCGTCGGGGATGAACCGCGAAGTGGGAGACCGGTTGAAGCTCGAACTGACAACAATGTTCAGCGTGTGCGCACTCTCGTGCATCAAGATCGGCGTTTAACCGTTCGAATGTTGGCTGATGAACTTAATTTGAAACGAGAAACCGTCAGAAAAATTTTAACTGATGATTTGTCCATGAAAAAGCTGTGTGCAAAGATGGTACCGAAGAACCTTTCGGCGTGCCTTCAGTGTGTCGCGATTTTTGACCTCTAAGAACATCGCAGAGTTGCCACAAACGCCCTATTCGCCGGATATGTCACCCTGCGACTTCTTTTTGTTCCCTCAAAACAAAATTGGCCGTGAAAGGAACGCATTTTGAGTCCATAACTGATATCCAGAACGCCGTGACGAGGATTTCAGGACATTCCAGTCGAAGCCTTCCAGAAATGTTATGAGAGCTGGAAAAAACGTTGGAACCAGTGTATAGGGGTGGGAGGGGAGTACTTTGAAGGGGATCACATCGATGTATCTTAATATTTAAATATACGTATTTTATTGAACTAGTCTCATTACTTATTGGTCATACCTTGTATACTCGTATATGTGTGTGTGTATGTACGTACGTTTCGTTTATTTCTAATCGAATGAAATCCATCGGGTTTAATTTGATTTCCGTACATCATGTCGAATCGTCAACATAATGTGTACGGCATGTATCGTCCGTGATAACGATAGATAAAAATAACAATACTGTTTTTCTATACTTAAAGCACATCCGACACCGCCGCAGGCCGCATGTTCGGCGCGGTCCGAGTCGAATCTCCGTACGCATTGTTCTGTGCGGCTAACAAGACGAAAACGCGACCTTGACCGGCCACGATTGAGAATATCATTGTCCGCGTAGCATTTATTTCCCATCTAAACGCGGCGCGATAGTATTCGAAAGATCCAAGGGCAGATCCGAACGTGATAATAGGGAACTTTCTTATTGCGGCGGTATTAGGACATTCCGAAATAATAGTATAACGCGTTATTTTAAAAATATATACATCACAATAAATGTCGACGGCCACGCGTCTGATTCGGATTTCGTTTGGCGATGTGAAAGAAAAAGACAAAACAAAAAAACGTTCTAATGAAAATAACGACGGACAGAAAAAAAAAAAAACGAAACGATTATAGTATTTCGATTGTACGTATGATATTATTTTTCGACTCGAATCGTCGTGATTCTCTTTGACGTAAACAGTGTTCGATATCGACGCGTATCGAGCAGTGTTGAAAAAAAAATAATAATAAAAATAACAAAAAATGATTTATAAGTTGTAACTGTCGAAAAAACAACAACAACTTGGAAATTTAATAATTTACAATATTGTTTACGCGTCTCGGTTTTTTTTTCGTTTTTATACGTATAATTTGTTATTACGATAAATATTAAAGAATCAATAACCGTAATCTTGTTGATGACGCTCGAAATGATGTTTTATACTCGATTGTCGCGACGTTATTTTCTAATGATTAGGGCCCGGATGCATTTGCATCTTTTTTTCTAATGCGTTTATACGAGGCTTGTCTTTACAGAAACGTGACTTATGTCGTGTATAATTCAACGGAAAAATTTTTATTTTGCATTTTTTTTTTTTTTTTTGGTAATTTTTGGTTATACGGTCACTTTTTAGTAATTTCGGAGCATTCTTTGCAGTTTTATAGATATATTTGCATTTTTCACATTTTTCTTATATACTATTTTGACATAACTAAATATTTGAAAAAGCTAACGTATTGTACAACATATTGTGTTACTGACATTATTTCTTATCTCCGTTTTAAATTTAATTTAGGCCCTGTAGTCTGTACACACGTGCATTACTTTGATGTGCTGTTTCTTCTGCGTTATCGACAATGGAATGGATAACTTATCGATAAGTTATAATTTTATTTATTTAACAGTTTTACCGAGAATAGATTAATACACGGCACGGACGTAGCGGTGTGATTGACGGATGGTGAACTTTTCTATTTAAATATTCAATATGCCCAAGTACAAAGTTTCGGATAACACTCGATTAAATTGTAAATTTGTAAATCATTTTGGCAAAGAAGTGTTTTCATCCGATGGCACTGTGTTATTTTGCAAAATTTTCGAGGTAAAAGTGGCAGCTGACAAAAAATTTACCATCGAGCAGCATGTTTCGCGTAAAAAACATGTTCATGGAGTTTAACTGAAAAATAAAAACCAAAAACAAAGTACAAGCAAGGCACAACGTTTAATTACCGAATCATCTAAAAAAATCATCTTTCAATCATGATCTGTGTCAAATATCCCATTGCAAAAACTACAGAATGAAACATTTAAAAATTTTCTGGAGAAATATACGAATAAATTAATTCCCGTTGAATCAACTTTAAAGAAAAACTATGTTTTTCAGTGTTAATTATATATATTATATATTATTGTTAATAATATACTTGTATTACCCGTCGAAACAGTGGCGGATTTGATTCGTCTTTCAGGGGGAAGGGGGCAATATCCTTTTGGTTCAAAAACAATACTTTCAACTAATATGACCAGACGTCAGTCAGTCAATGTGACCGCTGACCGCTTAATGTGATAGCACAACATCAACAGAGTTGATTATAATTTATTAACACTGAATTTTTATACAGATGTCTGAAAGAAATTAGGTATTATTTTTCGGTTGTTTGATGTCCTGGAGGGGGCCATGCGTGGTCCCTATGCCCCCCCCTCCATAAACGCCGTGCTTGCGTTGGAAACGAGTTACCGATGTTTCGTACAAATATACGAGAACGAGAGAAGAACAATGGACAAAAACGAATTATCGTGGTTCAAAACGTATTTTATTTCGTACCGTGTGTGACGATTCGATTGGATTATTATATTACGACCGTTCAGCGCACACCTGTTGCGTCCGGTTTTAATAATAATTAATCTCTTCCTATTTTTTTTTTTTTTTTTATTATTATTTCGTTTTTTAAATATACTTATATTTTTATTTTATTTTTTGCGCACTTCCGCGCGAAACCGGGCACGTTCAACAGGTATTACAATATTATCATTACTATTATAATCGTGTACGCCGAACGGTTAAATTCGCGGGCATAATATCGTTTTTATTGTACATACAAAAAGTCCGCCGGGTCCTTTATTGCTATAATACGATCGTAATATTATCGTTATAGTACGCGTGATCCGGCTGAATTTGAGAAAAAAACATTTTTTATTGAATTCGTGTGTATTGCATACAAAATAATATAAACGTTTGAAATGCTAACTAACGACTGTGCCAAAAACTCGCGTATAGAATTTAACGGACGCACATCGCGTGTTTTGAATATTTTAATCTCGATGTTAAGAGGACGCTATACCCACTTATGTATTGTCTCAGTCCAACTAACGGCGGTAACTCGCAAAAACCACGTTTATATTACACGGAAAATAAGCAAAACTAGCTTAATTTCGATTTATAAAAAACGACCGAAAATCGCAATTAATGTACTATAGCGAGATTGATATGAGATGTACTTCAACGCAATAAAAAAAAACGAAAACGTTTTCGTATGAAAACGAAATTTTCCTACACGTCTTTACTCTCAGATTATTTCGCTCTGAGGAACTACAATTTAAAATTTAGAATCTAAAATTACGATTTTACCATATTATTATCACACGGGTGTTTATTACAGTAAGTTTGTTCGACCGATATATTATGAGATGCGTAACGACAAACTGATTTCACCGTCCATAAATCGTATCGGAGGTTCGGTCTTTAGTTGTCGAGCTTCTAATTTCGTGTTGTCCAGATGACCTGCACTATATAATGTTGTATTGTCATTTTCAATAATACGCCGATTCATTATACGGGACATAATATTACGACCTTAATATTTTAGACTCTAAAAAATAATATAAAACCGCCTTATACCTGTAGTACTCGTAATCGCATAATAATACGTACACGGATAAAGTCAGGGCTCGGAAGTTGTAGAAGCTAAAAAAGACAAAATATGCACGAAAACATTCTAAAATATGCATGAAAAAAATTGAATAAATATGCAACAAATTCTTCAGTTTATCGTTCAAAAACATATAATTTCATTATTAATAATCGACTGAGACGGAAAGAAATAATAACAAATAACTGCGTCAGACAATATTGAGTGTTTTGAATTTAATATTATGTAAAATAAATTGGTTGAGAAAGAAAAAAAAAAAATCAATTTTTTTTAGAAAATATTAAATACGCATAAAAATATGCGAGAATCAATTATAACCGAGGAAATATACAATAACGCAATTTAAATGTTCGATTTTTAAACTCTACACCGTATAGAAAGTATTTCTAGCTTGGTCCGTTATAAACTCGGTGCACACGGACAAATACGCAACTCCTATGACTTCCGAGCCCTAGTCATAAATAATATTTTAATAGATTCGTTGGAACATTTTCGTGTTTGGACAAAAGTGGTGTCTACCGCAATTACCGGCAGAACAACAAAACCACCGTCATTGTGTTGGCGCGAGCATCACCGTCATCGTGCGTTTGTCGTAGTACACGGTTTCATAACGCGTGCGAAACTGTACGCACGTTTTAAACTTAACGCGAAACGTTTTTATCGGTAAAAGCCCATTGAACATATTGCCGAGCCCGAACAATCGGAATAATGACAATATTGTTATTGTATCGCGCGCGGCCGAATAATTATGCGAAAGAAAAAAAAAGGAAAAAAATAAACGAAAAACCGTACCTTTCTGAGTTCTATGTCGTCGGGTATACAACTGTCGTCTAGCGACCGTTTTCTCCTCGACAGCCTGTGGACGTGCGGTTTGTTTGCGTATACTTTGCTCGGCACGCCGGCCTGGTCGTAAAGTCGTTTGACCCAGGCCGGTCGGTTTTCCGCCGACAGTAGATTCTTGTCCAGTTCTTGTTTGCTCTTGTAATGATCGGTTTTCAAACTGAACGCCGTCAGGTCGCTTTCAGCTGCGAAACAACAAAACGTAATGTTATCATTATTACCGTTTCCAGAAACGTTAGACAAACCGCCGCCGCGTATAGTGCCGCGCTATATTGAATTACCGTAATAATGGAATCATCGTGTTACGCACGCGACACTCCCTGTATTAATTTAATATTTTCAGGTGACAACAATCGGACCACATTTTTTCTCTCTCTGTACAATCAAGGCCGCGTCGCGCGTTTATACGCTCCCGCGAAATCGAAATTCTCGCGAGAAAAAACAAAAAAAATCATACGAGCCGGTACGTAATATACAACCGTTATCGCCGTTTCCATTTCGCTCATCGCTGCACGTACGATACGCGCATTTGCATCGGGTATTTCGTTTTGAAATCTATCGGCCCCCCCCCCCGTTGATACGTGACGCGCACCACATCGTTTACCGATAACGTCCTACTTAAAACGCGAAAGTTTGTCCGCGTGTAAGTTTGTTACCGAGCTGCCGATGGAGACAGCTGCAGGTATATTGTTGTTAAATGGTTTCATCGGTTTTATTTCTCGACTTTGCTTTTGATTTATCGTGATAACCGAACCTCGCAAATCGCGGTTTTGAGGACGTTTTCGTTATTTTCCCCGTTTCTCGTTTACCATACTAATACCTACTTAAGTGCCTTGTAGTTTAACTACACTTGTCGGTGAAAGTATAACTGGTAAATAGGTACGTATTATAGTTTCGCGCATAAATTGCATATTTAAGTTTTTATTATTACTTTTTTTTTTTTTTTTTTAAAACCCGTAATTCTGTCGAAACACGCATATATGTAAAGTATATTTTAAAACGTATATGGATTAAATCGTAAACCTTTACTTATACAGTTTATATGTGTTACCGTATTAAATTATTCAATTGGACCGCATTAATTGGCGTGTATTTGATTTTAAATTATCTTTTTAGATTAAAAAAAAAAAAAAATCAATTTAGTAATGTATGATTATATTACAATAGCAGCTACCTACTAATTATCGAGTCTCCTTTTTTTTTTCATTGGTTCATGTCAGCGACTATAGGTTTATTATTATCTATGTTTAAATCTAGGACACGTCTTTTTTTAAATTTTTTTTATCTGCATTAAAAATGTGTCGGATAACCAATTATTATTTATTTTATAAACATTGTATTGGTACATGTATGTACGTTATATCATGCCGTTACATTACATAAATACAACGCGGGGAATCGGTAAAAAAAAAAAAAAAAAACCCGCGATCAAAGAGTTAACTTTTGTAACAATAATATTCGGCTAAAAGTGTACGTTACAGGTACAGGTAGGTATTTTAAATACTTAATTATTTCATTATTATTATACACTGTACGTACGTATACGTATAAATCACTGATTAACAGAACAATAAATTACACGAAAAAAAAAAAAAAAATCGACGGGTTAGACGTTTGATTCGCCTTAAGAGAATATTATTTTATAATCGCTATAAAAATCGGTAGACGAAAAGCGTAATAAATATTCTCGCTCGTTATGTAAGCATTATGTACGTATACCGTATAACGAAAAAACGATTATCACTATAATAGTATTGAGTGTGTTTTCTAAAACTAGTTTTGATCGACCGCGGCCGAGCTGATGACGATAGTTAATTAAACGTTAAACAACGATAGGTAGTAATTACAGGTTTTACGCGAAACGGTACGTCGATCCTCAAAAAATAAAAACCGATAATACAACAATTATTATTACATATTATAATATAATGCACGTATGACACGCAAGTTCGTTTTCGATTCGTAAACTGCGTCGCAGTTGATTACATTAACGTGTTTATTAATTTCTTGAATTTTTTATTTTCCGATTACATAATGGAACATCTATTACTATATAAGTGAATAGATAATACGTAATTTTACTCGCGAAAATTCTATATATCATTGATTAATATAGAGTGACTTTTTTTTTTTTTTATCAGGAACCAACAATTATCTCGGAGAATGTTAAGTGAATTTGATTTCGGGTTTTTTTTTTTTTTAATCATTGTGGAATCGTTTAAGTTTTATTTTAAATTTTTTATCTCTACTCCGTACATCTTAAATAATTATTTACTTTTGTTTTTCATCTAGGAATCCCCCTTTTTGGTCACAAATTCGAACAGAGAATATTTGTCTAAAAAATTTGATATGCGTAACATTAATATCAGATTTATCGTTTGTGAGTTTATAACCGTTTAATGTTTGGACCGGAGCAATAAGGAAGAATTTATCATTTAAATATATTAAATATATTTATGCCCTTAGTCATTATACCTTTACCTATCCCTCCGGTCTACGCATATCAAAATGTCTAAAAGAAAACAATATTCTCTATTCGAGTATGCGTTCAAAAGGGGAGGGGGAGTTCTTGCTTGAAAAACAAAAGTATGTACTTATTTAAGATATATGGAGTAGGAGTAAAAAATTATAAACGGTTTTGTAATATTCCACAATGATTGAAAAAACAGAAATCATATTCGTTTAAAATCCTCTAAGAAAATAATTACTGGTTCATGATAAAACAAATTACAACAAACAAGTATAATTTTATACCTAGTTACAAAATGTGTCGAAATATTTTGAACCAAACTTGCTTTAGAATCGTTTCCGATTGCACCGATGTACCGTTGCGCACAGCTATAAATTAAACTGTCCTATTGTGTTTCTTATATTTTCTACTCTTAACTTACGACCACGATCCAAAGTGCAAGGTACAATATGGGTACATCGGATTTTCGAATTTATTTCATAATAATTATTGCAATAGTTTTCTCCGATAATTGTGGATATTTGCCCTAAATCAATGTTTCCCAACCTTTTTTTACTCAACGCCCCTTTTAGACTTTCAAAAACTCACACCGCCCACCCACAACAAATTTTTAAAAAAAATGACCGTTTATTTTTTCAGCCATATATTTAAAGTGAAAAATAAATATTTTCTTCGCATTTTGTTCACGGACATTTTATCATGATTACGTATTAGTGTAACTAACATACACGCACACTAAATTATAATTTTATGTAATAAATGCAAGTATAGGTACAATTATCGGAAATATCCGGATGAAAATGGGACTAAACGAAGCTTATGGGCATCGACACGATAAGATAAAAGCTTGTTCATTACCATTTCGCTGTTATTGCAGTGTGTATAAAATATTAAATTATTAAATTATTTTTTGTTGTATGCAGGTATACATTTCATTGCAATAAGTTATGCGTTTGCTATTAATAATTTAATAATAGCGAATTATTTGTACAATGAAAGTCACAGTACAATCACCCCACCCCTTAGCGCCCCTTTAAGTAAAGAGCCCCTTTCAAAATTAAAAAAAGCCCACTAGCGGGCGGTACCGGCCACGTTGAGAATCACTGCCCTAAATTATGAACCGTCCTATACGTTCTTTTTTATCAGTCCTCGTCTGTAATGTGCGGGATAATAACGGACCTGTTCACATACGGAAACGTTGTAAAATAAAGATCAAAACTGTCCGCATTATACAAAAGGAAAATAAAAAAAAAATGTTTTATCATTATTTTAAAACGTACAATAATAATATAATACGTCATGTTTGAAATACGTTTTATGCGGGGTAAATAACTTTATACGAATACGGATATCCGGTGTACGGAAGATAAGTGTGCGACTTGCACAAGCACCCCGGTACGGTACGTGCTTAATCGACTTTGAAAATTCGTGGCCGTTGCATAATACGTTATAAACACGGCATTATCGCGAACGCCAAAAGGTTCTGTTCGCGATTACTTTTGATGCATACTGTAGGTAGAATATAATATTACACTATGTCGCACCGTACGACGTATTTTATCGTTCGAGATTATCCACGTACGGGAATACTCGCGGTTTGAGAATTCGTAAGTATTATTTTTGGATTCTGAACGGGTAATAATATGTCGTGCGGTATAATCGGAAACCCGCAGTAATATCATATGCGGTATAGGCAGAGTACATGCGAACATGCAGTACTTTTTTAACCGCGGCATTTGCTACTATTCGAATCAGTGGCGTATTTAAGAATTTGTCACTGGGGGGGGATTGAGATAATTTTTCGAAGGAAGAGACGTTGTGATGGGAAGGTTTTGCGTACTGTATACACTCATGACTGCTATATATTAAATACACACACACACACACACACACATACACAACAATTACAACAGGTATTCTACAAAAAATTATTATGACGATAGATTATTATCGTAGATATAACTAATATACATAATATTATAAATTATACTCGCATACACTAGAACACGAAATGGAATTGTTTTTTTTTTTTTTTTGGTTTTTTTTTTGCGGAACAAGTGCCTCATGAATATTGGTTTTAACAATGATGTTTATTATTATTATTTTTTATGCGAACAACTTTTTTGTCAGAAATTTCGCTCCGATTTTCAAGTATAGCACTATTTCTGAATGGAGATTGGTCTACAGGGATGGTTCTTGAAGGAGGTTATTTTTTGGTTTTCCCGGGGGTTTTCATAACAAATGAGAATAACCGGAATATTTGACTTAGGAAAAACGGGACAATTTACAAAATGTATTATTTTCAAATCTCAATTGTTACGGCCTTTCAAAACACGTGTAACCGAACTCCGCTCAGAATCGTTTTTCGTTAGCAATCGTTAATCATTACGCACAGATTTACATTGAATTTCCCCTCAGATAGCACGCGAGTATGTCCGTTTTTTCCTACTTTAAACTCGGCTCATCGACGACCGATGGAATTGTAATATTTCGACAACACATTAACAGAGAAAAACAATAAATAAAATTACGCATTGCAATAATATTTTAATGATATGTACAATATGGTGTGTATCGTAATTTTAATATTGGTCAACTAGTTACATCAAAATATAATATTATATAACATTAATATTGTCTACACTACATTTTATTATAGTGGACATCACTTTATTTTATCAGTTTATAAGTCAATTTAGATTAATACAAAATAGTATGTATAACAATTAAATATTTCAACATAATAATAACACATGATAATGAGAACCGAACAACAGTGCCCAGCTCTTTTCCTCTTTTTCTCTCATAAAAGACTCCTCGATTCATTCGGCCACCGAATCCTGCCTTGGCGACTCGTCATCTATTTCGTCTTCTCGCGAGTGCGTGTTGTTCCTCCGGCTTCTAACATTCCGACATCATCGTTTTTAAGTAAATCAAGTGTTTGTTTTATCATTCCTACTACCTATTCTCATCAACACAATAAATAAATATAATTATACCTGTATTCAAAATCAACATTGTTGCTGAGGATACTCCGTTCAGGATAGATAAGTATATTATTGTTACCCTTCATAGTTTATATTTTATATTAATCGTTTCCTATCGCCGTAGGCTGTAATAAGTAATCTAAGTGGTTAGTGGGTATACATTCAGTTGCTTTGCACCCAATTATTCGGAATATTACAATATCATCAGATATTATTGAATAACCGAACACCGTTTATTAGCTATAGCCACAGCCCATATGATAATTGGATTCGTAATAATAATTATTATTTGCTTTACTACGGCCCTGCGTGTAGGAATTGATCCTCTACAATCCCTATACACCCGTAAATAAGACACTAGTTCGAATGCATATTATGTAAATTGCGATAGTAAAATTAAAAGTTACGATATTCGAATATTCAGTATATGAAATCGTTTGGAATTTTTTTTTTTTTTTTTTTTTACGTCATTCGGATATCGGACGCTTCGCAGACATTTTATACTTGACCACGATATTATAATAATAATAATAATATTATTATTATTATACAGTCGTCAGTGGCCGTTCTTTATAGTGCGGTCGATAATCCACCGCACCCTGGTCGGCACGACTCATTGTTTGCGTTCATAAGGTTCAAAAAAAAAAAAAACTACAATAATTATTATTGTTGTATCGGTTCGCGCTGATCGAAAATCTTGACGACGCGGCCCGTACCCAGAGGCCGGCCGCCGCGACGACCACGTAGTCGTCATCGCCGCGTCTGCAGATCCTTTCACGTGACCATCCGCGAAGACAATCGCCGTAGGTAACCACTTACTCGGTACTAGGCATAGCGCAGGTATACCGAGACCACTATATTATTACTATGTATACGCTAGTGTGCGACTATTACGACCATCACCGCGTGTAGTATACCAATGCGAGTTCGGTGAACCCGCTGTGCCCCGTCGCCAACATCGCACACGGCGGACTTTATAAGTCCATAAAAGGCATGAACCACGTCTGCGTGTGTACATTATAGTCACGGGGACCAAACGGGACCGGTCTGTCTCGGGTTGACTAGTATGCACATACAATATATACGTATATATTGTATAAGACATACGTGCTGCGGCGCATGGACGGACGGCCGCAGAAGGATTTGGATTTGAAGAAAAAGAAAGAGAAAGACACGCCGAGCGATAGAGAGACAGAGAGAAAGTATTAGCGGTGAACGTGATGCGATTTCGAAAATATGTTTCGGTATACGCTACAGTAGTCCTGTTGTCGTGTTCCCGGCGCCCAAATCGTGGGAAAACGGTCAGATTTCGATATGCTCTGTCGTAAAACACCGTCATGGGTCCGACCGACGACGATAATATTGCCCGAATAAGATTCTGTTTTTTTTTTTTTTCACGCGGCCAGAGTTCGAATTTTTTTTACGGCGGCGGCGATTCCATAGCGATCCGCGAAATCGAAAAATATGCGCCAAGGTCAGTGGCGATCCGGTGTAACGCGACGATAGCGTACAAAACATAATACAGGGATCGCTTTCGGCAGCCCGGCCCGAGCCAAATCTATTTTTACCGCGGCTATCGACTGACCTCGCGCAAACTAAATAAACGAGAATATACGTCGGAAAAGAGAAAAAAAAGTTATTATTATTTATAGACCGTATTATCACGAGCTATAGTACAAAAAACTTCGGTCGAAAATGCGTGCGTTCCGCGGCGATTGGTTTACGAGGCGAAAGTTTTAAAACGTTATTTTCGCATTTCGGCGGAACGTACACAGATTACACGTCATCTTATATTATAATAAAAAAAGAAACACCGATATCTAACAAAGTACGTCTATTAATCTCTATCAAAATATCTACGGCGGCTTGAGTATACATCGCCGGTATAATGACGTTCGTGTAAATATTGTATAATAAGGTAACATTTTTTTTTTTTTTTTTTTTTTTTATTCCTTAAAACTGCGGCGTGCTTAAAGATATTATCTTCCGGCAATTATTTTATGCACGTTACATTAAAAAATTAATTGTATACCTAGTAATTAATAGCGCACTGATTGGTACAGGTATACACGCGCGTTGTGGGGTTCGAGAAAAAAAAAAAGTTGTCCGTTAAAAAAAAAAAACGCTATAGGTGCGTGTCCGTGAAAAAAATGTATATCGTAGTCGACACGGTTTATACGAAGCTATTTCGACAAGTACATCGTATTATTGTAGAAACGTTAAAATTTAGAATTATTTTTACTTTTGTCAAAAAAAAATCCTGATTTTGACCGATTCTGCAAACAATTTGTCCATGTCACCCGTGTTTATTAATGTGTAAACGGTCGGCAATAAATTAGCGTGTATAAACAAATGGTATTTATAAAATACCCGTTTAATACCTACGTATTAATATTTATAATAAACAGTTCGTAATATTATGCTAAATTATGTAAAATTATTACGTTTTTCAATAGGTGTACGCATTGAAAAATCTAAAAAAATAAAAATAATAATATTTAAAAATACATTAGAATGTAAAATAAAAAAAAAACGAATGTCATGCTCCAGAAACCACCCCAGACGGTTTTTTTTAAAAAATAAAACCTAAAATAACCTTAGAAAAAAAAATGTGTATTAATAATAGTGTACGATATTGCACAATCGTTTTAATGATATTCAAAATACTAACATCATAAAATATGCGGTTTGAATTTGAACATCTTAACCTAATTTTCCTCTTCTAGGAAAAAAAAAATAAAAATAAAAAGGCCGTGTAGGCCTTACGAAAAAAATACAACGAAAATAGAATTTCGTTAGTCATCGTCAAGTGTACATTATATTATTAACTCCCCGGAGAACAAAAAAAAAATCAAAACAAAACACCTACATAATACGTATGTAGGGCAGATTAAAATTGATAGGTATTGGAAATACCAAAGGGGGCATAAACTAAATGGGAATGGAAATGCGTGCGAAGTTTACGGATATTTATCCGTGACGAGAATGTCTACCCATATCACACGCTAAAAAAAAAAAAACTGTCGTAGACGTCTGCGAAGTTAAAACAAACCGTCGTCGGCATTAATCGCACGTCCGACAAAATTAAACACGTTATAATATTAATAAAAATAAAAATAAATAGAAATATTTAAAGGAACAGGAGATAAATGATTATTTAATCGTAGACGCGGAGAATCGAAGAATAAAGTGGCATAAAGTTTCGAAGTTTTAAAACAAATCGGGGAAAATAGAATATACCGAACGCGCGTCATCCCAAGTTATTTGTCGTTATCATTTCAGCGGCGCCAGTGTATAATTAGAGAAGTCTGTTCAGGAGTAAAAGATGAGAAACTCTTCGTGATTTTAATTCGAAAATATTTCGCATTAATATTAATTAATTATCGCTCTGAAGTTTATTTACGATGTTCTAACAACGCTGTCGTTCCCGTTTTCGTTTTTTTTCTCAATACGTTTAACGATTTCTACGTTTAATTATACTAAAAAAAAAAAAAGAAGAAAAAAAACAGATATCGTAATAATATCGTGTTATTAATGGTTAATAATAATAAAAACACGATTAATTGGCACTTCAAAGAGATTTTGTAATTAAATGCTATAATAATGTATAGTTTAAACCTAGGTCACGGTATAATGGTATATTATATACGTAGCGTATAAACTCCATAAAAACGATTACATTGTGTTTACTGTCGGTTCATTTTTTTATTTCTCTATACGTTCTAATCGTTTATAATATTTTTATAGTGTATTCTATAATATACAATATTTCATTCAATACTGCGGACGTTCAACAACCGTGTTAATGTTTTCAGCGAAATATCGATAACTATACGGACAATTAAAAGGAAAAAAAAACATCAAAACGAATTGGACTTTCGATGCGTAGGTGTGTGTGTGTGTTTAATGACTTGAAAACGACGACGTCATTTGGGGGGAGGGTAAGAATGTTCGGTCGCGCCCTGTATACTTTTAAAACAATCCCCCAATTGGCCTGCTGAAATAACGCACCCATTATTTATACAACCAAAATTAAACTGTATTTTTATAAATTATATAAATATAGTAAATAAATATATAATAATTTATACATTTATTTACGAGTATTAACCATTTTAATAATTTTGTTTTTACTTTAATATCGCGTTATGTATTATTATATTCGCAATATTGTTATTTCACTGACAATCGTGGTTAACTTGTACGGGTTCGTAAGCAAATATCGCGTGCCGTCAAACAATTGAGTAAACAATATTGTGCCCACAATCGTTGCTTATCATAAACTGAGCCGCAGGTTAAATTTTAGTTTATGATTTAGATGCGTTTGCTTAACACGAAAATCGCCGGTATCCGCTCGTTTAAAATACATTTTTTGTAGAGCGTTTTGCTTGTGCAAAAGTTCTAAGTATTACATATTACATAAACGATAATTTATAAATGCAAATATTAAGGGGTTGTTTTGTTCTGTTTTTTTTTTTTTTACTTCGTTTTTCTTCTTCTGTAGTCTATACGCGTTACTGCTTGGTTTTCACGGGAACAGTACTACCGAATCAATTATACTTATTATCTTTTATTTTTTAAATTGTATTTTACTATTTATGTTGATGCGGTTCGCCGTGATCTGTGAAAACAATGATAATGCAGAATAATGTAGACACATTTATTTTTATGTGACCTGGTGAAATTTCGAGATAATCGGTTTGAAACTACGCGCACCCAAAAAAAAAAAAAACCCCAAAATGACGCCCCCGTTTGAAATTTAAACTAATTAATTAAAAAGATAATCTATTAATAATTGGGATAGTATCAAAATAGATGTGCATTATGTTCAAGTGCAGTTTTTTGATACGCAGACCCCGTTCGAGTAGGTCTTCGCTTCAACTATTATCGAAACGTAGAAGAGCTGCGCATACTGAACGAAAACGCGACACACTTCGATCATATACCTATATATTTTTTCAGTTGGTTAATTTTGATGTTCGGAAGGTTTCGAGGGATCGTGGGAGATTCGAAAATGTTGATGAGGCCAAACGAAAGTAGTATTATTTTATCGGTCCCTTAGTTTGTTTCTGTAAAGTGTTCTAAGCTCTTATTGAGACGACGACGACGACGACAATGTACAAGTAAAAGATAAATGTAGATTAGTTTAACGCGTTGAACTGTACAAAGAAGAAAACTCGAATTCCTAACGAATATCGGCCAAAGTCAATCATTCGTTACTCCAGGTCAGTTCTCAGTATGGTGTTGTCGGTGGTCCGAAGAAATCTCACTCGTATTTGGTATGTGACCTGCTCATTCTGGCGCCGAGAGAAAAAAAAGGTGTCGTTCGAAAGGTCAGGGATTAATCGAAAAAAATACGTAACTCCAGAGGTGGTCGTGAAAAAGGCGCATGCCTCTCAGCTACAACTTACCCATGAAAATACTAGAAAGTATATTGTCAGGCGCCAGAGCTGTTGCTTAGAAACGGCCTTTTAAAATGATTATATTGTCCGATGGAGGGAATGCCCCGCGCCTCGGCTAATTCTTTAAAACTATTTTTCGTTACAGTATTATTTCCGATTTCTCCGAGGGATGCTCTCTTATTGTTATTGCGTTTGATTGTTGTAATCGTAAAATACGACGTGTACTCTCGAACAACGAATGTCCCGTTATTTATTGACTTCTCGTCTGAACTCTATACGTCAAGTATAGTATACCCGGCCGTGTTGTATTTTTATGTCACGATACTTTATGCGTTCAAGCAACTCAACTGCATATATAGAGAGAAAAAAACCTGTTATTTAATTATCTAACCTGACCTCTACGGCCGGACCGTTGACGGTATAGTTATTTTCGTAAATGCCATGGTCAGGTACATTATGGATTTCATTAAAACTCGATGTGATTTTTGGTACCGGAATAATACATATTGCGGGGAATAACTTCAATTAATGCAGCTATCGGGTGCATTATTAAAACTAAATAAAAATAACGATAAATATTCGATAATAAAACCGAATTTCAGATAAAACTCGCGATTTGTTATGGACCGCGACTGTGCGTATATAATACATTTTAAAATATTATATCCACTCATTTGCACTCTTGAAGGTTTTTTACAACTCACGGCATACATATGCTGTTTTTGAAAAACCCCTCTATACCTTCCCAGCTTCTCATCTACAACAGTGGCCCACCCATCGTGCGAAGTAGGTCCGTCTATATTTTTTTTTTTGTAAACACGTTTTCGACACACTATTATTGCATTATATTGTATAAAAGTTTAGTTTGAACACCGTATTATCTATCTAAATTGTATTGTTTTAAATTATTGACACTGAATAATAATATAGAGAATACAAAGTAGAAAAAAAAAAAAAAACTATTAACTTTACGAGAGCTCAATAGTCAATACTATATAATATTATATAGACTCTCACTAAAATACGCGAGAATATATTATCTACTGTATAGTATACAGTTTTCTAAGCTCATAAAAAAAAAAAATAATAATAATATAACGCAATAAACGGGCTCGTTCGCGGACGATAAACGTACGATATTTGATTTATATCGCGTACCGTTTATGTTTTCTACATTATTGTACCGAATCCGCGTAAAAAAACCGATTTTACAACAGTCCGTGTAGGCCGTCGTCACAATAATAATGCGATTATTATTACTGAAAATGGGTGCCTGCGATTTTATGTTGTTCACTCCGTCGTCCGCGCGTACATCAGAGACTATTCGAACCGGGGGTTCGAGTATTTATTATGCGCGCGGTATAGCGACGCGACGTAAAAGGAAAACTTAACCTCCGTGACATCGTTTCTCCCCTACAACTCCCGACCTTCTCCCCCCCCCCTCCCCGCTGTACGAGTGTATCGGCGCGGCGGTTGATGAAACCGCCGACGAAAAGCAATATCCATAAATTCCGATCTCCCCGCGGACACCGCGCAGTTATACAGACGTATTCGAGTGTTTTCGGGGCTAATTGAAGACGGTGGCGGCCGTAAAACCCGAAATGCGATATACGTACTCGGATGCGTGTAATAATACTTCGGGCGTAAAAAATATCGCCCTCACTCCGTCCCGGTAACCAGTCGTCGACATCGCGACGACGACGACGCGGCTTATAGGATGAAATCACGTGCGACGGGGAAACGACGCGTAGATTCCAAAAATAACGCCCCGAAAGAGAGGACGTTTCATGCCGCACGGTCGCACAGCGGTCTTTGCGGATATTTTCCGACTTCAAAACGCATTATAATAATATTTATCATAGCCCGGCGTGTATACGGCGACAATAACGATATACGTGACGTCAATATTCAAACCGGACGAATTATTCATAGTTTATTTTTGTTTATGACGGACGGATAAAACGTTCTATAATGTACAGTATAGGAGAATAATTGCATTTAATCCGAGCGCAATCGAACGGAAATCGAAAACGTGCGTTAGGTACGATCACGATGGAATTCGCGCGTTCAGCAGCAACAATTGCGGCGGGCCGTTAGTTTTAAACATCAGAGCGAGTTGACACGCAGTATCAAACTTGAAGGTAAGAATAACATTATCTGTGACCGCACGTTGATGATATTTTTCAGATATTTCGAGCGAGATATGAGTGCGTGAAGTATTCAAGTATCACATATTAACATAATCAGCATTTTTAAATTTTGATAGTTCAAACGCTCGGATTAAAATAACTAAACGGACCGACGACGCGAAAACAGAGACAATTCACATCGAACTAACAAAACTATAACAGCCCAAAATTGGTTTCGCTGAACTCAAATTTGCCGCGTCGCGCGTTTGGAAGACGGAGACGACGACAATAAAAAAACAAAACCTATACTATCACGGTTGTACTTATACAGAGCGACTATTTGGCTATCGATCGAGAGAACACACAAACAACTAACCGATAACCCAAACAATTAAGTCTGTTAAGAATGAATTTATGTGCGTCGTCTGGTTTCTGATTGAGTTTAAATTATAATTTTAATAACACCATATTAATATTATATTGCTGGATAAGGGCTATACCATGTAGGCTATATGAAAGGCTAAGGTTCTATGAAAACTTTCATTGACATTATAATTTTATAATTTTTTTTTTTTTATCACGGTCTAGTGATTATGAAGATGTTGATAAAATTTGTTTTTGACTTTTTCAATCATTATGCCCATTGCTTAACTTTTATAGTTTTAACAATATGATTAAATGTTCACCTCTACTTCTTGTACGTTGTACCACGGGCAATATTTTGTAAAAAAGCTGATACTGCTGATGGGTATGCTACTGTTTTAGGAAGGGGGTTTGAAAGGAGAAAATATAGAGTAATTTCTAATAAAAAATGATTCTGAGCAGAGTATCAACAGTCGTGTTCTTTCCTTGTTGTCGATGTAATCCAGAAATCAATAAAAATTGCCAGTTTTTCTTTTATTGAAAACTACAAAGAAAATTGAGCATTTCAATGTATGAACTAGTTCAAACATGTTACAAGAAAGCTTCTATAAAGTTTTTGATCGGAATAAGATTTCTGGTGTAAAAGTTGATTACAGAAACAAAGCGAAAAAACATACAAACACATCATAAATAGATAAACCGTTACAACTATTCCATTCCTCGTTTCGCTCTGAATCTAAAATCTAAAACGAACAAAACTATCTTTCTATCCAGAAATAAAATACACGTTACGGAACGTGTCGATGGTGGTACAATTGAAGACTACAACTTCGTTGGCATTTTACAATTATTCTCGAAATATTCAACTAAATATACGAGTACTATCGAAAGTACACAAAAAATCGTATTTTATAAATGTATTACCAACAATATTTTACCAACCGAACATTATTTAGTAATTAATATTAAAAAAACAAAATCCACACCCACCACAGTGTACAACGCCCATAACAATAATACAATGGTTGAAAACACTTGAAAATCTTCGTAGACTTCATTCGGTGGATGGTGATGGCAAAAAAATGAATAAATAAAAATCCTAAATCGTAATAATACCGAAAACTGTTGTCGACGAGCGATACACGAGCTCGTCTGTATATTGCATTACTATGTATTTATGTATCGGTCCGCGGATTTATTTCGAAATTTCTCATTTGTTTAAAGGTACGAGACAATGTCGATTTTCTGTAAATCGTATAGTATGTTGTCTAAAAGCGAACCGTTTCTTCACGCAATTAGTACCGCGCTGTCGTGCGTAGGTAGCTGTTGTTCACGTAATACACGCGCGTTTTATTTAATGCGCGACCGTATACGCGCGTATAAAAGATTTACATAAAAAAAAAAAATGTAAAAAAAAATATGTAAAAAAAAAAAAACGGTGGCGGCCCACACGTTGACCAATGACGGTGATGAATACGGCGATATTAAATAATATAATGAGGATAATTTTTACGACGCTGCCGTTACTTACTCGCGGTCCGTCCGAGCCAACGGTCACCGTAAAGTTATATTCGACGGTGTCCTATAATAATGCGGCGTGTAGGCAAAAAAAAAAACAATAATAATAACTCTCTTTAAACTCAAATAATTGGTTTTGACATCTCAAGGTCTTGGCATATATAATATATTGGTAAAAAAAAAAAAATCGTACTTACTATTATTATGTTATACTGTTCTAAAGAACGTCGGACGTAAAACGCGTCTCGTATATACAAAAGACGTACCAATATGGGCGGGTAAGTGTAACGCGGATACACGCGGGAAGAAGTTAAAAAATAGAGGGGATGCGGGAAATTCGTCAGGATAATATTATAATATATATAGAATAATTTAATTTATGTATCCGTACGCAACGATTCTGAGTGAAGTTCGATTAAATCGTTATAAAACGCCGGGATTTTCTTAAAAGTTTAAAACTCTTATAAAAAAAAAAATGACCACATCACACATTTTTTTTTTATTACTAAGTAAGACTTTTAAAGCGAACTTCGTGTTAAATTTCCGAGCATTTTTCCCGGGTCGAAACATTTTTTTTCTCTACATCAAACTACAAAAAAAAATTCAGCAATTTTAAATGACTAAAATAAATAGCTCAAAAGTGTTTTGTGTTTTGTCCGTTTCTAGAAAGAACCGTTATCGCGTACACATCAGTGTTTTCCATATTATTAAGAAAACCACAAGGAAAATAAAAAAACGATTACCTTAATGCGCCAACCGTTTAACGTAAAAACTGTGTGAAAAAAGGAAGAATTTTTTTTTGTTGAGGTTCCCAACCTCTTCAAAACTAATTTTGACCGCATAGAGAACTTTCTATAAAGGTCGCGGGTCACTTCGTTTTGCTTATGGTCTTTTTTGTGTTGTTTTTACATAATAACGATAAACAAAACCCGATTATCGGCCACCGTAACAGTAGATGTTGTTAGAGATGGACCTACACTCGATATCGGTAGTTTGACGCGTGCATCGGAATGTCAGATATCGGTAAACATTGTTATCAGCCCATCCCTAATATTTATTGTTTTATCATAACTGACAATCCGTTTTATTTGTTTTATTATGTATAGGATAAAACAGTTTTACGAACCACTTATATGACAGGTTCGTGGATCACCAGTTGGGAACCACTGTTATAGAGATTAATTTTACTGAGAATTACAGAATTTTGTAAAGTAAGTATAGGCCCCCTTCGTCCTCTTCCGCGATGCGTATATCCTTGAAAAACATCACCAAAATATCACTGTATCACTATAATAAATCGTTCCGATCATATAACCTACGATAATAACGATTACATACAAAGTGTTTTGTAATAGTTGTGTCATTCCAAGCATACCATACCCATCGACGGGGTGCCGCGATAATCATATTTTTAAAATGTTATTTTTCTATCTCAAAAACCAACGTTTTTAAATTCGTTCAAAGAATATTCGCGTGCGTTTGAAAATGAATATTCCATGGTATTTCCGGCTACGTCCTTTTGTCAATCGATATGCCGCATCAGTTTTGCACAATTATTGACGCTCAATGTCACCCGACGACACAAATATGGAAAAACGTATGTGACACATTTATTAGTATAATAGTTTCGCGAGAGATGAAAAAAGGTTTTTTTTTTTTTAAAATTAATTCGTATACGTATTGTTTAACATGACCACCGTTGTTCTATAATGTAAGAATTAACTTTCAAATAAATTATTCGAGTACGGTATGCATGGGATAATGCGTGGATTACAATCCACGCGTTTTAATCCGGATTAAAAAAAAACGTGTAATCCTTAATTATAATAACTATTCGGATTGAAATGATCAATCCGGGTTAATGATTCAATTTATTTCTGATAAAACGACAATAAAGATAACGGGATGACGGGTAACATTGCGATTCACGCATATAATTTCATACGTTAATTAATATAGGTGCGGTAAGTACTAATCGTTTTTTTTTTTTTCATGTATCAAAAAGAAAAATTGTATAATTTATATTATTTACTCTTGTTTCCTCTCGCGATTCGTTCGGATACCGGATTTGTATTTCGATCGCGTAATAATACCAAGTTCGGATGTAATCCGTCTATAACATCCGCGTTACGGAATTCGAATCCGTCGATTCGTCGGATTAAACGGATTAACATCCGGGGATAAGCGCCGGACATTTTTCCACGGCGGATTTCAGATTGATCGGCGGTATTTCCGTGTCCAGCTTTGTTACCGTCGGGACGGCACAACTACCGCGCGGAACACCCTGTATAAACTAATACGTCTATGTTATTATATTTTTATACACCACGAGTAACACAGTCTACGGCCTGGTATACGCACAATACGGCCCCGGTATAAAACCGAAACGTTACAATAATAATAATAATAATAATAATAATATTATCGTCGTGTATTATAGGTAGTTACGTTATTATTATTCCACGCGGTCGTCGTCAGCGGCTTGGCTCTTGTCGAGAATGAGTCTCCGGGACGGGCAGTGTTTGAGCGGGTCGTGGGGGAGGCCGAGGGAAACGTGATTGCCGTTCGATCGCGTGGGCTTCGACGACAACTATACATAGGTATATATATACACTACAAATAATACGACGTCTACCGATTTTTTTTTATACTTTTTTTTATTTTCTCCATAGGTACAACACTCGTATTATATACCGGTATACGTATACCGATCGAGGCCTATCCCCTATAATACAGGGTGTCTCACGAAGACCCTACCCACTGTAATATCTCCGCACATAATAAAGATAATCAAATTCTTCTGGTTTTTATTTGTATTACTCACGGGGATGACAAGATGATTACAAATATTGATATCGCAAATAATTTCTTATGTTTTGGTAAAAAATCAATAAAAAATAACTTTTTGGTTTTATTTTAAATTTTATTTTTCCGAAAATATTGAAGTATCAACTTTTTATTTTCATTAAATTCGCGAATTTCAATTATTTTCTCGAAGGCCAGATAAAAGTATAGCTATATAATTATATAATTATATTGCATATAATTATAAATATAATTAGCAGGCTATAATCGCATTCTTCAGTTGATTATTATTGTTACGATTAATTGATTTTTCTATGAACTTCAAAAACTATTAAAAAACACGAATATAATAAAACTAAAAAGTATTTGCTTTAATTTTTTTACTAAAACATAAAAATTGAATTGCAATATGAATATTTGTACTCCTTATCCCAGTGAGTAACACAAAAGTAACCAGAATTCGATTATCTCCGGAAATATTACAACGGGTATATCTTCGTGTGACACCCTGTATACATATAATAGGCTGCGAACTGCAGAGTTTCAACCGGTAAAATAACTCGTCGCGCGTCTTAAATAATATTCCATTCTGTACGCACAGAGGCAAATAAGACGCTCGTATACGTATACGCGGAACCAATTAAACGAGACGTCTCGCGATCGGTCTCCGATGGTCTCTGTCGACTCGTCCGAACCCGATCGACAATAATACATTTTTTAACAACGACCGCTTGACGACGAAAATAATACGCGGATAGTCATCGTGCCGACCATATAGATTTAATGGATAGGACACGGGTCGAAATGTTCGGTCCTCGAACCAAAGAGAAACATAAGAGAGGCATAGGCGATGTTTTCCCTTTCCGCGATGCAATTATTTTGTATTACGTGGTTCTTTTAGAATTCAAATTCTACCGCGGTGATTTGAAACGATACGAATTTGGCGGAAAACAGTCAAATCTATTGTGTGATTTTTACGGATGTATACGTATCGATCGCGGAAGCAATAGGCGCTTAAACGTGCAATTTTTAGACGTGGACGTTGGACGTGTCCATTCCATAATTATCTACGGACATACCGACAGACACACAATGTTTATCGCCGTGCATAACCATTGCAACAAATACAAATTGCAACGATACACCTATTAATCGATACCTCCTCCACCGATGTATCACAACCACTACTGACACAGCGCCATCTCACTCCGGTCTTTTTGCCGGACCCTAACTGTTTCCGTTTAAAACAAAATTCCATTATCAACTGAGCTCCGCTCAGAATCGTCTTTTCGTTAGCAATGGTTTATTTTTGCTTATAGATGCTGCCTTCTCAATTTCCAATCTACAACAGTGGCTGCACCCACGTGCGAAGTATGCCCGTCTTTTTTTAGCTATGCGTTTGAAACCAAAATCTAAAATACCCACCAACACGCTTTACAGTGTGACTTCTTCAATTATTATGAACATAAACCCAAAACGTTAGACTTGTGGTCTCTTACAATTATATAGGTGAATGCAAAACCGTCATAACTTTAAATATAACCGTTTTGCAATGAATACATATATATCACCAGAAAATTATTTTTTATGTAGTGCGAGAACACCACAAATCGAAATAAAGCATTTGACTTCAGTAATTAAACGGGAAAAATTTAAAAGTGTATACGGTCATAAAGCATAAACATTGCATTGAAAATCAGTTAAAAATCGAATAGTCCTATACTGACGCGTCTTTTTAGTGGCAAAATGAAAAGCGATATAGTAGAATGTGGCGTTCTAAATTATTCTGATAGTGCGCTACCAGAAATGATTCGGAATTAATGCATTTGGAGTTGCGGCAGTCTTGTTCTAGGAGCGAGGAGGGTGACGATTTGTAGTTTTTGTTAACCGAGGAAACCGGAGGTCGCGCGGCCCCCATACATAATACCCATAAATTATATTTGTTCGTCGGCGAAAAATGTACACGATGGCGGCGTCTGCCCCCGGCGATCGGACACAATAGTAATACACGAGAAGTACGCGAAGACGGATGGTTAATTAATTGGCCGAAATTAAAATACACCCACGGTCGAACACATCGACGACGGGGGCGCGCACATTAAACGAACCGTACGCGTATCGCACGTGTCACAGGTTAATTTGTGCGCGTCATCCATACCGGAATTTCGGTCACGACCGCGACGACGGACGGTTAACACGGTCGTTGTTGTATTATTATTATTGTTGTGTTATTGTCTTGACGGGTATTATAATATATATATATACGTACACCGCGATACTCGCCGTTTTCAAAATAAAAAAAAAAAACCAAAAATCCGTAGATGTCGGTTACGCTTTATTTACTACAAGGGATCGAAGGACGGGGAAGTCGAATTACGGATGGAGTTTTCGATTCGAAATTTCGTTGTTTTTTTTTTAAACCAGACGCTACGACAACTACACTAATATAGACGCAGATTATAATATATCGCTGTAAACGCGACTCGATGTTTTCTAATCAAAAAAAAAAATACTTTTGATTTTCAAAAGGCAACCTACATTAAAAGTCTCACAAACATATAGTAGTATTAGTTTAAATGCATTTCGGCGTTGACATGTTTGATTTCCGACGACCCGTTCGCGAGATATTCCACTTTTAAATTCAGATATTGGGGTGAGTGGCGGAGCACTGTACAAACGCCGAGCGTCACAGAAATCCGCCGCGTACCCGAACTTTAAAGCGGAATATCTCGCGAACGGATCGTCGGATATCGAATATTTCAACACCGAAACGTATTTAAACTAACACTCTGTCTATTCGAAACGCTTGATATGATTTACCGTGTGTAAATCGGTAAAGTCGGTAGTCGATTCAACCCTGAAAGTAAGAGGCGACAGAGAACAGCCGGTAACGTAACATTGTAGAGCTGCTTGTTTCTTAAATATTGACGAAACGTTTTTGTTTTCTGTCTATACTTTGCGAAACAATGCGTCTAAAGCGATAAAAGAATCGCTCTGTATAAAATACTACGACGGTATAGCTATAAAATATTATAATTACCATTTAGACGGGTAAATGAACTAAAAAAAAAAAAAAAAACCACATATTATATTTGAAAAAACATCCGACGTTATCGTGGAATACGGTGATGTAAAAACGCAAACACAATATACATCATAGACGCTAAAATACTAAATATACACTAATATACCATCGAGTATTGTTTATTTTCAAAAACCGCAGTCTTTTCTTTTCGAAAAATACGTTAAATACGATTGTCTTGTTCGACAATGTTTCAGTAATTTTACGTCCTGCGGCAATCCACCGGTATTGTTTTGCACAGCAAACTCCGAAAGTTTTTTATTTGTTGTTTTCACGCGACTATTTTCGTATTTACGAAAAAATAAACAAAACGAGTGAAAATTGAGAAATGCAAAAAACAACAACAAAAAAAAAAAAAAAAAAAAACGGCGAAGCGAATCGATCCGGGGTGTTGAATTCGAGTGCGTAGCTATTCGCAAGAAAAACCGAATGATTAATGAATGAGTACACATCCGGTGTACTTATGATGTTTTCTCGTTTAGTTGTGTGCCATTTATTATACCGTAAATTTCTAGTGAAAAAAAAAAAAAAAATGACAATGTATACACACAACAATAATCTATTGAAATAATATAATATCTGTGGTATGGTGCGAGATTGGCCAATGTTAGAAAAAATAAAAACGCAAATTGGAAATCGTAAGTTGAAAAAATTAATTTATGTCCCAAAATTCCAAAAATCCAACGTTAAGTATATAAGTGTTGTAAAACATTTTTTTTTTTTTAAAAAAAAATTGACATTCTTATCGTAAAAAACGAATGTTTCGGACACAATGCGCGGATATAAAACAGAAAATTCACATTTTTTTCAATCTAAGAAAATCACGTTTTAAAAAGTTCGAATTAAATTAAATGTTAAACTTTGAAATGTAGTAACCTGAACACAACAATGTCATATTGTATTATAAACTACGGCTACAAACGTGTATTAACGCACGTTACCTTTTTTTTTCCTGCAGGCCTAAATTTCTGACGCTCATTACTTTCGACTAATCTGGTTTTTACGCCGGTTCGATAGTATATAAGATACAGTATATCAATAAAAAATGGTTTGATATCGCCAAGCTTGGCAACCATAAAACCAAGCAGGCGAATTCGATTGGACACCACGCGAAATATATTTTGTTCAATATTAAATCCAGGTGTACCCCGTGAGGGGCATTTTTCCCAATGGAATTTCATTCGCCATACCCTCCCCGACAAATACAACTTTCAACAAATTGTATTTATTAAATGTGCAATATCCGTGGAATTTTACACGAAAATGACCAACGGAGGAATGTGAGCCCCCCACCAGGAAAATGTTCTGGATTCAACACTGATTTTGTTTACGCGCCACAGATTATTACGCGATGATATACGAACAATATTGGATATCGCTGCACAATTCACGGTATAATTGGAATATAATAATTCGCTGGTTAATCGATACGATTTCTCCTCTTAAGGAGATGTATGGTCGCTGACTTCATAACCCTCTTACGGGACTCGATCGTATATACGAGTGTAGGTAATAATCAATAATAATCGAAAACGGACGCGGTCTTGTCGGGACTATGTAATGGTCTGTATACCGAAACGACCACGAGAAAATATGGCAAGAGATAAAAATTAGACATTAAAACAAATGCATGCAACGTGAAACCTCTAAATACCGGGTACTCTCGGTCGCTGAAATTTTATCCGCTATTTAGAAGGAAAAATTGTATTTTTATTATTATTTTTTGAAATTAATTATACAAATTCTATTTTATTTTTATATTAATTAAATACATCTTAAAGTTACATTTCATCGACGCGATAATGTGTATGTCAACGACTGAACTGATAATATAAGATCCACGTCATGTACAGTATAAAAATGTACATTCATAGTAATAGAAGCAAACTAAATAGTGTAGACTTTTATTTAGTTATTCTACAATCATTCTTAATTTACGATAAAAATGATCGATATCAATGTTATAAAGTGTCCTGTATTTAGAGGTTTTCCTATATTTAAATAGTGAAAATGTCGCCGTTCCCGAAAAAACGTCCGCTATTTAGAAATGTCCATTAAAGGAGGTTTCGCTGTGTATTTAAAGTTGAATTATTTCATCTGGTCGCTTTTCTATATTATTCGACCGAGTTTTCCTATGGCCAATTTTATCAGAACGATTTGTCCACGGTCGACTAGGCGTCTCTCTATATTTGAGTTAACTACGCCCCGTGGCATAATAATAATATGTTACGAACGTTTTTCGAAATATTTTACTCGCATGACCACGAATTATACGCCTGTACATATATATACGTGGGTATTCTAAATCGCCTTTAAACAAACAAACACGTGTAGATATAAGTAACCCATAATAATAATAACAATAACAATCAATAACAATATTTGGACGGGACGCGCTTCTCACACGTTATAATAACAGGATTGTGATAGGAGATATAGGCGCCTAGAGTAAAATATATATATAAAAAAAAACAAAACCACTACGATCTATTATGTTCATTGCATACTACCTGTGGAATACAGAGCGATTTTTTTTTTTAACGCAAACCAGCAATTTTCTCGGATTATTCTAAGTGCATTTCATTTCAGTTTGTGTTTTATTTTAAACCGTTTACCCCGGCTCCTTGTACTCGAAATGAATGTTCGTTCGGGATTTTTAAAAATAGCAGTTTATGACGGTTTAACCGGGGGAGCAGGGAAGGGTAATTGCCTATTATATATCGATAACTCTTCCCTATTCCTCCAGTCTATAAACTATGAACTGCGTATCACGATTTTCAGACAAATATTCACTGTTCGAATCCGTGACTGAAAGTTTCCGGGTACAAAGACCGGTGTTGGTGGGGGGGGAGGTCATAAATTAAAAATATTGTTGAAATTAAGCTTCGTACAGAAAAAAAAAAAATGAAAATCGTACCAAATACGAGAGAAGAACCGCTCTGTATACGTTCATCTACGCGTGTTTGTTCATTACGCTCCGATATTTCATTATTTTACTGTGTATTACCGGGGGGCGTAATAATGTATTTCGCGTGTGGATAAAAAAAAAATAAAACAAAAAACGATGCGTATACATATTGCTTTATGTTTTATTATAACACGCATGATATACAAGCGTAATACAACAACGATAAAAAAAAAAAAAAAATAGTAATAATAATCTGATCAACACCACCGACATCGGCGGCGGCGGCGGCGGCAGTGTACCCGTAAGTATTGTATAGTACCTACTACGGCTGCTTCGGTGTGAACTTCACAATAGCTATTGTGCGGTTTTAATATTACAACAATAATATACGGTCTGCAGGAATGCTTTAAATGCAGAATTAAATCGTACGATACGCGAGCGGCCGTAAAACTCGGCAACCCGCCGCAAGTTTATAAATAATATACGCGTACGCGTGTATACACACACACACGCACACACACACACACACTCACACATATATATAATCACACGGTATCGTGGTGATAATACGAGTACGGTTAATTGTTATTATTATTCTTCTTGTATTTTACTCGTGTAAGTGTAGACGACGCGTAAAACAAATGCCCGTGTGCCGTAACCCGAGTAGGGGGAAAATCGTTGTTTGACGTATTTATTTTTTTCAGAAAAAAAAAAAAAAAACCCGAAACTTCAAGGGCGTTTTCACCGTCGTCGTCGTCGCGAAACCGCTTCTAATTTCGACGGCGGGCGGCGTGACGCCGCGTTATTGACAACAACGTTGGACGACAATTATTTTTGCTTTCCCGTCGCGGCGTTTTTTCAGTAATACGCAGCCGATCCTTGAGATGGAAATCGGTGCGGCGACAGCATCGGGACAAAGTCGATTCGTTCCCCGCGCGAAACGCAATAAGTCGCCGCACGTCATTTATATAATTAGCCGTAGTTTATTTGATGATATTCGTAATTGTTGACGAATTTCGGATTCGGATGTATGAAATATTTCAACAATACGAACACAATACGAGAAAACATTAAAGCAGTCCGTTAAAAATCGACGCATTCGCCGACCGAAAAGCCAAACAAACGAAATTGTACTTCAATATTCTAGAGCGTAAAGCGAAAAAGCCATAGAAGTTTTTCGTCTCGGAAACCGATTAATCGGTTCGTAAAAATGCCCCGATTCTTCCGTGAACTTTGTTCGTATCTACACTCGACCACATTTTATGAAACTCTCAACGGTTCGCCCAGGGAACCTTTCGGTTAATAAAAATGCCCGTCCGAATTGTTCGCGCCGAACGTTAAAAGACGCGGATAATTTTTTATAATTTTTTAAAATATAGTGAAAATATTTCATCGTACGCGTAGACGCGCAAAATTACGGATTTAGTCGGTCATCGTGTCGTGACGTCTCGCAAGTTAGATAATAGGTCGTATCTGCAGTTGTAAAACGATTTTATCCGAAAGATGTTTAACGTATAATATTTTCCTTGGAGTTTTTTTTTTTTTTTCGTTTTTGTTGTGCCGACTCGAACCTTCACAATCTACGAGTGTTATTATTCGGAATACGAAACGCGATACAGATTATTATAATAATGTGAATTCCACGGGCGATTGTGGTTTTGCCGCCGCACGGTATAATTCCGCGATACTTATGGAACTAATAGACTATACATATTATATTATAATGTTGTATAGAGACCACAAGACCGACTCGCATTTCGGCGACTATTCGAGAATTCGGCCGGAAAACCGTGTCCGCCGTGTACCTATAATAATGTTGTATTAATAACGCACGAATTTAGAAGAAGAAAAAAATCCGTTCCTATATGTTTTCGAGTTGTTCGGGCCAGAAGAAAGGAGGTTTTTTTTTTTTTTTTTTTTGACACACGGGCGGCATGTGATATAAAATATGAGACGGGACAGATGGCCGCCGCGCGGCAGCCAGCAGGAGTACGGGGCACGTGCGGCCGATCTAATGATTTAAATTCGAACATATTGTATCGCGTTGTTATTATAATGCGACGTTCTTTAAATGGCGTATGTCCGCTGATAAAATATATAATATGTTGATATTCTAAAATTTATAAAAAAAAAAAAAAAAAACAGAACGTATTTCGCACCGGATTGCAGGGCCGGATTTTCGCCAATCGCGCTCGACGTCCGACCGGGGCGAATTGACGGCGTTTTTTTTCCGAAAACCCGTCGCGTATAATTTGCATGTTTTTACCACTCTCAACGAAAAATCCGATCTAAATACGCGCCGCTATTATAGCAGACTGTTGCCGTTCACAATATTGTTCTCACCCGATCACGGCTTCACGATAAAAGCATTGAATTGAAATCCGGAAAGGAATGTCGCGATGTTCACCACAAGAATCTGGACGGTCAATAATAAACGCATTTTCTAACTTTTAATTTATTTTATTTTTATATCAATTTTTTTTTCAAATGGTTTTTATATCATTGATTACAAAATAATTGAAGATGTTTATTCGATATACATCAAAGTTTTCTTTTCAAATGTTGACAAAAACAAAACGAAACAAGAGAAATTCGATTATCTCCGACATTTGGGGTAATAATTTCTACAGTCGAATTACGCCCTTTTAAGAGGACGTCACACCGGCTTCGACTGTTTGCGTCTTGTAAACGCGTGGCATGGCAAATTTCCGTTCAGCGGGACAAACTTTGCGCCGTTAGTTTCGCAATATTAAAGCGGTTGACCAATTATCATACTTAACGGTAAGACGATTATCCTAGCGTCGATGTTTTACCCGGTATTTCGATTTTTAAGCGACCAAATGGGACGTGATCTAAAAATACGAACATATTGAAACGTTTTGTGTCGCCAGTCTAATAAGATGTGCTGCATAATTATCGCAGTTGTACCTACGCGCGCTCTATACGAATGGAAGCCCGAGCGAGAGTGCGACAAAAGTCCACAATGTGGGATTTCCCACGGGAGTCCGCGCGCGGCAGGTTCACATATACGTATAGGGCGCTCGGCGTTATTGAAGACGCGCGGGACTTCGTTCGGACAAAACCGGTAACGTCCCGCCCGAATCGGGACGAACGGCAGCTCGACGGTTACACGTGTTCCTTCCCGAGAATACGATGTATACCGGTGGCGAGGGGGGGGGGGGAGGGGGCGAAAGGCGGTGAAAAAAACGTAATAAAAACAAACTCTCGAGGATATTATTCGCGTCACGAATCATGCCGTCGCCGATCCGCCCATTCGGCGTCGCGCCCGTGTATAACCGTTACGCCGCGCGTGTAGCGCGTCGCGAGTGTCCGCGCCGCCGTTCCCCTAATAAAAAAAATCGTCCGTCGGATCATATTTTCGTTCTCTTTTATTTCATTTCCTCCCCATAACCCCACAGTGGCTCGTCCCCCGGATCGTTACGCGCTATTGTTCTCCGCGGCCGAAACGGTGCTACGTACGCGATGCCGTGCGGCTACAGGGGCTCTCTCGTATCCCTTCTCTCCCCCCCCCCATCGAAAACACCGCGAAAAGGTGCAGTACACATTACGGGCGTATTATCGATAATAACGGCGGTGTCGTTATAATGTTATTATCGTCGCCGGCGACCGTCACCTGGGCGCCGATTTTCGAACCGCGCCATGTGTTCGCGGGCGCGGGCGCGGGCAGGCGCGGCGGACGGGAGCGCGAGAAACGCCGCGGCGATCGGTCATCACGGCGGACGGCTATGCGGCGAGCGCGGCACCTCATCGGCCCCGCCGGGCACGCACGCGGCGACGACAATAACAATTCGATTAATTCGAATAATCCAATTGTTATTATTGTTATTAACGCTGTCGCGTATTTGTCCGGCGGCGTAGCCGGGATTTCGGACGGGGAGCCGGGGTTTAACCCCTCCGGGTTGAACATCCGCGTGTTTCGCACGAGACACGGGCGAATATAAGGAGGGGGGGGGTAACGGGAGGAAGTTACGACTCGCCGACAAACGACAAATTCGGAAAATGGGTTTTGTCGATATGTCGCGCGTACATGTCCCCAGCCCTCTCCCCCTCCACATTGAATTTTTCAACGTTTTTTTTGGCAAATATTAATTAACATGGATGTGCATGCGTTTTAATTAAGTTTGGTATCAAAAACTAGGTGAAGGGAGGGGGGCTGTAGACATGTGTCTCCGATTCCCCCACACATCAAAACGACTTATTTTCAAATTTTTTTCTAACAAGTAATGCTTTTTTAAACGGAAATAATGCGTAAAAAACTAAACACAACAATACTGAATTAAGAGCGTAATAATAATATGCGTCTCGGAACGATATGCTGCTACGTCTTTCTATGAGAGCATTTAAAGCGAAAACAGTAATCGTACTGTTTTCATTTGTGTCGTGTTTCGACTAACCGATTGAGTTTTATTTTGTGACGTGGTGCTCCTCCCTAAACCTTTTCAGCAAAGAAAACCTTCTTTCAATCCTCCAGCCCTCCCCCCGGCTGCGCCACTGTATTTTCCAGCGTCTCGCTCTATAGACGTCCGTCCCCTTAGTCACCAGGGCGGATTTTAAGCAAATATTACGAATGGATTTATCGCCACGACCCCCCTCCCCTTAAATTTAATCCGCGATGTTCTCGGCGAACGCGATATTGTATCTTTCCGAAAAAAGCGACCGTGTTTTAACATGGTTTTCTAGTTGAAAAAAAAAAGTCACATGTATGTTAATAGCAGCGAAAAACTGCTCACTCGCCGGACGCCGATTAGTGGGCCCGAAAATTACAGAAAATCTGGCTGAGATCAGACCACTAAAAGATTAGTTCTATTCCAAACGTTCATTTTCCGATTGTCAGTAAATAATCACACAATAAAACGTTATTATTTCACTTATTTGCGTTCAGTTTGTTTTATTTCATCACATAAAACCTATACGGTTTGTTCCATACGACGAAACCGTCAGAGCGGCGTGCCCGGATTTTTCGGGTTCGGACTTCCGGACGGACCCTGCCCGAAATTGCCGAATTTCGTCCGGAAACGGCGGGTCTCAATACACAATTATACTAATTATTATGATAATGTACCAAACTGTAATACAGTAGGTACGCGCCCATATGTAAACGCGTACGATTGTCGAAACGGTATAGATCGATTCGACAAAACCACGTAAATAGATTTAGAATCGAAAAACTGCGGTAGACTTAACGATTTAATTAAATTTAATCTTTTTACTTTTTACTACACATTTGAATATAATATTCATCTGTCCGATATAATTTTCAAACGGATACGTTTTCCGATATTTTGCTCTTTAGAAATCCGGCAGAATACGAGGTTTAAAACCCAAACGTACGACTCTTACGAGGATTTATAATTGTTTCATTGCGCTTACGAACCGTTCGATCGAAAACTTCGTAGGCGTGTCGGATAAAGTTTAAAAAGAAATACAATTTTAAAAATCGATTTTTCGAGTTCTAGTCGCGAAACCGTCGAATTCGGTTTATTCGCGAGAACCGTTTTTTTCCCCCGCGTTAATCATATTTTCGTCTCGGCCCCAACCGAAATTCGAACGAGTATAACGGTTGCGTATACGTAAAACCGGTTTCGCGCAATATTATTTAATTTGTCACCACGTGCTTGCCTCGTTTTTTTTTTTTTTTTTTTTTGTCTATAATTGTATAATAATCGTAAGAAAAAGTGACAGTATAATAACAGTAATAAATAATAATACGTGTTATCGCATCCTCCGCACACGTTTAACAATAATATTATTATGAGAACGACGCATACAAATAATAAAAACCGTCGGACGTTTTTTATTATTATTATTTTTTATGTTTTTTTTTTTTTTTTTTTTTTTTTTTTTTTATTTCGTTCTTTAATTTTTCCGTCATGAGAAATACTAGAGAAAGGACGCGTCTCGTCGCGTCGTATTTTTTCCCTTTTGTATGTTACGTGCTCTATATATACAGTATACACTATAACCTAATAGACTGCGGGAGAAAAAAAAATAAACATGACTTTACGAAACACGAAATAGACCGGCGCGTTTTACGTCTTTTCGCTCTCGTCACGAATAATTATTGTTCGTTCCCGGGGTGCGCGTTCGACAATATTCAGAATAGATAGAAGAGTACAGCTGTAGTGAGTCGATTCTCTATAGTTTTCAGTACGTGCAGGCGAGTACAGTTTTAAAAATTTATATACACTTGAACCGAAAATAAAAATAACAGGAAAAAAATCACACTGGACAAAATAATAAAAAATCTACTTAAACTCTTTTTCCCCGGAAATTATATTCGATCGTATTATATAATAATAATATATTCTGACTGATCGAACCGCGGTTAATATCGATAATAAATTATGAGAAATTCGGGTTTCGTACCCTCAAAGCCCCCGTGTCTGGCTGGCGAGAAATGAGATTTTCAAATACACCATATTTTTTACCAGTGCACGATAAGCACCACTATCTGTACAGAGTTAAAATAACCTATTCAGTCTGATTTTTTTCCGATTATTCCGATTGTTAATAGACTATTTCCGGGATTACGGGAATCAAATAATTCCAGGTTATCGAACGGTTGTTGCAATAGTAGGCTTCGTATATTTAACTCTGTATTGTCGGATCCATAAGCAATTTTATAGTCAAACGCCTCAGTGTCGTCCGAGAAAAGTCGAATGTCAACTCTACATGTTGCCTATAGGCTGTTTTGATTCCATATCGATAACGGTGCTTATCACGTAATGGCGATTGTAAACATTATACTCATTATCTTACGAGAGTGATAACATTATTAATTTATCAGTGTTCAAGTTTACCCGTTGAATAACACGCTGAACTTTGGCGGTTCGTCTCGAAATACGCATTCAATAATTGTGTCAACAAGCCAACAAATAACAATAACTATTTTGATTGTTATGAAAAATAACAAAAGCAAATTCTAAAAATGTAAAATGTCTAACACGGGTATTATAGGTATTAATATTACTATCAATAGTAGCGATTTCCACCGAACTGCAGTAGGTACTGCACTCGTGTACACCAGTGCGGTGTGCACTGTTTTTACCTGATATCACCTGCCATCGTAGATAACGCGCGAACATCATGCGGCGTAGATAACGCAAATTACGTACGGCCGTGACGCGGTGGAGAATAATTTGATCTACACTAACACAAAAAAAAAGGAGGATACCGTGGATTACGACGTGTTGCGTGCAAATGATATTTTATTGATAAGTACTTTTAAATTTTATCGAATTTGAATTGCGCTTTCCACTTCGTAATAATATTATAACGCCGCGGGAACTCGTGAAGTGTGGTGGTATCGTCGAGGTTAGGCCGCAGTGTACACCGAGTGTTGTAACACTGCCGGTTACGCGTTCAGTGAATTACTCTCCGGGTCGCCGTAAAATCAGTACTATTTATATAATTACGTATTAGTTTGTCGATCAGCAACGAGACCAATGGTTTGCATACGTCAAATTTTAGGCACGGTATCTTTTGCTGATGACATTTTTTTTTTCGTCGGCCCGTCTCCCGGGTCAACCATTCATTCGGAGGTGGAAATCCCGGCAACGGCAGTACGATTTCCGAAACAACGAATCCAAAAACGAACGCTATTCGATCGTATTCCCATAATGAAACGCGCCGGCGCACAGTATTTTCGTCCGTAATGCGGATAAACGCTGCAGGTGACGGTGCACAGGTATACGTATACATTTTGTATTGCGCTGTGTGTTCACAATGCGTTTCGGGTTGTTTTATAAATGCGACGCGGGTGTTGCAGTATTTCTCATTCTCCTCTCCGCCACGCCGGTTTCGTATTTTATTGTGCAGTCTCTCCTCGTCCGCCCCATTAACGAGTATACACACCCCTGTACACGGTATACTCTACACACACGCGCGCGCGCGCGCGCGAGGATTTTTCGTTATTTTCGTGCCGAATATTTTTCCCTTATTCACGGGCATATAAATTATTGTCGCGCGGTTTCCAAAGTGCTATTATTGCATTGTGTTTGCGCGCGCCGAAACGCAATATTATTACTATCGATGGCTTTGCGACGTCATACGAAATAAACGAAAATATTTAATATAGAACGCGCAGGTACGATAATGTGAACGCGTACGAAAAGAAAAAAAAATCAATCGTTTACCCCCATTATATTATTATACGGCGGGGGGTATTGTGTCGCAGCACCGCGCCGACATGGATGTATCCGAATCGGTTCACGAGCTCACGCTCACAAATAATGTTACGCATATTACGGCAAAACGCCGCGATGACTTCAATCCATCCGAATACCGGGACGGGCAATATTTACGGTACACAGTGTAACTGGATACTAGTTACATGTTACCCTAATTTCGGGTAACCGATTAAAAGTTACATTCACTGTAATCGAGTTACATTTTAAGTTACAAGTCGCACGTAATTTATTACATTTTTATAAAAAAAATAACAATAATATAGTTTTCAGTCTATAAAATAAATTCAATTTATTTGTACAATGGGTCAACAGTTACAAGTTAAAGCTAATGCGCTATAAGCACTTATAATTATCGATAACATAGATAGCAAGTAATAAATGATTTGGCACGATATATTAGCGTTGTACAAAATAACGATACAAGATAATTTTTGTAACTGATTACAAGTTACAAGTTACAAAGGTAACAGAGTTCCGTAACTTTGATACGCGTATGACTGATTACTGCCAATCCCTGTCCGGATGTACATATCGAATATAATAAAACAGAAATGTTTCTATAGCATAAGTAATATTCTAAGTTGACAGCCCGTGAGAACGGGAAGGGAAATGCGCGCATTCGACCAAGTTACTCTGCGAACACCGTCGTCACCGATCCGGCCAGCAGTGGACACGTCGCAAATTTAAACGGGAACCGATCCGGCTAGCCTTCATAAAATACGTTTTTTTTTTCCAAACGGCAACCAATTCGGACACACCCGATACAGTATTTTGTACACGGTTTGCACTGTACGGATCGAAGAAGACAAACGAATATCGTACGGCGCGGCCGCGCAGCTAGTGTCCCAACGTGGGTCGTTTACGTGACCAATTATTACGAGATCGTGAATATTATTATTATCGTACGAACGCTGTACGCTCGCGATCGCCTAGTTCCCTTTCCCCCCCTATTTATTCTCGAAAGACTACGGAAATAATACCGACGATAAAAGGAGGTATGATATTATACAGTGTGATACAGGAATTGTACGAAACGATAAATCGAGCTATTCTGAGCGGAGAGTACACATAGTATTATTTATTAATAGCAGTATTGGTCGTGGTTTTTTGTTCGCTTCGACGTCATTGACATTTTTGTTGCGTGTTTTTTTTTTTTTTTTTTGTTCAAATACAATATACACTACCGGACGAAAAATCCTTGTATCCTTTCAGATACGAAGCGAATTGTTTCGAGCCTACTCACGCACCGAAAAAAGTGTTTTCCGAGAAATCGTGGAACACCTGCCAAAATGGCGAACGGCTGTTGAAAATTTCGAATAAAGTATCGGGAACTCCGCGTCTTTTGAGGGTATTGCTTGTTAAAATCGAAACGGTTTTACTAACCGAAAAAGCGTTACCCGCACCCGGGAGAAAGAAGAGAAAACACATCGCTGCTGCGAAACGGACGGCTTCTTCGCCGTATAACAGTACACTCGGAATCTAAAAAGGAGCGCGCGCACGCAGACTCGACAATACTGTCGTCCGTTATACCAGCGGGAGGTGGGGTGGGGGGAAACGAATTTTTTTTTCTCCCCGATGTGACGTAATCTATTTAGGACGGAAAACTATAGGTGCCTATTATTATGTTATTATTACGCGGACAGGGACCCGAGAGAAAGTGTATGCGCCGCCGACCCATATTATAACACACGATAATAACAACAAGTGTCGTATTGAACATGTTTCGCGTGTATTATATTATCGGAGTAGATAATGCGTGAAAAAAAAAGAAAAAAAACTACGCGCAACAATAAAAAAAAAAAAAAACGATTTTCCTCAAACTTGTTGCGACACCAATGCGTTTTAAATGCGCGCGCGCAGACTCGTATACGACAGGCGTTATAGTATAAAAATTTTATTTGGCAAAATTGAATATTTTAAAACTATTGTCGGTTTTTTTTTTCGCCTTTACAATGTGCCCATAAACATTATACTGTTATTACGACGCGTCCGTATGGTGTCGGTCTGGGCGTATAGATTATTATTGTGTGTACACGGGCGCACAAACATATACTACGGTCCAGCGACGCGTCCCCCGCCGTACGATATTATCATCGCATTCCGTCCGTTTATTATTGTCATTATTTATGTTTTTCATAGATTATTATAAGAGGTGTTTTTTTTTTTTTCGTAAATTAAAACGTACGACAAGCGAACGTACAAACGCGGCGGGACGAGGCGGACGAGACGGTCGAAATCCGATCTGGTCATTGTACGCGCACGATTTCTCAGAAGCCGGCAAACTAACGAGTGCCGTACGTGTGCATACGGCGTGCGCATACGGTGCCGACGACTCACGGCGATTGTACAGGGCGAATTTTTTGCCGTTATCTATACACGCGATTTTTCGATAAGGGAATCGGTCTGAAACTCGGCGCGTATAATATTATGACGCGTATAGGCGCGTCCGCTAGGAATGGTTTTTTGAAAATTCGACCCCCCCGATGGATTGAGTAATGAAGGTTCTTTCCGCGATTTTCGATACGAATATCTACAATAATTGTCTACCGAGGTGGATTTACGATAATGTGAATAAATGATGTATCGAATAAAGTGTCGGCGGATGGAAAATTCGCATCGTTTACAATACGATTCAGTCGGAAAACAATCGGCACATTTGTAAAAAAAAAAAACTAATAGCTATACACTCGGAGTCTAAAAAAAAAAAACAAAAAATAAATAAAATAGAGGAAAAAAAAAGACCGAACATTGTGGCGATGTTCGTCTTGTTGCACGAGGCTATACAGCATCTCCCGGGTCCCCTCAAGCCGGCCCTGATGACACGTTGAAACTTTCAATAAAAATAGCGTATACGATCCGACACAAATTACGCCCGACGTATACGCCGTGACGTTTTAAATCGACTCCGGGGAAATTCGCGACCGGAAAACCGCCAATCGAAATCGGCGACGAACGTCGTATATAATATTATGAATAATGTAAAACGACAACGCGCGATTCCTATATAATATATACCAGTGGTTCCCAACCTCTTAGATTCTGCGCCCGATTTGTAGATTTCCGAAAATTTCACGGGCGCGAAACGACCCTCCCTCCGCCCTATAAATTGGAAAAAAAAATTCTACGACTTTTTTCCTTTATTTATCGACAATATTGTAAAAAATTGCTTGTGATTCCCCAGCCGCTACCCCACACATGGTCAATAACTCGTGTCCCCGAAATCTGGTGTAAACGCGAAAATCGCGACCGCCGTGAAAAACCCCCCCCCTTGAAAATCGCAGCAACCACCCGCGCTCATCAGACATCCATTGTCCGACCGGTCGGAGGAGAAATTTCACCGGAGTCGATAATAATTTAAGGCGACTGTATCGTTAAAAATCGCGTACTATTGTGTGGCATTTCGCTGTACAGAGAATACTGTTCAATAAAATGGCATGATCGTAGAGGTGGAGGCGCGTTCGAGGTTTTCCGTCAAAGTATATTGTTGTTTTTTTATTTCGTAAACATTACGCCATATAACGTCAAAAGACGCACGGAACTTCAATCCTATGCAGTAGGTATTTCAGAAGCATTTATAGCACGCAAGCAAGGGGCCTCTAACGATTATTGTCACTAAAACAAAATCTTGAAAAATTAATATGTTTTCGTTTTTTATTGTATTTTTTTTTTACACGCATTACGGGCGGCCATAAGGTGATTTTCAGGGGAGGGACTAATTGCAGGAATCCGATCTCCAAACATGCATTTAAAGACTATTATCTACGTGGATAAAAAATCACAAGACTTGTTAAAAGAAAAGTAACAACGGGTCTGTTATACGAGAGGGTGAGTTGATATTCGTCCAGACTGTGCGTCGTGCTCCTCGAGGCTCGACAAAAACAATTTGTTACCGGTTTTAACATTTTCCGAGATGAGGGAGGGGGCATGTTAATTACAAAGCAAACCGTTTTTTTGTATACATTTGTAATTCAAGATTAGCGGAGTTATCGTGTGCTAAACACGCATCGTTCAATGGGTCGCAAGTATTTTGGTTTTGTTTTACCGGACCGTAGAGGTAGTCGCAAATTTTCCCAAGGTAATCGGATGATCGAATAACGCGTGTTTCAATACATAACGGCATTTCGATCGTTTTAAATTTGTCAATTTTCAAACAAACGGCGTTTCGGGTCATTATTTCCGTCGATAATAATAAACGCAAAAACGCGTGTCGCCGTGCTTTCGGTTTGGGAATTTTAACAGCAGAAAAACCACGGGAGGGGGCCGTAGAAACGTTTCACCGCGCAACTCACCCTCTCACTGTTCGTTGTTCAAATTTGACTTTTCGTACAATTTCCGACGTCTGCAATAGTTGCACGAATGCTGCAGTTAGTATATGAAATTTACACACGACCGGTTCTGAAGTTTTCCCGCCGGTTAAAAAGCGGTTTTACGGAATCGCGCGTTTCACACGTCTAACTATCGTCTGACCTTTTGAGCATTTTTTTTTCCGTTTTTCGCGGAAATTATCGCGCGCGCGATTAGCACGAATTCGCACGTCTGTGTAGCCGCGATTCGCGTGTTCTTAACGTAAAAGTTATTAGATGAAAAAAAAAAAAATAATAAAAAAACAAAACGTAGGTATAATGATAATATTATACAGTATGCGACAGTATAGTATACAGTCCGGTATTTTTTGTCCCGTCCGTATACCTACGCGCGTCGTCGTCGGCCGTCTTCAAAAGAGAAACAATAACGCGGCGGCTCACAGGAAGTGCGATAAAACGTTTACGGGAATACGCCACGCGAGCCGCGCGTAGTCGTTCGCATCTCTCTCCCACGCTCTCTCTCTCTCTCTCTCTCTCTCCCGTTTCCCCCGACGAATAATTTTATAATAATAAATAATAACGATGATGATTTCCAGAGGACAATACGATCGCTCGAACTCTCGGGTACGTGTGACTCGCGAGCCGCGCGATTATCGACGCGTCTAATCTCCACGCGCGCACGCATTTCCTAGAGACGCGATGAACCGTTCGATTTCCGAACCGAGCCGAACCGAACTGTCATTGGGTATTTGGTTCGGTTCGAAAACCGTTCGACGCCGATTCTACGCGGCCGCCAATACGATGTTCTGTGATGGGACAGAGCGGCGATGTTACGAACAAGAAAAAATCATTATTTTTCGCATTAGAGGATCTCGCAGTCGTAAATCGCGGGCCGAGCACAATGAGAACCCGGGTTTTTCGACATAACCTAACCCAACATTTTTACTTTTTTAGCGTACGAGTTCGATAAAATATTATAAAGGTTCGGTTCGGTTCGGGTTCGTTAATCTTGAGGAAAGTTCGGTTCGACCTTAAAAAACAGGGTTCGTAACATCTCCAATATTTTCCATTGAAAATCGGCGACGGGAGAATAATCGTCCGACGGTGAACTTCTCGAAGCGGGTTCGATTATTCCGTCTCGCCCGAGCCGCTTCCCGGGCTTAATGCACTATAACCCGTCAGAACGGGAGTTTTTGGTTTTTGGAGAACAAGCCTCCGATATGGAGGCACACGTATGTTGCAACTGAAAAAGTTGCTATACACGTTGCTCTAGTGTGTGGCTATCCGGCTTTAAAACCGTGGTATAAAAAAAAAAAAAAAAAAAAAAAAAAAAAAAACCGCCGACGACAATAATTATATTATATTGCGCGAACCGTAAATCACATCAATGGCGGATTGTGCCACCGGGTGGCCGGGAAGCTTCCCGGCGGACCGGAGCCCGGACATGACTCTATGACCCTGTGGTCGTAAAACCGATTTTACCTTGGTATACATAAAAATCGTTCTTTTTTTTATTTTCAAAAATATTATTTTTCAATAAAAATCGTGTTTATTGCCTATATGACGTATTGCGCGCAGACGTATCTTTGCAGATCATGAGCAGAGAAACGATCACGATCTGAGATAATATTGTTATACGATTGCCCGGCAAACCATGATAAGGTCGTGGTTGAATGTGTAGCGCCCGCTGCAGATATTATGTAAAACGAATAATCGGTACTCAAAACGATACGAACGAAAAATACCGTACTCCGGGCCTCGGCCTGTTCCATTCAATAAAATAGAACAAATAAGTATAAAACGAAATTCTCCCGGGCCGGTTAGAATTCGGAATCGGCCGCCGCACAACACAAAGTACTGTACAATGCCGGCGAGTCGTCCGCTGGCGGAGATCGGTCGGCTGCGGGTCCGTCCGAAGAATTTCCGTCCGACGACGCCTACGCGCACAATGGCCCCGCCGCGCGCGAGTAGAAATTCTCAAGGTAAACAGACGCAGAGCCCGCCGCCGTCGCTCTTCGCCGCGGTCACCGCAGTCACCGACGCCGCCGCCGGATCTATCCGGACGCGGCGGCGGCGGCGGCTAAGCGGCCCGCGATCCGTGCGCGCGCGTAGTCCTCGCCGTCGCGTATTTCATTATTTTTATTTATAGCGTCGCCGCGCGCGCGGACAATACGGACGAGTCGCGCGCGCGGACAAACCAGTTCCTCTTTCTCTCACTCGTCGACAAAAGATTTTCCCCCGAAAAAAAAAAAACCCCCCGCTCGCGGACACCCGCGGGAGACGCTGCGACGTGCGTACGTTCGACAGTCTCGAAAAACGACCGTGTGAATAAAACGACGACGACGACGACGGCAACCGCGGTCTGCGTATACCCGCGCGCGGAGTAAAATAGTATACGAACGTACGGGTACTCGCTCCGGACGTTTATATCCGCTACGAAAAAATAAATAAAAAAAAAAAAAACTCCGCTCATCTTCCGATACCGATAACTGCCGCTGTCCCGCGCCCGTAATCTAAATCTCGAATCGTGTAGGATTTTCAAAGGCTTCGCGATACAAACGAACGTCGTATTCACGCAATTCACGCGGTTTTAGCGGGTTTTCCGAACTTTAAGAACCGGCCCGTTAACGACCGACTATGACGGTTATAATTATAATTTCATAGTTCTCTTATAATCCACAAAAAAGGCGTTTTAAAACGTCGAAAAGTCCCTGAAATGAGTAACTTAAATTACTTAAAAAACATTTTAAAACGATGAGGAGTTTTTCAAGGCTTTTTTGCCATTTTCGAGTATTTTTTTGCGGATTTTAAGCGAATATAAATCCGGTCTCCAGTAATCGGTTATAATATTATTCGTCGGCTTAATAAAAAATGTCGAACCTCAAAACGTCAATTCCGGAACTGTCGCTCGGGATAACTGACGTGAATTGGCTGAAAAACAAAAATATTCGACATGTATACGAAATGTTCGACTATGTTATTATTATATTCTGAAGATTGTATTGTTTGAAACTCGTTCGACTGCACGCGCGTGTTCTAAACGTTTTTTACCCCCCTAATTACTTCGAACAGGTATTCCGAAATTATTGAAAACAAAACAATTATTCCCTGCGCGAGAACGATTGTTATAATATTACACGGCCGCGTGCGGCGACGGTCGAAACTGTAGCCGGGTAGGGGCGGGCACGCGACAACCCCCGTCCACTTTGCGGTTTCGACGCGACACGCGACGAAACCGATCCGGAAAGTCCGCGAAATAACACCGGCATTACGGGCACGTACATTTTTTTTATTTACACCGAAACTTTGTGAAAAAAAAAACAATTAGTTTTAACAATTGATACTCAGACGACGGCGGATGGAAACTTGTACGATTTGGTAAAACGACAAAATACAAAATAACGGTCCTACGGTATCTGTTGTACGGGAGTTATATTTGTGAGCGGCGAGGATCTCCTCGCGAGGACATACCGTTCAGGCGTCTATTAAGAACAGAGGGCGAATCACAATATCACGTAAATCACGGTGCGTACAATGCGCGATACACGGAATCTAAAAAACAACGTGAAAAAATTAATGTATTTAGGTTTTTTTTTTTATATATATATGTACAATGTGAATTTCGAGACAATGTGATTTTTTTTTTTTTTATCACGAATCGTATACGATTTCGTGTCAAAAAAAACGCATTTAGGGCTAGGAATTCGTAACGTTTGCGTTTACGTTTTTTTTTTTTTTTTTATTCCCGCGTACGTACACACAATTATATAATAGCTTCTCGATTACGCCGTTCGATTGATACATCGCCCAGTTTAAACAACAATTAACGATAATTTGACGTCACGTTTTAGTTTTAGTTTTTTTTTTTTATATATTTGCTTACGGTTTCCGAGTAGAAACGTATTGTCGATACTTTAACCGTCGTCGGTTTCGTTATAGCTTTTCCAAATCCTATTTGCGACGTCGTATCGATCGCGAGTACATTTCGACGTAGATGAACAAATAAAAAAAGTATTCGTATTTATAGGTTTCTCCCTACCCCCCGCGAACGACTTGCCCGATACGCGCTTATACTCGGCGTAACAACAATATGATGAAGTTTGACGGTTACGATTTCGAATCTCCGTTCGGGCTGTGTTATGCCCGATATAGTATTCGGTTAGGTATACCACCTAGCCGCCATAACACCCGAACAATCGAGAGACATAACAAACACGATAACCAACCGCGTTCATTCCGTCGGCAAAGAACTGACAGTAATAATAACAATATATTTTCCCGTACGACGTAAACAAACCGCGTTCGATTTGCTTTATCGATACGGGATATTTTTTAAACGAGTACGTAAACAGCGGCGGCGGCGGCGGCTGTGTTTTCAATCGGAAACGTTTGCTTAACGATAACGCAAAAAAAAAAATAATAATAATAAATACGCCACTACCCTACACAAAAAAATAACACACGGAAAATGTCTACGAGCTTACGGTTTATACAATGTTTATAAATCGACATTACATTCGCGCGTGTCATACGGTCCGCGATCAGTGATTTACAATAAGTTCACTTCGAACGTCCGCGACTGAACGTTTTCGGTGCAATACGACCGGGACACGAGGGAGAGATATAAATTTATACATTCACCATTCACCCGCCAATTACACCGTTTTTCTAAAATATTTCTAAAAAAAAAAAAAAAATCACGTAAATAATAATTAGTTTTCACAAATTATCCTTATTCTCCTCCATCCCCCCATGACGAAACCGTTAATTGACCGCCACTGGATACGGTTGCGCACTCTTTTCGTTTTTACCAGCGAAAAACACGACGTGGTCGTGCACCGTTAAACATTTCCCCTGGAATTTCGGATAATTCGGTCAGTGGCGCAGTAGTATATAGCTGCAGCTACACGTCAAAGCGTCCGGAAGCAAAATATTCGTTTCGTCCCTGCAATAGAAAATCGAAATTATAACACCCTCCGTCACCGCCGAACACAGTGCTGCGACTGTATTTACAACCGGTAATAAAAGATTTTTTTTTTTGAAAAGACGACACCTTAAATTACGCAAAAAATTTGTTTTTTATTTTTAATTGAGTAAATTTACATTTACACCACAAATTATATTTGCACTTTTGTTAGTTATGTCCAACACATATGTTTATGAAAATACGAAATAATTCGTACGGTAATTGTTTGGTATGGCCATTGATTATGAAATATACCATTATATGTATATATTTTAATGGTTATCGACTTTATCAATATGTCACTGCGGGTGACGCATCACGAATCGCAGTCAATTGAATACAGTCGTAACGTTCTAGTCAAATCACTAAATTATCAATCGTATAGGCGCGTTGAAATTGTATTAAATTTTGTCAGTTATTTTTTTTTTTGTCAATATCGAAATATTCCAATAAGTTTTAATCGTTTTTTGAATACCTACAAATTTCTATAAACTGTGCGATCATCGATAAATATAATGTTTTTAAGCGTATATTGCAGTTTGAATGTCAAATATACATAGTAATTACTGAATATTATTTAAAAAAAAATAACCGTCCTGCGATTATCTATACGGAGCCTTCGCGAGTATACAACAATAAATCGATGTGGATTTTTCAATCGATATTTTTAACGCTGTTGTCAAATGTAATGCTCCGCGACTCTTACTTTTAATTTTCAAACGGTAACCCTGCAAACATTCGAAAGAAACGATAATTTTTCTAAAAAAAAATGTTGATGCTCATAAACACAGTTTAAATTTAGACCGGAGGAATCGAGAAGGGAATAATAAACTTGATTTCCATTTTTAGACGGTAACCCTTCCCCATATAATTCGTCCTGTCCAAATTTTAGACTACTAAATGTTGAAACTCGTAAAACGGCGAATCCATTTTTATAGAGTTATCGATATTTTTAGAAAAATATTCCTCTTACGTACAGGGCTGTGCGGGTTATGAAAATCGAGTGAATAACATCGCCGAAACGATTCTGTGTGTATACAACGACTGGATAAAGCCGAATTCGATTTTCCTATATAAAATCTCCGGAAATCGCTACGAAAATTAGAAAAATCACTATGTGTCCGTTCACGTTAATACTCAATTATAATATAACGCGATTTTAATCGACGAAATTATTAACATTCCATTCGATAATGTACGACTATAATTATAGACATTTTATGTTTGTATTGCGCATTGTTCTCGTATAGATTTAGAATTGTTATAACAATAATATTATAACATACTCGTATAAAAATATAGTCATGTTTCAAAGAAATCGAATTTCGCTGACACGACGATTACGGTTTGAAACAATAACGAGCTGCTCGATTGCATTATAAAACGCACATATACTAATATTATTATAACGTTTTGATGATCGAGTTTTGAATTACCGAGTGCCGGACGAATTTTACGTGTTGAACCGTGTGCGGAGAGAATTTATTATAATTATGTATATTATTAACATACTGTATAATATTATGCAGTATAGAAAAACACGAAACGGCCGACGGCTTCTGAGATGCAACAACAGTGCGAGACGCGAATCTTTAAAACCCACGTGTAATATTAACCAAAGGCCGTAATTCTTGAAAAAAATAAAATCAATAAAAACTAATTTCTAAAGATAAAATTCGCCGACCGTTTTGAACGAAATAAACCGTCGCGCGCACATTTTTCGGGACACTTTACTCGGCCGAACTCTTAGTCCGATTTCTCCTGGACAACGGCGTTAATTATGTAAGCCGAAAGTACTCGACAATAGAGTACACTCATCAAACGACCGAAATTGTTCGTTGAGGATATTTTTACGGCTAGATTCGCTATTTCCGTATCCGTAGAATATAGTCTCGCAAAATAATTAGACCGGTAAAAATTATATTTTTTTTACGTGTGTGTGTGTGGTTTTTTTCCGGTTGATGGGGCGCTTGAAAAATGAGGGTTGTTATTTTCCAGTCTCTTATATTGTAATAATAATTAAATTGCGGGTCTCACAATGAGTTTTGGTTTCTTTCTGGGGACGGCCCCGGCGCTGCAAACAGGAAGACACTACGGGTGTTTGGTTACAGCTGTTGTGGCTTGTGTTTGTCTCGCGGGGATCGTTTCGGAAACGGAAGCGGCGACGACGACTCCTTCAGACCCGATGAACGAAGAGCAGCAGATACTCGACAAATTATATAATACGACGAGTACAATAACGAAACGAAACCGGAAGCGGCGGAAAGACGATCGAAAACCTCGAGGTTCAAAAGCCGACAAACAAGCACGGACGACGGCCGCGACGTCATTTACGCGTATATAATACAGACAAAGAGTTTTTAGAGCGAGAAGACTCACCTGATCGGAAAAAAAAAACGAAAGACAAGCGAGTATCGTATTATAGTATACGATTCGTGCGGACAGAACATTATATTTTGGTGTAAAAAAAAAATACCGACGTCGTCACTGCAGCCAGTCACCGACGGCGGCGGTTGGCTATCGCGACAATTATACGGTTTTTAAACGATTATATTCTTAAGCAATAACTTCGTTCTCTGTACTAATATCAGTTAGCTTGTTCATTAAGAACTCTGGAAGTTGATTGTGCGCTCCCTATTCCGGCCACGAGTCGGGGACAATAAGATAGTATATAGGTACCTATCGAATAATTAACATATTTCGTGTTATGTTTAAAGAATCATAAATATTATTAATGAAATTGCATTTTCAATGTAAATAAAACGAATATTGTTTCGCGTTACTGTATACACTGAGTATGATAATAATAATAATTCCGAACGCATCTCGAAAAAAAACTGTTAAAATACCAAAGCGCTCGACGTCGCTATAGTAGAATCGCTAAAACACGAGCTCGACGTGCGCATTGCTCGTACCGTTTCGTGAAATAGGTACGTCGCGGGTTTTTTTTTTTTTTTAATGTTTGTTCGTTTTGTTTTGTTTTTTTTTCGACCGAGAATATGATTCACTGCGGCGTATAGACACACGTACACGCTTTTACGCGGTTTATATCCGTTCGTCTCTACGACGAGAGCTGTTATTGGCTGACGTACTGGTGTATAATATATTTCAGACCATAATTAAAAGTCCAAAACCCATCAGACATCATCACCGTACACGGATACTGAGCGAAAACGATTAACAATACGATACGATGCGCGTATTCCGGAAAAAAGTTAAAAAATAACGTATGTGCGTGCGCATGTACTTACACTATAATGTACTGCAATATCTAAATTTCGTACGTATAAGAATACGCGATAACCTATGCGTCTATAAATCACCATTTTTTAAAAAAAATTTTAAAATGTCTATGGTATCCGTAAACCGAACGTACGAACGATATTTCTTGTATGTTCGAAAAACTTATTTTTTATTCGTCTCGTTGCTTAACAGGCGACTTCAATAATTAATACACGAGTACAAATATACACAACACGACCTAATAAGGAAACAAAACAGCGCGCCGGCGCGGCAATAATATACAATCGAAGCGATGTTTGTTTTAGACCAAAAAAAAAATCAAATAAGATCAAGAATTATTCTCGATACGACCGAGGCGTGAGAAGTTTTATTTTTTTTTTATCACGAGTGTTTCCTTATCAGAATCGCCGTCGGATATTACAGATTCTCACTAATCGATTTGTATTGTTAAACAAAATTAAGAAGAAAAAAAAAACCAAAAAAACCGGACATACTAATGGGTAGGTCACTGTTGTATAGATCGGGATCAAACTGGTTGCGTTACAGTGTGTTAATTTTGTTTTTATCTCGCGTAGCCATAACTTGACCCACGGGACCATTCGGATCGAAAAATAAAGGGAAACAAAATTACATATAAGAAAAAATTATAGAAAAACAAAAAAACGTCGAAAAATGGACTCGAGCCGTTATTCTTCCCCGGCACCAGAGATGCGACACGGGCACACATGCACTGGGCAATAGTCTCTCTAAATTTTCTGCGGAAAATTCAACAAAAAACATCAACTGCGGTTTAATATTACAAATTACGGATCAAAAGAACCATACCGAACTAATTGTAACAATATAATATGAGGCCGGTATTTCTGGGTACCGTAGAGGGAGAAAACGTTAACAAATACGTATATCAACGTGGAGTGCACTTGAATGAAAAACATGTATAAAATACGCGTAAACTATTATAATACACGTTAATTTACACTATCCGTGTTCACGTGTTATCGAGTGTTATTCGCGCATTCGCGTGTTATACGTGAGAAATGACGTGAATTACGCGAACACCCGAATGTACGCACGTACATGGATTTTTTTAAACGCGCGGTTTTATAGATTCGACCGTTAATTTCACGCGAACACACTCCGGTATCGATACCGAAGTATAAACGGCTTTGCGAATAATCTGAACCTCTTGAGTAAATTAAAAAAAAAAAAAAAATTTAAAACCTTATTTATTTTTATTTTTTTTGGTTTTTTTTTTCATTTTAATGTCCTATCAAAGTACTGTGTTATAAAAAACTTGAAAAACACATTTTCAAAACTCAGAAATACTTAAAATATTGTGGTTTTTACATTAAACCACCACGACTCTATAGGAGTATGAAATTATTACAAGGCGCATCATTTAAAAGGCGGTTTTAATAAAATTCCACTGCGACTCGACGGGTTTTAAGGGATTACTGTTACACACGCCGTATAATTTATTTTTTTTTTACGAGATTCTCTCTTCTTTTTTTTTACGACACGGTAACGCGCGTGCGGTTTGATTCGCTGTACAAACTATAAAAACGCGTTAAAATTTATTCGTAAAAAATGGCCATTTCGTTTTTTTTTTTTTTTTTTACGATTATTGTTCTTGGAAACGCGACACACGCACAAAACAGAACGTCGCCGTTAATAACTATATAGAGGTGGTCTATCGCATAATAATATTGTAGTACAAGTGTGTACAGAGTCTTTCAAAACTCACGGATTTAACATATTTTATTTTTTCGTAAAAATGACTCGTATAAAAACGTTTTTAGAATCGTATTATATATTCTGAAATTGTCCCCACTTTTTGGGGGGCAAATCGATCGTCTACTTTTTCATTTAACGACACGAATCTAAAATTCCATAACGGAATGAAACGGTCTATATTACGTTTAAACTAGAGCTCGCTATTTCACGTGAAATTGACATTCGAATCTATTAAACCGTGTACTTGAAAAATGCACGTATTTCACGTCATTTTTTAACGCATATTCACAGAAACACGTGAACGCGGATAGTAAATTCACCTATGTGAGTACTCTGGTTTAAACACATGTTGGCGTAGAAATTGTTGGTTTCCGTCAACGGATAGACGGAAATCGAACGTTACAACGCTAAAACGTATTTAATAAAGAGTATTTAAAGAATATTTTACACTCTGTATTTTTGTAACTTCTGTTTTTGAGAGGAAGGGGAAAAAAGTTTTGACTGGCACGCAGTTAAACTGAAAAAAAACCACTCGCTAATTCATTCGTGGTTTGTTTGTAAACAAACCACTTGATAAAAAAACTGTAGCTAACAGTGGGCCGTAAACGCCATAAATCAGAAAACACAATGACACGACACGAATCATGTTTGCAGGATTGCGGCCAAAAACTATCCCAGCACCAACCTGCTGCAGATGACGAGGGGGCAAAATGCCTCCCTTGACGCTCGAAATGACGCCACTGGTTTAACATAATAAAGGCGGTGTCGTTTGAAAACCAAACGTAGGGTTTCACCCACAAAAATAATGGCGGGGAAAAAAAATACGGAAAGAACCGCTCGTTTCTTAATTTGTCAAAGAGGATTTTTATTATTTTTTTCGACGCTTTACGAAATAACGAGAGTTTTCACGTTAAACGAATCGCCCTGTATGTTATATTGTATTGTTTGTCCGTTCGTCCGCCGCGCAATGATATATCACCGCGCCAGAAAACCGGTCGCCCGTTTTATTTCCACGTTATTTTATTACGGAATACCGCAATAAACGGCCGACAATACTAACAACAATAATACCCCCCCCCCGGATGCCATTTGCCTCGCTTTTGGCCGTCGCCGGCCGCGTACACCTTTTCAACTGTTATATTTTCACGACGGCCGTTCAAGTCCACAGAGCCGCGCCGCGGTAAGCCGGGGGCGCGAAAGAGAATGCGGTCATCCTTGGAAGTCCGGCAACGCCGTCGCGGACGGACGACGGGGGAATACCCGGCGGGCGGACCGCGTCGTCGGGCGTCTCGGGTTTCGTCAAAGGGAAAAAATATGATTTTTCGCGGTGAAATATCGTCTGGTTGGGCGCGCGCGCGCACTCGCATCGCGCACGGCGGCCCCGAAGCGAATGCGGAATGTTTACGACCGCGTAACCGGTACGGTGGTAACCGGCGTCCGGCGGCGGCGCTACCCGGCGCGATCGCCCGCCCCCGCAGACGCGGTCGCGCATAGTATTATTATAGGCATAGTTGTCGAGCGCACAGATATACAGGGCGATTTCGTCGTCTTTTACGATATACCATATATCTTATAAACGGGCGTGTTACGGTTTGTTGTTAAGTGTTGCGAGCGTTGTTCCCATAGGAGCGATTCCTGGAATTGATTCGTTTTTAGAGAAACGAATGAAGGAAGGAATTCCATTATTTTTTAATGGATCGTGAACGCGAATCAATTCCTTATTTTTAGGAACGTAAATATTGCGCAATTCTTTTGTTCTCCTCCGGAATGTAGTTCTAAAACACATCCGGGAAGACAAATTTCGCTTATTAAGTTTTGAATCTAATAGACGAGACTCTTTCGGACATTTGATGACATTTTCAAATATTAAGAATATAAAAAATTATTTCGGACTGCGTTAGGTATTCATTATGAAACGTTTAAGTAAGGAATGAGTAACGGGAACGAATTTCTCTTTAAAAGAAACGTTAACAACACTGGCTTACTAACGATCGAAATAGAGAATGATTTTTTTTTTTTCACTCGAGTTCATAGTATTATTATGCCGTTCACGAGTTGTAAACGTTTGAAATTTAGACCGGACCATTATTATTGTAGAGGAGACGATAAACCCCGTGTTCGAGTGTACATTACCCGTCTTCGTAATGCGCTGTACTGCCGATAAAAATTTCGAATCTGCGTTTAAGGCATTTAAGGGAGGGGTCGAAATTAGTAAACCGAAAATTAACACGTTGCGTGATGGCTGCTGAATAAGCGAACGGTTTTGAGAATGTATTGCGTTTCCGTCAGAGAGACCCGAAATAGAATCCACTTGAAATCCATCGCTATGGATCGCGGCGGATTAAAGAATCGCCCTGTACAGCGTGTATACGACCGGGGGAGAGGCGGTCTCATGATACGCGCGAAGAGCCGAGATCGACCGCGAACACAATGAAAGAAAAAAAAAACGGTCGAATAATAATAATACTTACGCACGGGGGAGGCGGATCGGCGAGAAATATTCGAATTCACTATACGATATTATTATAATATTATTACGCATTTCGTATAGTACCAAGAATCGTGCGTGCGCACTCGCCAAAGGAGCCCATGCCCACAAGATTACATGCACCTGTTCGGCGCCGCTGCAGTTTACGCGCGCGTCCGGAGAAAATGGCCGCCGCGAAGGTCATCAGTCGACACGATGAATGGACAATGGTAATTGGCCGCCGGCGAGCGAAAAAAGAAAGGAAAAAAAAATAATAATAATAAAAAACGGTAAACGATAGTGTATAATGTATACTGTTGTACGGCCGTTATATTGTTGTTATCAGTGCCGGTAAAGCACCGGAATCGCACGCGTACTTGCTGTAGATATCCGGAGACGAGACGGGAGGAAATCGCTGTAAATCCAAACGGACCGACGACGACGACGACGGTTTTACAGCGTTGTCGTCCGTTTATTTCGGGGACTGAAATCGAGAACATGTGGCGCGGGGCGCAAGTGCTCGGCAGACGGTTTTCACGTCTAGATTTCGAATATTATTCAATATATTTACCCAGCTGCTAAACGGCAAAACACGAATAGGGGTTTTTTTTTTTCGTTACGATTTCATTATGTATTATAAATACGACGAAACAATATCACGTCAATTGAAAAAAAAAAAAACGAAATCGCGAGCGTTTCCAGCAAGTGTAGTCGTGTATTAGGTGTATTATAACTGCAGTGATGTTCTCGTCTTACACGGGATGTTTCGTATACTTCATTCGGTTTTTTTATACTGCTCATAGAGAAAAATATTATGTAAACAAAAAAAGTAAATTAAAATTTCCGAAATCCAACACTCAGAGTTGTTTTTAAAAAAGTGTAGTAAGAGTAGTATACTCAGGTTCCAGAATTAGACCGTTGCTATGTTATCTAAATCGTCAAAACCTAGGAATTATCTATAAACACAAACATAAATATTATAATCAAACTTTCAAAATATATCTCGTAATCGTATCTGGTTTCAAGTTATCATTGCGATAAAGCCGTACTATGAAAATTTAAATTCGATATGTTTTGAACATTACCTAATCGAGTTTCGGTATTCTATAGAATAAATAGACGATGTATTATATTTTACAATTTTTCTGTCCATTTTCGGTATTCTATTAAGTGCCTAGGCCTGGAATGTAATATATACACTTAGTCGAGACATATCGTATAATTCACAACAAATATTAGTTATCTAGGTACTCAAGTTACTTTATTTTTTTAATATTGTTCTTATAAATATTTATACTTTTATAGACTTACCGTAAACAAGACTCGCGCGGATATCCCCCGGTATAAGTATAGCACGCTCGTCTTGTCACGTGTGCATATTAATTTATAAAAATTCCGATAAAAACGATATTCGGATATAACTGAAATGTCAACAAAATAACCAAGTAGAGTTGAAACTATTCACCGAATGAAATAACTATGTAAACTGCACGATAGACTCTAAGTCATTCTCTAACGTTCTATTATCAAAAACAGTAGGTAAGTTATACTTTGACTTGACTTTTTAACTAATATATTATAGTTACCGCGTCCACTTTTGGATAACAGTACCTGTACAGTATAAGAAATATTACGACACTGCTATAATATTATATTATTATTGTTTGGATTAGGACTTATTAAAACGGCGTGATGCGAACGTTTTTTGTTTGATTAACTTCCGGTTGCCATAGTTACCGAACGTAACGGAAATAAATAATACGCCTTCTGTATTTGTTTTTTTACTTATACACACACACACACATAAAACGATGAACGTGCTTAACGGCAGTTTTTATAAACCCCTCGAAAAACGTATTAACGGTGCCCGTGGCCCGTCTCCCTATAAGTGTATATAACGCGCGTTCAAACAAATTTTTATAACCGCGTTTTTTTTAATTTTCGGTGAAAACCGTACACATAACATAATATATATGATATAAAAAAACTAAAAAAAACAATATTCATAAATAACCTCGAGGACGTGGCGGCGCGTTATTGGTACGCGGTATTAATTCCAAACGTATCGTCTGAAAACAATACGCGTCCTATCGATTCCGTAAAGTTCTCGAAAATATTACCTATAGGTGGGTCGTATAGGTGAAGTTCCCCTATAACGTTCGGAAACGTGCGTCAAATTTCAACCGTGCGTTTTTTCGTTTTTTAATCGTAATATTATTTTGACGTTCAAAAACGTTATACGGTTTCTTTTACACGCGTACTAAAAAATAAAAAAAATAATAATAAAAAATTACACCTTTTTATATATTCCGCGTATTGTACCTATAAACATGACTATATAAATACAATATTATTACGTATACAGTGGGTATACAATATCTTTTCGGAAAAAAACCCCCTCGACATTATACGGGTGTATAATACGAGTATAATAATATATGGGTACACTCGCAAAGGTTTCGTTCGCGATGCGTTATATATTCCCCTGTTTTTTCCCACTTTTAAGGGGTGACACGATATAGGCACGGACGTACGGAAAACAAAATTAAAAATTACCAACAATAATTTCATTGAAACCCGATCGTTTTCACCGTATTATTATGCGACGAGTAAACCGAACGGAGAGCGAAGAGCTGGAGCGTTCATTGTAATGAAATTCACCCCGTTCGCAGCTATGGTTTCTCCGCAGCATCGCCCAGTGCCCAGGGGCTTCTTCCGCTGTCTGGCCACCGAAATTTTAATTTGTTTTTTTTTTTTTCGGTCGACTAAAACGTTTTAGGCGATAAACGAACTAGACGGCAGTCGTACCCGGGTCGAGGTGTTAACGGACACTGCCGCATAGTATTCTGATACGTACATATAAACCGACGTTTTAATATAAGTAATAATTAAGGCCATTACTATCGCCGAAGACTGGCGATTAGTGTTGGAATTTACGTCCGAAGGCTAATGGACGACGCGGATAAAGAACACACAAGAAAAATATCAAAACCAAATGATACCTATAATACAACCACAGGCACTTCTGGCCTAATGGCGTTTACGATAGGTATATTAGACAACAATATATACACCGACAATATAATCTCGTGGAGATTTTTCAAGTCCAAAAAAAAAAAAAACACCGCCGTCGCACATTCTCTTTCCGCCTATACACTTATTATATCTTGACACTTATTCGACTTTTGTTTTACGTACATTGAAAACAAACTCGTGAGGCTTAAGAACGACTCGAAAAATAAAATAAGACAAGTGGGAAAAAGTGACAATAATTCTCGGTAAATCAACGTAAAACGTATATTTATTGTCTTTTTTAACCAATTAAAATAACGAATTGTTAAAAATCAACAACAATTGCGTATATTTTAATTCAGCATAATAAATCTATATAGACAAGGTCCAGTTTTATTCGTTCGAATTGTATATGTTTTCCCTTCGCCTTTTTTATGGAGGAGGGGACTTAGTTATGGTCGGAAAACGAAAAAACGTATAATATACACAGTATGATTTGAGCGCTAAAACAGATATTATATAGATACACATAGAATTTGACAATCGTAAAAACGTATTAAGTTTTTAAAACTTGAAAAAGAGAAAAAAGCATTTTAAGCTAAATATTTGGCGAGAAAAATTACCGTTTTGGAGAAAAATAATGACGAAAATCGACAATGTCTGAAAGAAGTGATAGCGGAGTTGCAAGCCCTGCGATCAGTTCGGAGCATGATGATGTATCACCTAATTCAGCCCCGTTGAGTAAACCACTGTCATGTGGTGATTCTGGCGAACCATAATGATTGTAAGATACATACGCGAGTATTTTAACGTGTACGGGAAGAAATTCGACAAACACTCTGGAAATATATGAATCGTTAAATGCTGAAGGGCACATGTTCAAATTATAGAATTCTTCAAGAAAGACAAAAAAAAACCTATAAGCGCCTAGAATTTTACAATATTTTGTATAAAACGACTGTGTACACACAAATAGACGATATCAAACAGCGGGTATAATGCGTCACTGAATTTTTTTTTTTTTTTTTTTTCCAAATATATTATAATTCCTATTTATCTATATTTGTATTTCTCGAACAATTTTAAAATTCGAACACGCGCGTTAAGCGATCCGTATTTTTTTAGCGGGCGTCGCCGTTACAAAACTGTCACAATACGAGATAACGAGCGGCAGTTTAAAACTAACAATAACCACGCGTGTTAAAGAATTATTGGCCGTTAATCAAATTAAAACAAATAGATTCGTGTGTTATCGAATATATAATATTATTAAAACTCTATTATTTTATATTAATGTGTTTGAAACTTTTCTAAACGAAAAAAAATTATACAGTGTGTTCCGTTCGAACGGTGACACGGAAAATATTTCAGACTTGGGTTTGGAACGGAGGGGGGGGAGGGAGCAGAGAGAGAATTAATAAAATCGGGGGTAGGTATGAAAATACGTATTTTCAGCATATTTTCAACATTATAATCCTTATGGAACGCGCATGCGTAATTAAACTTGTGTTAAACTTTGTTAAACGGAAACACCTATTGTATGTTTGATATCTGGTGCAGATTCGAATATTGCTAAGTTTTCCTTGCGACTTTCATCCGCTTTGACCTATAATACAATTTGTTTCGAAAATTCATGTTGATTTTTCGACGAAAAACCTAACCTTTTTGGGGGAAAACATTTAAATTAAATACAATTGTTAAATAACACATATATATGTACATTCATTATTTCTAAAAAAACACGAAAGAATCATATTTTTCAGTAAACTTTGTGTCGAGGAATTTTCAGGACGGAAACAAATTGTACAAGTCAAAGTTGCTTGGGGAGATTAGGTACTCACATGACTCCGAATCCGACGGTAAAAATAAGTTGTTTTTTTTTTCAAACATTTTCATTTAACCGTTTGAGCGAAACGCGATGTATATTATTATAATCAATCGTAAAACGATATTCTTATCAAATAACAATAAAGAAACGTATAATATATAATTACAATAAAAATAATGTAATCTGATTAGATATTATTACACTACATACAATCGAACGTATTGACGGATTGTCTTCAGTATAAATGCGATTATTCATTACAATATACGATGATGTATCAATATGTCAATTATAATATACGACGCGTCATTTTATTATAATATTTAAATATAATAAAAATAAAAATAGCTAGGAGCTATAGTGTATAATGCAAACCGTTTTGTATAATATAATCAATAATTATTATTGTATTGACGATGAATGTTAAAAATTTGAAAAAATTAAATCGCCGATTTTCATGTATAGCGTATAGAATTATTGATATATGTATAAGGCATACCTGCATGATATTATACATTATACGGAAACCGACGGTTGCTATTGAAATAATTATAAGAACGAAGAAACACGGTCGGAATTACTGCAGTCGGACAAAAAAAAAAAAACACTATACATTGTATTCGCGGGTAATTTATGCGCGTAAGAAGCGTGTAAACTTTACTTAAAACCACAAGAATGTGCAATAATTATTATATTGTAGGTCAGGTTCATTATAATATTATAATTGCGAACGGTCCGTAAAAGGCCGTCGTAATAATATTATACGCAGGTATCGACAAAAACCGAAGTCGGAACTCGAAGGCGAGTCCGAGACGGCTTTTCGGTAGTTCCGGGTGAAGCGAATAAACGCGAACGCTACACGGCGCAACAATATTAATGGCAAGTCCGTCAATTGAGTGCGTACACTATACTACGAGAAACTATAACATGGACTTGTCTGGTTCAAAACGAATTCCGGGCGAAAAACAAAACCACAACAGTCCCGTAGATCTTTCCTTTTTTCCCCCGAACGATTTCGAAATGTGAACATGCGTCTGGTGGGTGCGCCGAGTCCTTCAACAATAATTGTGATTGAAAATGTCCAGTGTTCCCGAAACGCGGTTTCGCGGCGGATTTCAATGCTATTATCGACTGCTGCAGCGTTTATATAATTATTATTATTAATTACTGTATTGGGCGTAAGACGTTAATACGTTAAAAAAAAAAATAAAAATATCGTTAAATACGAGTTAATAATGAATTGTTAACGTTTGAATTGTTTAACGAGATTTTAAATAGCCGTGTAGGTAGTGTTAACGAATTGTGTTCGCGTTTGAAACTATATAAATTAACGTACATAATATACAAATTGTAATTCGTACGCAAAACAAACGCTCGAAAACGGGCGAAACGCCGCAATACGCGCTCGTATGGGTGATAAAAAGTCGCGGATAATCGAATGCCGTTAACGCAGTTATTAGACGCGTATACGAAACGAATATAACTATTATATTTCCGCCCGAGAATGCTCGGGGAACAACATCAAAAAAAAAAACCACTCGAAATCGTAGACGCGCCGCGTATGCGTGCACTCTGACCGTACAGTATAATAATTGTTATTAAATACGGGAATCGGTCGTTTCAAACCTCGGGAAAAAATCCCGAGTCGCATGCAGTCGATACACTCGAAAGATTTTGTGTTTTTTTTTTTTTTTTTTTTTGTCCCGACCGTCGTATACGCCGCTGCAGGACAAAAGTCACGCCCGACGTGTACGCGCACGACGTACTTACAATGATAATAATAATAATGATGATAATAACGATGATGATAATATGTTACGCGTGGTTTACGCGAAACACAAATTACAATACACACACACACACATATATTTATACACACTCCGCACGACCTACTGCGGCAATTTGTGCGCGATGAATCGTTCGCGTAGAAAACGCGCGCGCGCATTTGTATTTTGAAATCGTTCCAGATTCGAACCGCCGTACACATCCGCGTCAGGCGCGTAGCCAGCGATTTTTTTCCGGTATTTTTTTTTTTTATTTCTTTTAAAACCGAGGGGTCGGGGGTGTTTTGCACGTTTGAATTCTACGCCGTGATGTGGTAGGGGACGTTCGCACGTCCTATACTACACGAACGCATACGATCGCGTTGATAAATCGCAACGCGAATTCTGTGCGATGGAAAATCAACAGGTCGAAAGTCGGTTTTATTTTCGGAGACATTTCAATATTTCCGGCGTTTGGACCGGTATACATTTACTTGGTGTACCTACGACACCTACGACGTGTACCTACGGTTATTTTTCATTGTTTCACTACAGCAGTCTGCGATAACCGACTTCAGTCTATATTTCTGTGGCTTGGTGCAAGAAGGGCCAATGTCAATTTTATTTTTGAATAAATCAGTTAGAAGTAAAAAAAGAAAAGGTGTACGATTTTTTAAGTTATTGTAAAAACTGAAAATCGCAAGAAAATGTAATATTAAAGCCCATTTCACAAAGTGTGACGTTAGCTCTTCTTGCACCAAACCACACATTTAATCTCTGCACAAAAAAACGGTCCGTAGTCGAATGAAGATATTTTATAAATCTCAAGCCTCGCCCCCCCCCCCATACACATTGCACACATATTATTGTGGGTCCCGGTCGATACTGAACGTGATCATTACAATATAGAATCACAAAGCAACTTACAAATTATCGCGACCCGTGCGAAAATTCAAAACCCGCCCTTGTATAATATGAACTCTGTAATTCACAATGAAAACTCGAATCCGAAACACCTTTGCGAACTATTGTATACAATCGTACGGGCGTTTTAATCGTCTCTCGTCGTAACGTCTCATTCACTGTCTGACGTCTTGAATTTAAAATTTTTTTTTATATCGTACGGTGTTTTTAAGGCCCGCCCATTATTCTCTTTGCCATAGGCATTTTGTTAGAACCCGTAACACGCGATTTATTTGCGGCTTGAACGCGACCGACAGTAAGTGAGAGGGGAGTGTTCCGAACACCCAAAACATCTCATCACACGGCTACCCGCACACACGTCTAATTATAAATTCGCAACAAACGGTCATCCGTCCGGTCCGTTACGATGTTATTGTAATATTATGTCCGTTAAACGCTGCAGCGTTTTTTCGCATTCGAATATAATAATGTAAAGGGTGTCTCGCGGTCGAAACCACTCCCCGTGTAGATCCGGTTGTTGTTTTTTGTGTTTTTTAAAACCGTGAGCCCCGTTTCGTATATAATGCGCGTCCCCGCTGTTTTTAACGTATTATAATAATCGACACCAGCTGCCGCGGCGGCGAGCTGTATACATAATACGCAGGGTGTACAGTCGAAAATACGAATAATAATACGAAAAAAAAAAATAATAATAAGATCGAAATATAACCGTCAGTCCGTAAGCTCGCGAGTTTATAGCTATAGGTATATGCATATAAAAGAATAAAAACCGAGAAACATTCTGAAATTTCCACTGTACGCGACGATGTCCGTCCGAAACCAGTTTGGGTTTTTTTTTTTTCTACCTATACCCGTAAGAAGAGATTAAATCGCGTTGCACAACAATTACAGACGACGACAGCGGCGGCGTCGGTGTCGTCAATCGACCGACCGTTAAAGTTGCCATAGGTCATTTCCGTTACACTCTGCCGGAGGTATGGAAACGTACGTATATATTTTTTTATAAACAGATCGCGTGTTCAAAAAAACAAAACAATAAAAAAGCCGAACGTTCTGCACTAATTAAACGGAGGGAAATGCACGTGCAGTATAGTAGAGGTATACGTGTTTCACTCGAACGGTTAACGCGGAATGCTTCGGCCGGGCGAACTCTTGAGATTGAAATTGAGATTTTTTTTTTTCGGAGAGGGTTCCGAAATACACGTTTCGCGCGTATATTCACGACATTTTACCCTCCGTGGCGCGCGTATAATTATAAGTTTTTTTCTCAGGCGCAAACACCAGATTCGAAAACAGCGGTATGTTTTACAGACGACTTAGAATAATACAAGAATAATCATCGTATATATGGATATCCGTTTTTTTTCCCATCCCAGAACCGCCCGGGATACTACGGCCAGAGCACGGCAAATGTTTTCCTTTTATTTCACACGGATTGCATCTAGATTATTTTTTCGAGCCATACTGTGGTCGGGTCCTATAAATCACAAAAGCTAACCGACATTTCTAAATGGAATCGACATCATTCATCAAGTGTCGTAGAAGGCTATAAATGACGGATAAATGGCTAAATACAATAATCGCCTTTTTGAAATCGGCACTTTTCGAATAAGAGAATGTGACCATTGATTTGGTTATATATACGTTCGGAAAAAATGTGTAAAAATGTCAATCGAAATTCGCATCCATCTCAAATCGCACTGATTTTTTTTTTTTTGGCTGTACATACGGTTTCCGTTTCACTCGCCGTAATCGAAATTGCGTATTGTTATAAAACTTGAGAGTAACACGCGTTGGATGGCGAAATCGTGAAACCGATAGCCGTAGCCGTCAACACCGGGCAATGATATCGTAGCGTACAAGAAAATATCAAAGTTAAAAGTTGCGTTAGCTTGTAAATTCAATTTATTGCACCGAGTCGATCAGGGACATCATTTCAAATTTTTTCATGATATGCAAAACGAATGTTGAAAACTCAATGGTAAAGCAGCTTACTTGATCGCTTATCATATAAAGGACAAAATATGAATAAATTTCCGTAGGTATATAATTTTAATTTTCAATTATAACATATATTTGTATTGGTTATTGATAATACCTAAACATTATTCAAAAACCTATTTCAGTATATGTATTTTAAATAAAAATAAATGAAGAAAGGTATAGGTATTGATTAATACTGTTAATAAATTGCACAAACTAGACTCGACACGATTTGATAGATAATAAAAAAAAATTCACTATTCCATAATATATTACCAATAAATATTCTAAAACAATGAAAAAATGGGCAATAATCGGTGCTAATTCATATAAAAACGTTAAACTTTAAAATTCATATCTATCTATACGCAATTGTCGCTAAATTATTGCGATAAAAGCACGAAAAAAACATGTTTGTATAATTTATTAGAACAAAACGATTGTATTATTTTATTGAAAATTCCGTGAAATTATTCGGATCTACTGCACATTCTAAATGAGGTAAAAAAAACTCGCGGGATGCATTTTCGTACTACCTTTGCATGCTGCAAATGACGTCACTTGAGAGCCGATAAGTATATCGCTAGCGCAATAACCAAGACGAACGCGCTAACGAGAAAAACCCGGGACGCGGTCGGTACGTGTTCACGTAGGTTTTTTACCGGCATTTCGACGTAAAAAGTCCGTCCGGTCGAAATATTCCGAAACCCTCCGATCGGCCTTTTAACGAAATTCCAGGTTTTATCAGGTTAGTAAATAATATATAGTGTCGACGGACGACGAAACAAAAATAAAATATTAATAATGCGTACGCGTTTTACCGAGGCGGCCTCGTCGACTTTTATCGCAAACGTCTCAATCGGGTAATAATTCATTATTATTCCGCCGCCGCCGCCGGGTATAATTTATACGGTTTGATAATATTTATTTATTATATTATTACTGTCGAGTGTTTATTCCGAATCGACGGTTATAATACCGACGCGTTTGACGCGCCTACCCCATGCATAATAACCGCCGATTCGGTTAAAAATAATATTATCGATATGATACTCGGGACATGCGCATCGCGTCAAACGGACGCCAAGTCGGACAGATCTTTCGCGGATACGTAAAATATAGGCGGAAATTGGCTTTTCTTTCATTTTTTTTTTTTTTAGGAACCGTCTTTTAAATTAATAACTCTCATCATAGTCGAATTGGGTGGAGAGGACGGTTTTTCGATTTATTCACGGCCTTACGATTGCTACATACATCCCCTCCCGTCGAAAATGTCTGGATACGCCACTGACTGTAAGGTTTACACTTATACATTTTTTTTCCCATGAGTACGCTGTTGTTACATCCCGTGCCTTACACGTGACGTATTTTAAGTCTTGCTCGCGGTTCATTCTGCAGTTTGCCGAGAAAACAGACACTGCGGTTGTACAAAAATTAAAATTAAAACGACCAAAATACTCGCGAAAAAATGAAAAAAAATGTATTTGTACATCGTATACAAGAAGACCGCGAAGTTTCTAATAATAAAAATAATTAGGTACCGAAACAAACACAATAATACGAAAATTTGTATCGCTACACGAACGGGCAGTGATTACAAACGTATCGTGACGAATTTTTTTTTATTTTTGAAAAACTTTTCGACAATACGGCCGCGATTTTTCACGCGGAAATATCCGAAGCGTAATATTAAAATTACCACAGGAACACCGCCCGGAAATCACCCCCCTCCCCCGGATCAAATACGGACGAGTTACACGTGAATAAGGGGCGGGCACGCGCTGATTATACGCGCCGACTCTGGCCGCGGATTTACGATTCGCGACAATATCCGCGTTCTCTTTCGGACTCTGGTCATCGGTAAATCCCCTCGTTGAATATATCCTATTCGAACTCCGCGAGTCGATACGGAAAACATTTTCCCGGAAATTATCGAAACACGTTGTAATAATTATGGGCACGCGTCAAGTGAACTCGATAAACGGAAGGGGCGGCTTAACGCGATACGATACGAACAAACAGCAAAGGACCACGCTGCGGTGGCGTAATTGAGAATGTTTTTAGAGTGGGGAGGGGGCGGGATATCAAAATAAATCTTCACGGCAATCTCGCGGGCGAGTTTGTACGGAAAAATATGCGAAATAAAAACAGTATTATTCGATTCAGTAGAACGTACGAATCAAATTCGTATCCAGATCGGCATTGATCTGGATAAACGGCGGCAAAAAATACGCGATTTCATAGATATCCGAACCGTAAATATAGTGTTGTACATTTCGACCATCACGAACCGCCATAACCTAACCTAACCGTCGGCGGCCGCGTGTGAACCCCGAGATCCGCTGTCGGAGGGATCGGCAACGCGCGCGCATCCCGAGACACATGGGACAGCCAGTATACACGCGTATCCCGAGACATATGGGGACCGCCGGGGAACACCGGTTTACGGCGGGACGGATAGAGACCTGCACGCCACACAGCGACCCGAGAAATCCGAATGGTACGGCACACCCGGACGCGCCCTTACGAACTCTATGTACCGCGAAAACCGAACGCCGAACGTGGCGTCTGAACAACCGTCTCGCGTGCTAACCACTAGGTTATCCGGCGCCATCGGATATCCGAAATTTTTTAACGTAATTTCACGGGTTTTCGGGGATAATTTTAAAGCACCGCCATCCCAACACCACTCCTCTTCATAGAGAACATTCAACGGGCGTCGGAACACGTAAATTTACCAATACGAATTTTCGTCTCGTAACTCGACGACATCTCTCTGCAGGACATCACTCGTCTACTTTGACGATCAAATAGGATTTAGAACTTGTACTTCGGATACGCATCGGTTCTAAACCATTTCGATTTCCGACGATTTCTGAGAAATCGGGACCTTATAATTTGTGAAGTCGGACGGTCCCGTCAACTGCGCTACGTAGCTATACGTTAAATAACGTTTTCAATTTCACAGGCACGCGGCTGCTATCTATTAGACTGCAGTGGTTTTCGATCTTTTACGGATCACAATACCCTTATAGTTTGTTTTTTTTTTTCACGAAAATACGACCCGTCGAAATTCTTTTCAATAGAACTCGAATACTACGGTACCTATACAATTTACACGATACTTACAATATTTGGCGACTCTCCGGCATCGCTCCCCATACGACCCATACGTGGGTTACGACCCCCCGGTTGAAAATCGCCGATCAAGAGGAACGGCCGCGGACAAACGCGCGTCGGGTGCAGTCGTGTTCCCGCCAAAACCGCGTCGCGCCATATTTCTCTCGGACGTTCTTCGGCCCGATTTGTGCGGTTCACAATGACCGAACGTGTACCTGTAATACGCGCAGTACTCAGTGGAGGCGCGAAGTATTATTACCTCGAGTCCTCGATTCGATTTCTCACCCGCCCCCGTCGAAAATATCTCGAAATCTACAAACCGGGGATAAAAACCGTGTTTCCCTACGGCGCGGGATCTTGGGTGAAATTTATCCAATTTTCGCGGTCAAAAATTCTTTTAACGACTTTTGTTCCGTACAAACATTACAATGTTATTCGTTGATATTTCTGAACGACTGTGAAATCGAAAAAAACTACGGACAGGTCGACAAGAAACATATAGCAATATCGAATTGTATAGCTCGCTTTGCCGTTATTATAAAATATTCATTAGGTACCCATCCCGTGACAATAATATTAGCGGACGCTATAAAATCCGATCCCCGTTCGTTAGACACGGTTCGGCAGCCGTATTATTCTTATCGTTTCGGGACGATCAACTACTCGTTTCGAAATTATTCGTCCAAACGGCCCAAGGGGCCCAATAGTGGCCCAACGGGGGGAGGGGTGGGGGAAACAGTCACCTCGAGTACGTTTGTTCGTTGCCGTGGTGCAGCTGCGAGCAGTAATAATCGAGTGCGTGTGTTATCGGCTCCCTTAACCGATCGTACCCCCGGCCCGGCACAGCGGGTTTAGCCGTTGATTTTTCTCTTTCTCTCTCTCTGTCTCTCTCTCTTTCCGGACGCGGCGTTACTGACACCGCGTCGAGTACAATACGATGCACTTAAGTGGCGACCGACGATATGATGCCCACTTGTGCCCCGTTTGTTATAATATTACGTTATGCGTATGCGAAGGCAAACGGAACATATTTTATTCCGTTCGCTCCCCCCCCCCGAAAAAAACAAAATCTGAGTAGTCAGTCGGGTTTATAACACGTTTGTTTTTTGTTCTACTCGTATCGTTCGCTCATGAACTTTTTAGTTTTTTTTTGTTACCGTTTCCAGGTGCCACCGAGTTTCGTGCGTTAATGGTATTAAGTCCGTTTTAATTCGTTATTTTTTATAATGCCGATTAATCGTTTCGGTTACAATCTTACGCGGGTGTTCGAAAAAAACGGACGAACAAAACAATGCTAATTATTTTACTACCACCCACCCCCGTCAAATCCAATTTACCAACGGCCGTTGTTTACATAAGATAAAAAAAAAATTACGACCGAATAAACGCAATTCGAAAAGTACTCACGGACTGTGACGGCTTTCGGGTCGGCCAGCTCGACCAAGTGGCCGAGGGCCTGGACGCGGTGCTTGAGATTGGCCGATCTGGTGGCCACGTCGGTCAGCTGATCGCGGAGCACGCGGAACACCTCGTCGGCGAGCGCGGCCACGGAGGCCATTTGCCGCAGCGCGTTGCTTAGAGCGCAATTGGTGACGGCGTCCAGCTCGCGGTCCCGGACGGTCGGCGTGCCGTTTTCGTCGTGCAGCTTGACCCGGCTCAGGTGGACCGGCGCGACCACACGTTGGACGAACGGCATGGCGAGGAGACGCGCTGCTGTCGGAGAGAAGATCCCGCGAGTAAACGCGAGAAGTTCGTTACAAATTTGAAAAACACAACAAAAACACCAAACGGGTTCGACGGTCACCGCGGCCGGTCCGCGACGATTGTGGACGTCGCGTACGATTTCATGGCGCGGCCGGTAGACGATCTCACGCGGGCCCACAAACGCACAGAAACGACCACACACACACACACAGAAACAAGAACACGCGTAAAAGTAGACAACTGGACAGAACGGACAGACGTACGCACGTCCGCAACGGTCGGCGGCCGGCTGATAACTGAACGCGTACCGTCGTCGTCGTCGTCGTCGTCGACGCCGCCGCCGCCGCCGCCGTCGTGTTTCTCTCGTTTTGAAAACCGGCGGCGGCGACGAGACGCGGTTCAAACGGATCGGCAGGTTGGCCAACACGCCGCCGCCTCGGGCAACTGCGGGCGGTTATAGTGTTGTACCTATACAGGTATGCGGTTCGTGTTTTAGGTGAGATATCCGGTAACGCCGTGACAATCGGTCCGAAACGTATTATATTTTCGTTTTATATCGTATATACTCGCTATTATATTATATTGTCCTGTATGCATGTATGTTATAAAATGTTTTATAGTGTAGGTACGGGAGGTACAGAAAGAGAGAAAAAATACCGACGAATTATTTACGTAATATATCTATAAATACAGTGGCGTAGCCGGTGATGGAGGGTTTCGGGTGTTGTATCGCCCGCATATTATGATTTTAGTTTCAACTGAAGATACACCTAGGTACAAATGTTGTAAAACCCTAAACGCTTGAATATTTTTCCGGGGCGCCCTGTTAACTGAGAGGGGTAAATCGGTGAACTCCTACTACTCCCTCCTCATTGAAAAAATCTCGAACGAACGTCCGAAATGTCATATATCCTCAAAGCGAAACTATCGCGTGCGAAAATAGGCCAATCATTCGGAAACTGCGCATTGTTTTCACCGTCGCTACTTTAATCGAATAAACAATTACGCCAGTGGCGTCATTTCAGTTTTTGAGAGGAGGGGGCAAAAGATTTGACCGGCCCATAACAAAACTGAAAAAAACTGCTCGCTAATTCATCCGTCACAATACTATATTTTTATCTCAATACATATATCCTTATTACGTAATTTTATATTTACTATCATAGGCATGAATAACACGTTTTTTTGACGGACGACAGTGACTTAATAATAAATATATATGTAAAGGGATAAATACCTAAATATATTACCTATAATAGCCACTATATGCAGATGTAGTTCGAGGTGAATTATACCCCAATTTATATTCTATTTGTGCCAATATGTATATGAGAGTGTACATATATTTACAAAAAATATAATCGTGTGACTATGGACATCAGTGTAATCAAACCTAGGTTAGATTAGGTTAGGTTAGGTTAGGTTAGGTTTTGTCTAACCATAGAATAAATAAAATAAGAATAGACACTCTCCAAAAATTTACATAAACTCTTATGAGAACCCGGTAATTTCAGCTAAAGTGCAATCAATGTTAACAAAAAGTACGATAAAAAAATATTGTATTCAATTATCACACGTATTACAATCATTATCATAAACAAATCTTGAAGAATTGTAGCTGAGAGAGGCAGTATGCAACATAAATCATGAATTATGTTTGCAAGCTTGTGGCCCAAAACTGACCCATACCCGACCCAATAGAAGCTCGCTAATGACAAAGGAGAGGTGGGGGGTAAATGTCTTCCCTGACCCTCCCCAAATGATGGCATTGAATTATGCGGTCATCCCATATGATTTTTACGATTTTTATACTACATGTTCGATTAAACGCGATAATTTTATCGACGGCGTTTTCGATATTTATACAGTCGGATTATTTCTTGTTTCTTCGTGTTTGAACCGACAACCGTGAGGTATTCGTTTTCATAATACTTCCCCATTGCCGCTATTGTTTTTTGAATAATTACAGCTAATGTACTTATTTTAGTTCCTGTTTCCCATAAGCGGGACAGGCTAACATATATATGTAACTAACAAACTATATATAACGAAGTAAAAGTAATCCAATGTCTAACTAACTTAACACTACTGTATAGTCGCTCACACTCCCCGAGTCTTCCCGATCCGTTAATCAAGAACTCGATAGCCTAAAGGCTCATATTATCCTTCCCCTTTGCAACCCGGTTCGAAGAACCCGCCAGTCTGGGTCGTTTTCTGATATTTCTTCGAAGCACGAAGTGCGAACACCCCAAACCCGACCGGCGGTGGAGGGTCACACTGCAGTTAATCGGTTGGTCCCGGCTTCGGCCTCCCTGATCCTCTCATTCTGCTCTTTGCGACACAGGATGTCCTCCGCCTTTGAAAAGAAGATACAGTCGGACTTGGTTAACTCGAAGTTGAATGGACCGGCAATAAAGTTCACGAGTTTTCGAATTTTCATTTTATTCGTTTTAATACCACAATTTATTTAACAATAATATTATCATAAAATCGTAAACGTTGAACGTACAACGGAGCATTAAAGTGTATATACGTATATGAGTGGATAACGTTTTGTACCTATTATCGAGCGGTAAACCAATTATTGTATAAACTGTATAGGTAACCATGTAATCATTAATAAACTTTAGTGTCGATAGTGAATGTACATACATAATATGAGAATAACCCGTGTATCACCGATCCTTATAAAATTGGAACTTCGAGTTTTCCATCGCGAAATATTCTAAGGACCGAGGAAAAAGTTCGAAGTATCTACGTATTCGAGTTAATAGAGTTCGAGTTAAACAAGTTTGACTTTACAAATATTTTGAACAGGCCGCATTTTCCGCATTAGAAATGCTCCGCACGTTCTTATACGTTTTAATAATAAACGCTCGGGCTATAATATCGCGGATACGTTGACGTCCGTGAAATTGCCCCCCCCCCCACCAAGGCCGAATCGCTTCGGGCGAATGGTAAGTTAAAGCCCTTTTATTGTCAGAGTAAATGCCAGTTCATTACTGGAATTTGCTTGTTATCCTCAACCGAATTATTGGACGAATTATATTTTGAGCGGCAGACTTTAGGTTAGTTTCCGGGAAAACTTATAAATCCAGGAAATGATCTCAAAACGCAAGGACATTATTGGCTATTTGTCCGGGGCCCATGCGGGTCAGAGTCCCATCTATTGGATACGTGTATACTGTATATTTATACAGAAGTTAGTAGATGTTGGCCCAGGGTCTAATTTACGCATTGTTTACAGTGCAACCCCCCTTTCCTATTCTATGAAAAAAAGCTGTCCTAAGATGATGGTGATAGGTGCAGCCACTATTATAGGTAATTAGGTATACCTGTAAGCAACGGTAAACTATTGCTAACGAAAAAACTATTCTGAACGGAGTTCGTTTGATAGTGTTGCTTTGTCAACAATATATAACATGTAATATTATGATAAAATAATTACATATGCGTTATATATTTTCTTTAATATTTGTTTGATATTGATACCTATTTTCCCGTTTTTCCTACGTTCTTCCCATTTATTAGAAAAACTTTTTGGAGAAAACAAAAAATTTCCTCCCTAAAGTACCTCCTCAGTCACAATTCCATTTATAAAAAAGTGCTATCATTGCAGTAAATCAGAGCAAAATTTCCGGTAGAAAAGTTGTCCTCAGAGGGAAAAAAGGCCGTAAAATAGTTTTACTAATATGGGTACTTATATTTCGTATATATTTTTCCGTTTTTCCGGGTTTTCCTATATTTTTTCAAATTCATTGGGAAAATCAAAAAATGACCAAAGTACCTTCCCAGACCGATTTCCATTTAGAATAAGTACTATCATTAAAAATCGCAGGAAAATTTATCATAGAAAAATAAAAAAAAATAATAAACATTATTGTAAAACCAATACATTCCTCACTCCGCTCAAAATCTAAAAAAAATAATCTTGTATTGAATAAGTTTTTGTCACGACCGTGCGAATTAAAAAAACCACACGGAAAAAGGCCGATAAGCAGAAAAAAAAATTGTCGTAGTACCTAAATTATACAATGAGCCTCTGTTTCTTTAAATCACAGTCGGCTTGGAATTTAAAAGGGCTATAACCTACAATTTGAAGAGGGGGAGCAAATCCACAGATTGTCGGCGTTGCGTGCATTGTGATTAATTAATAATCTTATAGCCGCGGCCGATTCTATTTTCGTTATTATCCGCGCGGACTATAAAACAATATCATACATAATACGGTACAAAATATTATAGAAAACGGGTTTTTAGTTTATATAGGCTGCTATATATTAAAATATAAGACAAAAAAAAAAAATCACATATTATCAGATGGGTACCTGCCCACCTACCTATTGTTGTGCACGGACACATCACAAAACAATAGGCACTTCGAAACCTCGTATAATTTGTATTACGAGGATTTTCGTTTTACAATATAGTGTAGCGAGAAACTATACGTTTCACTAAGATGGTTTTTTTTTTTTTTATAAATACTTTTTCAATGCCAAAATTCCCGGTAAATTTTTAAGCCGAATATACTTTGCAATTATTTTCCATAGTTCACCGCCTAGATCGATTCTTGTTTTGTCACGAAAAACATAATTTTGGTCAGCAAAATCATATTGTACTTACCTTAGAAAACACGAATTTTCCACCCGGCGCGGCGGTATACTTTATTCGAAAAACGTGTCTAGATTCTTGATTTTCTAAAAAGTTTTTTTTTTAAAAAAAAAAACTCTACAGCAATATTGACGAGACATCGGTTTTATATTTTTCGGTATTACAACTATGGCTACAAAAAAAAAAAAAACATGATTTGTAATATAAATCGTATATTAACCAGTTTACCGAAGTTCCGCTCATAAGCGTTTTTTGATCGCAACGATTTATCGCTGTTTCCTGACACTGAAAGTTTCCGTAAATACAAATTAAACCGTCCGGCATTGCCTGTATATTAGTTTCCCACCTACAACAGCGGCCTATAAAACTCGGTGACCATACAAAGAAAAAAAAAACACGGGACATTTAAAAAAAACAAATTAACCATAATGTATAATAAGTAATACCTAACTAAAATAAATATTGTGTAAAAAACAGAATAATTAACGTGTGCTGCGTACAAGGGTTTTTAAATATAAGTAAAATTTGTACATACGCAAAAATTAAAGAGGCCTGGTATATGAACCGATAAAGCAAAATAATAAGTGTTTACAGAAATTTGAGAAATCTGGGCTCCTATAAGCATCCCGTAAAACCCTAGTGTAAAATAATTGTAATATTTGGATTTTCGAACAAAAAAACATTTCGGCCTGTTTTCTTACGTCACGTTCATAGTACACTGGTCGCTTCAAATAAAATATAATATAAAGTAGGTACCCATGAGTTTTATAACACATGCGACAGTATCCGTAGTACGTTAAACAAATTGATAAAATAGATAATAATACGATAAAAAACGTCGGTGGACGGAGCTTTACATTTGATATATTTTATATTTTGTTTGTATTTAGCACTTTTGATAGCGCTTTTTTAAATGGAAATTCGACTGCGGAGGTACTTTACAAAGGTTATTTTTCGATTTTCCCACGAGTTCACCGGATAAATGAGAAAAACCGAGAAAAACGTAGGAAAATACCGGAAAATAGGTGCGATATTGAATAGATATTATAATGCCCGTGGAATTGTTTTGTGCCACAATACGATATACGACGTACCGTTGTTGACAAAGCGACACTGTCAAACCGATGAACTCCGCTCAGAATCGTTTTTTCGTTAACGACGGTTGGCCGTCGCTTGCGTGTATGAATTGTGCACGGCACGGCGGAATAGTGTTTTGTCAAAAAGTGCCGGCGGAAAAACCCGCCGGACGGACCTCGGACGTTTAAGTGCCCGCACCGCATACGCCGTGCGCCGTATACGGCGGGCCCCGCGCGTCGCGCGAATAATTCATTGCGCCCGGCACGAGTTTTATTAACACGGCGGCTCGGAAAAATTAATTTCGCGCAATGCGTATGGCGGCGACCTCGTTGAACCCCGCCGCGGTCGTCGATAATAGCGAATGGTAATTACGCCGCGCCGCAGCGAGAACGCGAACCCGTTCAATCCGTAATAATATATCAATGCCGATTACACTGGGGGGGGACCACGGGAAGGTACAGCATCTTCCCCCTCCCCCCCCCCCCCNGGGAGGGGGAAGATGCTGTACCTTCCCGTGGTCCCCGCCGTAAGTACTGTTGTTTTTAGATCCTCTCGATATTTCTGCGTTTCGCCACATGAGATTATCTGATACGAAAACAACACGAAACCAAACAGCATCAATCAAACCGGCGGCCGAACGTTGTAAAACCTCCCGGCCTAGTTGGTGAAAACTGCCCTTTTCAGGGCAACCCCTCTGACAGACGTGCTCTGCCATATGAATTAAAAAAAAAAAATTAAAAAAAAATACCGATTATCGAAAACGCACGGGACGGCGGGACGCGCGAACGCATTGCGCGGGAAACATCCGAAAACGGACGAGCCGCCCGCAATGCGCCTATGCGTGTAAAACGACAGCGCGCCGCGGTCATTTCGCCGGCCGTGCCGTGCGGTCGCGAGCCATCCGACGGCTGCGCGAATTAATTATTTATAACGGGACATTTAATTGTCATATATTATCGTGCGGCCCACATATTACACCCGCCGGATTGGTTTACGCGAATTGCGTTTTTACGTTGTACCTACAGTGACGTGAATGAAGTTTCCCCCCCCCCACCCATGTCCAATCGACTTCGAACCTTCGCCAATACTTTGCGACCTATTCGGAACAATTTATGGAACCCGGTTTTCAGAATTTTGGAACACGGCGAGTCTATTACGATTTTAATCGTTCGTAAACGGGACTCCGTCGATTTCGGACTCTTGTCGCTGCCGTGTGCGTGTTATAAGATTCTGAGCGGAGCGAAAAATTTATTGGTTTTACAATAGTTTTTTTTTTTTTGTGAACAACTTTTCTACCGGAAATTTCGCTCGATTTTCAGTTATTGGCTTATTGCACTTTTTCAGAAAGGAAGTCTGACTGGGTTGGTGCTTTAGAGAAGTAATTGTTTGGTTTTCCAGGGGTTTTCATAACAAATGGAGAAAAAAACGGGAAAACATACGAAATGTATTATTTTCAAATTGTGAATATTATAGTCTTTTTAAACATGTCTAACCGAACTACGCTCTGATTCGTTTTTTGTTAGCAAAAAAAATCGTTGCGTACATTAAATTCCCCTCTATATCCTACCTTCTAAACTTCACACCTATCACAATGACCAACCCATCTTGCGAAGTATGTTTTTTTTTTTTACCAGTTTACAACCGGTTCTATCGTTAGCAGGTTTTTTGATTTTTAGTGTTTGCAAACACGTCTTTTTCTACCAGAAATCTTGCTAAAAATTGTATAGGGACTTTATTCTATCATGTTTTATCTAGTTTATACCTATAGGTCTATTTCACCGTGAAGACTTTTTTTTGATTTCCCTTGTAGTTTTCTCAATAAATATGAAAAACTGGAATTTGTTTCGATGATTTTCGTTGATTTCTACGTTTGTAACAAGCGTAAAAAACACCACTATAATTAATATTCTGCTATAAGAATCATTTTTCGTTGGCATTGGTTTATCGTTGCGGACAGATATAAATGGAATTACTCTATAAATCCTGCCTTTAACAGCTCTCCTAAAACATCGGCGCACCCATCAGCAGTATTGGCCTTTTAATAACAGATTGTATATTTCTCCTTTTTATGGATACACGAAAGTAAATATAATTTTTCGAATTTGCGTTCGCGAATATGATAAGAATAATAATAACATAATAACAGCACTATAATAATTTATCTCGCACATAAATTGCAAATTACATTCCCAAAAATTATTAAATTATAATATTATTTTAATGGTTTCTAAAAGTGCATCATAATGAATTTAATATCGTAATCCTAATAGATATTAATATAATTTAATTACACCTATTATTAGCCATGTTAAACTCGACAATCGTTAATTTGTATTATTCATGTATAAGAAATCGTTAAAATTAATTTGTACAAATACACAAATTGCGCCGCAGGACTCGAGTCTTGAATGATGTCATTCGAGTTAAACGAGATAAGGTTGCCATTTTTTTTTTCTCGATACATAAATTTCATACAGAAATCGTTTAGCGTGGTTTAAACTAACTTGACTTAGTGCAAATATAAAATGATTTTATTATTCTATTTGTATTTGGACACCGCTACTGTTGATGGTGGAAAGACTGAATACTGAAACCACATCAACCACCCTCCTGGAAACACCATTAACTATATTGTTCATATTGAATGTATTATAATTTTGAATTCGATAATATGTTCAAGCAAACGTGTAGTAAGTATACTTACTTAGGTATTGTGCATATAGGTAAATTATATTATTTTTTCGAATTTAAATGTTGATATATTTTATGGTGATTTCCGAAGCATTTCCGAATAGTTTATACAACATATTATACGATATAATATTGAATAATTGTTTTTATTATTCTTTTGTGATCGACGTTCAATCTGACCATTGGATACTCGCTGCATTTTGCGTTCAACATTTAAACATTTTTATTAGACTTTTAAAAATTATCGTGGACTAAACAGTTAAATAATGGTGAGTTTAAGGTTAATAGTAAAAATGGTGATCCCTCGACTACCCCCCTATCAAAACTCGACCAACCAAAACCCAATGTGATGACCGGATGAAATGTTGCAGATATTTGAGTTGTTGAGGTCGACGAAGTAAGTGATATCTCCTGGAGAACGAGCAGGCGCAGTCAACAAATTGTTAAAGGACAAATATTTGTATTAAATAATTTGTATGAATTGCAAAAAAGCCGGACATACTTCCAGTGGCACAACTAAGATCTTGGGGCTCTGATGATAAGGTAAGTCTGGAGCTCTATAATAGTACATAAATATTCGTAGTAAATTAATTTTTTTTTAATATTGACTACTTATCATTACTACTTATCAACGCGCTACTCAATTTTTATTTATTTATTATTTAATATTTATATATTATATAATAATATGTGCATATTACATGGTTAAGTAATAACAATATAACTATTATTATATTTGATTATAAGTGGATATAATGGATTATATTTAAAACCGGTATAAATTTTAAATTATTAGGTGTTTTACCATAAGAGATTGTATACAAAAACGCGACTATTTTATATATAATACAATATTATGATTAATTTTTGGAAATAGAAAATTTAAGGATAAAAAGGAAAGTAAGATAATTTGACGTCAAAATAAATTATTACAAAAAGTATTTTGGTCGAAAATGCTTAGATTATTTAGATGCAAAATATTACGATTCAATGACATTAAATAGAAAAAAAAAAAACTAATTTTCTCTTCACTTGGAAATTTTGGAATTATAATTCTAAAAAAAAAGTTTAATCTATGGTTATTTTCATTAATAATTTAAATTTCATGTAATAATATGTGAATATATTAAATGAAACTTTGACTATGACTTGCTAATTGTTTTTATTTATTTATTTTGTATTACATTGTTTTGTTGTTCAATAATATTCTAGAAATTTTATTTGTAATATTTAATTTTTTTTTCTTTGTTTATTATTGCTCTTTGTTTAGTATGTATTCTTATTTTATTATATACTGTAACTCTCTACCACCATCTCAAGCATTGTGCTTAAATGTATCATACGTGTAATGCGTGTATAACTCATTGTATCACCATGGGGGCGGGATTACAGTGGCATTTTCAATCTATAGCCTAAAGGCGAGTGAAGGAGGTAGTAATGAAAATAATTAATTTGTTCATAATAAAAAGGAAAACCGGCACATGATAATTACTAGAAACCGGATTTATATTCTCTTCTAATCCAAAAAAAATTCATTAAAAACGTCAAAAAAGCACTTTAAATCATTCAAAAGAAAAAAAATTATAGAGGTCCCCCTCTAATGGCTCTAACTTATTAAATTTAATTCTCTACCACCACAGAAATGATTAAGATAAAACAAGTTCTTTTAAATAATGGATCGACGTATGAAAAAAAAAATAACTTTTTACTAATCGTTTTTGTAGTATTAGAAAAATGTATTTATAAAACAGGCTTTTGAATAATAATATATTAAATACGATTTTTATTTTATAAAACTTGAATTCCCGATAATTCTTCCAAATGCTGTCGCCTAAATATTGAAAAATAAATAAATATTTTCGAATGTGTACAGTACCCAATGCCCATTACCGAAGTTTCAATTTGCATATTAATACAATTACGGGTTTCGAACATTTTATCAGAATAATTATTTTTCCCGGGCATTTACATAATATAATAATAATAATATAGCAGTGGCGTCAGAACGAGCTATAGGTAAGCGGCTCATGCCTGGCCAAAAAGGAAGACAAAGTTTAACATATTTTATTATGTTAAATGACAATGCGACGTATGTGTTAAAATTACAACTATTTATTAATACTTTATCAAATGTATAAAATTAATAATTTATTAATTCTATTTAAAACGATTTATTCGGAAATGATGACCGCCCTATTACACGGGTGCATTAGTTATTAAAGTATTAATATTATTTTGTAAAATTTTTTTTAATATTAATACATTTATAAAACAAGAAAGACGAATAGATTTCATCCGTAAAAAAATTTAAAATTGTATTTTTCATCAATACAATATCTTTTTTTAAGATTTAGTGTGAAGTTTTATATTTCAGCACTTACCCGATATTATATAACACGGCACGCCATTGTATACCGGGTAATAAATTTAAGTGATTACACTCATTATCTCGAAAAGAATTAACTTTTTTCGGAATTTGTTTTCCAGAACATTTTTAAAACAAGCAGCTCTAAAATTTTATATTTATATTATTTTTTCACCCTAATTTTTTGGGGTAAAACCACTACCTACTTTTGATTTACAAATAACAACCTGTATTAAAAAGTCCATAAATAGATGCAATATTGGTTAAAATAAATTTTAGTGTTGACAATTTTTATTTCTGTCAAACCGTTGACGAGATATTCCACTTTTAAGTATGGATTGGAGGACAATAGTGGTGCACTAATAGCACGTCGCGCACCGTACCACCACACAAATGACACTCCACAACGCTCCACCAACCAATACCAATACTCCATCTATTTATGAACTTTTTAATATAGGTTGCCGTTTAAAAATCAAAAGTGGGTAGTGGTTTTACTCCAAAAAATTAGGGTGACAAAAAACAAAAAAATATAAAACGTAAAATTGTAGAGCAGCTTGTTTATTAAATGTTCTAGAAAACAATTTCCGGAAAAAGTTTATACTTTCCGAGATAATAAGTGTACCCATTTAAATGAATCACCTGGTATTATATATACTATATAGTGATTCGTAAATACTTTTATGTCGTGTCTTAAAAACATAATTTTGTCGATTCGGCCATTTTATTTGATTTCGAAATTAGTTTTAATATCACCAAGATTAATACAAGTACGACAACGTTTTTATATATTTTTCTGAGGAAATGATATTATTTGGTATAAAAAATAATAATTATAACATTATCGATATCAATCTGATAGTATACTCGTACAATCGTTTTTTTTTTTCTAAATAAAAACACTCTACACTTATACACAGTTTAAAAAAATTAGCAAAATAAAAAGTCATCACATCGATTATTATTCACTATAGACATTCATTATAGACAGAGAACTGAATATTAAAATGATATTCGACGATATCTGTCGCTTTTTTGTCATTATAAAAATAATTAAATTGATGATTAATAAACAATAATAAAACTGTCTCTTCAATGTATCTTTAACGGCGAATGATTTATTCACATGTATATATAGGTACGATGGAAATTTTATGTAACATATAATTGGAAAAAAAAAAAAATCACTTTAATTTATAACATTTAAACTCAACTGGGTCAGCAGGCTGTTATATATAACGTAGTTCAGTAACTGGCGAATGTTTATTTTATGTAATTTTTTTTTTCGGCTATACATATTATATATAAACTATGATATCACGCATTGCAATATTATTAAAACGTATTTAACGAAATAAACATTTACATATTTTAGGTCGTTTATCTACGGTTGTTTAAAATAATTTACGTATACTTGTTTAGAACTTTAAAATAACGTTGCGGAGAAAGAACTTAGGTATATAACTACAAGCTATAATAAGGATATAATATCTATTCGAAAATATAGATTAATACGTTTATTTTATTTTTATTTGATATTTCCGATTGAAAACTTCCGTTTTTATTGTACCTATAATAACAATAATATAGAAAATAACCCGATGTCGTACAGCATATTATTATATATTTACCGCATACTCGAACGTAAATATAAATTTAATATTTAAGGGAATTAATATCAATTGAAAAAAAACACCCTAATATGATGTAATTCCCGATTCGGCGCATACAACAAAACTACAATAGTGTTTATTGAAATATTCTACGATTATTGTTATACGTGTTCCGTATTGTCAATCAAACTATAACAGCTGCAGCTCCTAATGTACAATTAACACCAATAATTCTGTGTTATTGATGACAATGATTAAATTTTAAAATAGAGACTGTATCGATGCTGTAATATATTTATGATTCGTATAACTTTTGGGTAAGGGCACCCGAAGAAATATAAACCGAGCAAAGTCAAAAGTATGACATTTTTTTTACAATTTACAAGTTATCATGACTTAAATATATCAGCCATGAAAATAATAAAACAATTAATATTTAATATTTAATAAAATAACAGGGGTATGGCCCCCACCGGCACCCTCAGCGAGTGCACTTGCTTTAGGGTAATTTTAGCGGCTCCCATTAGACCAAGTCGAGTCAACTCTGCGTTCGTTATTTATTTTCATATAGCTAGATTGACAAGTTAAAATTTCGGTTAATTTTAGATTGAACTTAAGGTTGTTCGAGAGAAATTTTACCTTTTGCCAAAAAAAAACACAACATCATCGCCGGGAGACGAAATTTTGTGTATGCATAGTTAAATTATGAAGGATGTGATGGTTTTAACATTCCACCCCTTTCCCAGCCAATTTTATGCTCAGATTTCATATTTTAAATACCTTTACTGACTTGTGAAAGTAAGTATAACTTGGTTGAAATTTATTATTTATAACAATAAAATTGTTGTTGAGGATTCGACGGGGTTATGTTAAAATATATAATTTTATAAAAACCTAACCGTAGAAATCTGTAGGAGGAAAGAATGTAATTAAAATCTTTAACTTTTTCTTAGTATAGGTAA